CGCCTGCTTCGGGTTCCATTGCTTGGGCAGCTTCATCAATAAAGAGATAATTTGGTTTCAAACGGTCATTCTGGTACCTAAGACAATTATATGAAAAAATGTTCGCTGCAAGCATTACATTTCATCACCTTCCGCTTAAAATTAGTGTTGTAACAATGACTCGGTACTTCATTAATTCGAATCCTCTTGGTTTGATATATTCGCCGTCCACATAGTTACTATAGCCCTTGACATCTTCCGGTACCGTGTCCCTAAATAATTAAGAGGGCAAGTTGCACACAAGAACACACTTCACTTACCATTCTCTGGTATCCGTGTGTACGCGAATCAATTCCTTTTCGGTTAAGCGTTTTGATTGGATTAGTTTACTTGCCAACATATCACAAGCTGCATTTGCAGGAGCGCATACTAAAATCACCACCCCTGGGATTTTCTTGACTAGCTTTAAGTTTAAAGGTGCTACATTACTTTACCTAGGTATGTTATAAAAAGGGTAATTTATTGAATTTAAGTAGAGCAAAATTTCCTGTTCCCAATAAATTTGTTATTATATAAGTTGGAAGAGAAGGAGACAATAGAAGTGATTTTGATCTGAATTACCAATTACAGCTTAGGAACTACAACCATTTAATTACCTGTAAAATAGCTTCCACAATGGTTATAGTTTTTCCGGTTCCAGGGGGTCCAAAAACTATATATGGTGCAAAATTACTTCTAAATAAAATACTTTCAACAGCACTTCTTTGCTCTGGATTTCCCCTAATAGCAGGATTAAAAAACCTGAAAATACGCTGTTAAATAGACATTTACTTCCGATTTCATCTATTAAATCTATTACTCAGTGTCCGGTAAACGTCGGCCAGCCAAAATACCCACATTTGATATAATGTTATCAGGGAATAAGTAGTTGGTCATACCGCTACTGACGCAATGATCCACACCGTTGTGCATTCTTTCATAGGGAAGCCGACCAAGTTTAAAGGAAACGTCAATTTCTGCATCAGGATTACTCCTAATATATTCTATAAGCCTAAGAAATGCAACAAGATAAAATTTAAAAGCACACAAATGCAAGAAAACGTACAACTCGTCTACACCTTGAATGTAAATGCTCAAATTATTTACTCTTGATATCACTCCTTTATAACCAATATGATCTCCATGCAATCTTAGATTAACAACATCCCCCCTAATGAGAGAAGGCCGTTTCTCTGCCAAACCGGGAACTTCCAATTCCAATAAGGTCTTCTGTATAACTGTGATATTAACCTTTAATTTTACATATTTAATTACTTTATCAGATTTAATGGCATGGGTATACATTTTCCATATTATATCGCTGTAACATTAACTCTGCTCCCTTTTCATCAACCCACAGAGCAATATGAAAGAAATCCTTATAATTATGTTGTGTCACATAGCCGGGATGTAATAAATGCCTACAACGTTGGAACTAAGGACTGCATATATAGGACATAACTTACTCAACATGTCGCAATGAAATATCTTCTTCGGGCGTTATGCTCTGATATCTTGTAATTCCCATCTTAACGATTTTATCATATTTTGGTGGAATGGTAAAAGTGTTTTGAAACGGACTACAAAGTTCTGATGTTCATTAAACAATTATAAACACCCATCTCTTACATTCTGACCAATGGCTCATTCCATTCACTTATTTCTTGATGCCATAATGCAGATGTGAAAGGACTTTTGCTTGCAACTGTCACCTCTTGATTAAATTCCAATGCTCCAATAATGTTAATAAGCTACAAAGGAATGAAGTCATGAAAATATTTTTGGAAATTTTCTTACTGCAAAAAGTGTTGTGATCAAAGCAAGTGGTCTTTGGTATATTAAGGAGACCTATTTTATCAAAAGCATATTGAAAATCGTCGGAAAACGTTAGAAATCTTGGTAGTCAAATAGTAATCATGATATTTATTGGAAAATTAAGGAATTCCAATGCTAATCGTACCAAAAAGTTACATACATCACTTTTTCAGTATTCTCTACTGAAATACATTTTTGGCGAATTGCTGGACTCATTTCCTCGATCACGTGTCTCAACCATGAACCTTCGCTACATGATAGCTTAATAATAATAATACTTTTATTCATCTCATGACATCAAGTTGGTGAACCAATGAAAATTAACGAAGTAGAGAGAGAGAGGATGAGCTTTGCACGCAATTACTCATTTACGTTTGAGCCGTAGAGCGAGTAATAAATTCTGGTTTGAGCAGTGAAGGTGAACAGATTCTGGTCTTAGGAGTCGACCTGGTCAGATCAAACCATATACGTTTAGTATATTATATTATTTAGTATAAACAAAGTGCTATTCACCAAATTCCATACACATTTTGCCGCGCTCTACATAGTGCCACAAATTAAGAGAAATATACAATTCCGTGTAAAGTGAAATTGCGATAAAGAAAACTGTTAGCAAAGTCAGATTCATTTTGTGCCGCTAAAGTTAAAATTAATCAAGGTGAAAAGTTTACGAAAGGAATTTCCCACACAATAAACCTTTAATTCAAGAAACAGTTAAAAACGAGATTATGCTAGTGCTTGTTTCTTTTGCCAACCCAAAATTTGTACTGACCAGAAAGATCAACAAGCGAAATTCAATCGATCATTATCAAAGACATTCCATTCAAAGAGCTGTAGTTGGAGTTATTCATACTTCCATTTATTAACGTGCAGGTGGTAAAAAAAATGAAGCTAATACTGTTATTAAATTTGTGGTTTTGCTGTTTTGGTAGCATCTATTGAATAGATAGTAATTGAAATTAGGCTTCAATTGATTTTCCACATAGTACATACATTATACAGGGTGGTTCGAATTCGTGGCTCACCATTGGGATTTCCATAACGAAATTCTGATTCTTTGAAAATATATGAAAATGGTCTAAACTTTATACTCACCATTTCTCGAGATATAGTAAAATTTTCAAGACGTTCGGTCTGCAGATGTATAGCTACGGGCATGGCGAAAGTACTCACTTTTACACGATTTAAGTTGAATGTAACTTTAAAACTGTATGAGGCATCTAAAATAATTGCACCATTATTATATATAAACACAACATAGTGACGTGTTAAAACGAAAGCTTAAGAAATGCGATTGATCTGTAAATCAATCAACCACCATCAGTATTGCAAAAATAACACCTCTCTCTTACTTGGTTCAAGTTGTAAAATAGTATTTTCTGTCATTTTTCCTTCAAAATCCTCCAATTTAAAATTATTATTTGGATGTAAAAGCATTGTACCCATTAAGAAAATACTTTTAGATCGCTGCTTATTTAATACAGTGAAGATATAGCTGATCCCATTGTTTTGTACCATTTCATCTCTAGCACGCTGTTCCAACACCTGAAAAATAAAAATCAAAGGCATCTGTAACTTAATGTTACAGACTCGGTTACAGACTTACCGTCATTCCATGACGACCCTTTTTTTCTTCAAACTTATACACCAAATCATTTCGATTCGTTTCTATGTTATGGAGTTTTACCTCAATTTCTATGCCATTTCGGTTCTTGACAATTGCTCGTCTGTATAACACAATTAAAGCAATAGGCATTACCTTATACTGACTGTTTACCTATATTTAGTCCACTCAAATAATGCAAAGTTGAAGCGATGTTGAAGAGAACCTTTGTGGTTTGGAAGATCCTCCTTGCAAACACATATATCGCATCCCTGTGGAAAATTGTACCATATTTTAGCAAGGCTATTAATATTATTATTATATTTGAGATTATTAAGCAACTACTCAAATTTAAAATTCCAGTGATATAGTGAAATACTTTTCTCCTTGCAAAATAAACCTTGACAAAAAGAAAAACATGAAGAAGCAAATAAAGTACGAATAAATTAGAAAATTCTAAGTTGAAAAAATCTTGTTAGTTTATTCATACTGTTGTGTAAACAACGTATTGTTTGGGCTTGGCCAACACATACAGGGTGTATGTGGAATACCACTTTTTGTAAGCTTAAATACAGTTGCTGGTTTTGAATTAAACACCGAGTTCCAATTCTGATTGAAATCACCAGATAACACCTTTTAATACGCGCAAATACAACCAGATGTCCCTACATTTTAACATGTAATTTCACTTTTACAATTAAATAAATAAATTACAAGGCGATCAATTTAAATAAAACCAGTAATCAAATTTAAACTTACAAAAATTGGTATTCCACATATAGGGCGACCCATTATTATCAAGCCCAAACAATACGTCCGCCTATATCGATTTTGTTATCGCGTTGCGTAACCTGAAATTTCATTAGTTTCAAGATAAGCACGTGATATCGTCGATAAGAGAAGTTAAAAAAGAGAGGATAAAAGAGGTGCGCAGTTTATTTCAAAGCTGGCGTTATTCAAATTTGGTTCTGATTGGCTGTTTGTTTATGATATCATAAAAAATGTGATTTTTGGATCGTAAACTTTGTCGGTGGTTGTCCGACAGTATTTGTGAATGTTTTAAACTCTGCTTTTGACAGTCAGGCTGTTGGATGTTACGACGGCGTTCGTCTTTTTGATAGTGAAGTTTGTTTATTGAAGAAAGTTAAGTTGTTTGTACAGTTTTCCATGTTTTCAATTTCTTTATATGAGTGTAGGTAAATGAGAAATTCATAAGCCGAACGCTACATTGAATTTCTCATTTACCTACACTCCTAAAGTTAAGTTAATTTAATGTACGACGGAGGTCTGCTATTTTCTGTAACTGTTACTGATGTACAGGTAGGTATAGAAATCTTGTAAAGTTTTTCAGAATCTTTAAATTTGCAGTGTATAAGCATCATGTCATTCACAGGCGTACATTTGAACTACTGTCGTAGATAAAATAGTGGAGCTGTACTCGTCCTTTTTTGTTATACTTAATTCCAAATTTTTTTTATGACAAATTAAAAAACACTTCTTAAGTTTATTAATTGATCCCTGATTAGAAGAGAACGTGGCATAAATGAGTTTTATGGACTTCTTATCTTTAGTAGTATAAATTGAATCCAGTTTATGGTTGATGCTATATGTAATAGAGAGTCAAAGTGAGACTGGGCATCTGTTCACTCTCCTCTCTAAATTCAGCAAATGTAGGTACCTAAGTGATGGATCATTCTTTCAAAACATGAACGTTTTGGAGCTTCCACACAGATGTGACAATGTAGTAAAATCAAATCAAATGATCTTTTTACTTGTCATAAACTATAAAGTAAAACATCCATTGAGCAAATTACAAAAAACAATTAAACAGAAAAATTTACAGTGAACAAAACCATATACTTAGGTACTCAAAATACCCAACAAAGCAGTATTGCTACTATCTCTACAGGTAAATGGCACTAACACAGAAAAACAATGGCAGTAGGTACCAATTTCTGTATCCGCTATGTATGCTTTCAATTAATACACAAATACCTATTAACAAACCTATAACGAATTTGAAGCTGTAAGCTGCTCACATCCTGGAACTTTACAAATTGCTACAGAAACCGAAACAGAAATGCTTAAAAAAGCGGCCAGAATCAATCTATAAGATACATTAATCATGTGACGATAATTAGAAGAATTTAAAAAAACGGATTGGCTAACATCCATGCTATCTGGGTGCTTTGGTGAACAGTACCCTCATATTTGATGCTCCTCTGTTTAAGATTAGGAATGGTTCATTAGCTAAATGAATCTACCTATGAAAATAGGTGCATACGAGGGTGCATTATTTAATCGGTTATAATTATTTTACAATTTTATTTATCAAGCGGCAGAGCAAAGCGTTTATTATGGGAGTCTGTCTGTGAACATAATAACTAGCTAACGCTTAAACCGATTTGGTTCAAACTTTGCACAGTTATATGTCAGATATAACCAGCCCATTGAAAATTGCTCAAATCCACACAAATCACACCGCTCTGCCCCTTTTCTAGAACCCCTTTACACCATGGTTTATTTATTTATGAACTTGTTGTTGTTACCTCAATCACAATGTTCATGTATTGAACTTTTCAAAAAATCTTTCAAAACGGTAAGTAATATACAAATAACAATTTAGATGCACAATACATTCATTTGAAATGAAGTACTTACCGACCTACTGCTCATAGTTACAGATCTTGTCTACCAAACGAAACACAACTAAACAACTAACAACATCTAAAACAGGATAATCACAGACCATAGGATAATTACAACAGGCATATGACACAATAAAATGCTGTATCAGCCACTATCTGTTAGTGATAAGCAGTATTGGCACCACCTCTAGTGCATTTTCCTCTTCTATTGTTAAATGACAAATGTGAAAGTAACGAATCATTTATTTGTCGTTAGTCTGATAAGATAAACAAAAACACTTTTTTTAGTACCTACACGAAGGTTAGTTCAATTTGTGTTTGAATAACTAACCTCCGTGTACTGAATGTCAAGGTTATGTGTGTATGACGTGATAGGAACATTGCAATGAATAAAGCTTGGAACTATTCTTTGATGCATATGAACTATTTGATTAAATTCAAATAACAAAACTACATTTGATGATGATGATTGATACATATGGTGAGCTTCCAATATGCACTATACAATGCCACCGTTCTCAGTGATGTGAGAGAAACAATTTAAAAAATGTGAAACAATAAGAGCAAGGACCTTTGGACTAATGCCATAGTCATAAAAACAATTATTCACCACATCACTGTACCCCTTACAAAAATTATTAAAGCGTGTATATATGTACTGAAGTAATACTTTTCCCATGGTGCTAAAAATTACGTCAGTTATTCCGATCCTGAAAAAGGGGAATCAAACTGATATGAATAATTATCATCCAGTTTCAATATTATATCCATATCTCGTGCATAAAAAAATTATGTCCAACTGTCAAACCTTAATTTATTAATCTATCCTTACCAAAACCATTTACATTTGTTAAGATTCACAATAATTGTTATAACTTCTCGTAAACATCAACAAATTGCATTTATAAAGCCTAAAAAATTCCAAATATTCAGATTTAGCATTGGTAACTGGTTTTACAAAAATGAGCTAAAGCAATACAGCTCTTCCACTACTATATACTCGCAAAAACTGTACATATAATAAATACATTCATATGGAGAAAGTACTCAATAGAGACTATTATTAAAGCTTGTAAACTAGGACTTACTAAGATTTAGAATGCATCATAGACTTTAGTCTATAATGTTGATCTGATTTTATGTTGCCATTTTTAAATAATAAACTGAATATGACAATCGTTAAATTAATGGTTAAAATAAAATTATCTATTTTGGTACTGAATGTAAGGAATAAATTCAGTTCTGAGTAATAATGTACAATGGAGTTTAAGAAGATTGTTCTTGACCGTTGCTTTCTTGAGATTTCATAACATCAGGTAGATCAGGTGGTGAAGAATAAGGAGTTAATTCTAAAGGCTCAAATGCGCCGTTCTCATCTCTGAAAACTAGATAGTATCCAAGCTCATTTATTTAACAATATATACCTGACAGCTAGACCAACAGTTGCAGGACTTTGAGCTTTGGCGGTTGTTGAAGAAAGTCCGTAATCTTGCAGCATCTTTACATCCTCCATAACAGCATTTTCTTTGTTGAATAGTTGCTGGTTATGAGGTGCCACTTTCAAAATCCCTTTAAACAGTATTTTTACTTATAACATTAACCATCTGTGTGTGCCTACCTTCAATCATTTTCTTTAATTCTAAAACCGTTGTGGTATCCTTTGCGTCTGTAAATATAGTTAGCTTTTTTCTTCTAATCATTAAAAATACATCCTAAAATTTAAATTGTGAGGTTAAGTTTGTGTTGTTATACCTACATAACCATTATAAATATGACATTAACGAAAGTGAAATTATCACTTACCATTTTTGTGGTTGTTGGGGATTATAGGGTGTATTGTATTTTGCTTTGTATTTCGTTTAGGCACTCATTAATTACAGAAGAAATTTATAAAGGATTGCAGACAGTAGAATTTATAAAAGTGTAGCACCACCTGTCAGGCACTAAAGCAAGTACACCCAGAAAACAACTGCACTAATTACGTAGTGCAGGGACGCATTGACTCTAGAAAGGGACGATCTTAGATCATATGTCCCGCAAAGAGTTCAATTATTCAATATAACTTTCAAAATCGAGACAGTGGACTGAAAATAATGGACGCTATATTTGCCTGACATAATTTCTAAAATCAAGTAAACATAAATTTCTAATGATGTTAAAATTTATATTTGTATATGTTTTGTTTTTATTGAGTAACCAAATAAGCAAGTTACTCTGCTCCACTCTGTGGAATTAAATTGTCAGTGTCATGGATAGAGTTGAAGAAATACAAATACATGTATTACCTACACTCTTACTTTGCTGTACAAAATATTATCTTTGTCCAATACTACAATGCCAATACTCTACATTTATTTAGAAAAAGAAGTATTGAAAAATCTATAAAAAGTGAAATAATCTATTCAAAACTTAATCCGTCACTGTTAGTCAGGTTTGCCAACTATACAACTGTAAACGGTCAGTACAACCAGCTTACCCCATAACAGTTGTTTTCTAACCTTAAAGAATTTTTTCAATTGATTTAAATAACGTACAAATAAGTCTAAACTTACAATGTGTAAATATAAATAAAAACATTGATAATAAATAAGATATATTTAAGATGAGTTCTGAGGCAGGTACGAGCAAAGGCAATGAAATTGTTACAGGTATCACCTATACCTGTTAAAAACCTGAATTAATTTTATTTATTTTTAGAATTGTATTTTCTTATACAGAAATGTTTATCTGTTAGTCCCTTGAAAGAGACACATCAGGTATGTATTGGTTTTTCAGGAGCTATCTCTGAAGAAACTTCTTTTCCAGATGCTCGTAAAGGAGTTGGAAAGTTCAAATGTAAGTAACTATACAAGGAACATGTTAAATACAACATTATTTTGTTTAGATATTACCAAATCGTCTTGACTGGAAAGGAAATGAGCACAGGCGCAATTTAGCAGAATTGGTAATCTTTTCATTGACCCATTTGTTTACTGAATTTTCACTCTTACAATTTAGGAAAAACACTATCCTCACATAGGGCCAGACTACTTATTAAAAATTTGTTCGCGCCTCGGATGCATTTTAGACAGGGAGTTACCACCCAGCATTAAACGAGCTCCATCGTTATTAGGTGCAGGGAGACAATCGTTATTAAGACGTACTGACCACAAACGATGTAATAACGCCCAACTGTATTATGCTGCGCGAATACATGGGAAACCATTACTGGACCCGCCATTCCTCAAAAGCACACATAATATAGGTATAATGCTATTTTATTTTGCCGAAAAACCACTTAGTATTTGTTTCAGTAAATGTTTGTATTGGCCGACAAATGTCTGGTCCAACAACTCGACATTTAGTAGTCGGTTCAAGTAGATATGCAAATCTTCAACTACAAAGGAGAACTTTGGGCCATCTGTCTGCCGTTTATTGCCTGCTGTTTGATCGTACCGGAAGATTTATTGTAACTGTATGGTAGTAACGAAAGTGTTTAGAAGCTCTTCCTAGAATTTCAATTTTACAGGGTGCAGATGATCTGTTAATCAAAGTGTGGTCGTCTACGACGGGACGGTTACTTGCTACCTTTCGCGGGGCCTCATCGGAATTGACAGATATTGCGATCAATTTGGAAAATACCCTACTGGCGGCGGGGTCAATTGATCGGATCCTACGTGTTTGGAATTTGCAGTTCGGTTATCCTGTGGCAGTGTTGGTGGCACAAGCTGGAATTATTACATCTGTGAACTTTTGCCCGTCATCACGTTGGGATGTTCGGTATTTAATTAGTACCAGTACGGATGGTTCCGTTGCCTTTTGGTCCTACAGTCTTGATACAGTGGGAAAAGCAGTTTTTGTGTATGTATAAGTATAGCGTAGAGAATAGAATAGTGAGATGACCTTATGGACCATAAGGAAATCTGTGACCGTTGCAGATTGCAAAACTGGTTGATATTATAAACTATTAACACAGGGATTAAGTTGTGGTCGCATTTTTCAACCCCAAAGGCGAAATTGCCACGTTGCTGAGGCAGGCTGTCGCGTTTCTTGCGGCAAAAAAAATTACCTAAATGAAATTTATTTCATTTTGTTGAATGTGTAAATGTTTAGAGCCGCAGATTTTCGTATTGTGTTCCGCTTTCAGCGTTATATTTTTTAATTGAATAACCATGACTCAAGTGGAATGGCAACAAACAAATGAGTAACTTATACATTTAATAACTAAATATCAAATGACACAAATGCTACAAGAAAATTACTTTTGCTACAGTTCTGTAAGAGCCTATAGCATTTTTGCTCAAAGTAATTTTTTCCCAGTTTAAACCCTGCATTAAATTGTCTTCTTACACTGCAGAAGTGGAGAGAAAGGAAAGTGCTGGGTCTCAACAGAGCATGGTTGTAGCCAAGGCTGCTGTACTAACCGAACCCACTAGATATATGCCCAAAAACCCATGCCTAAGTCCGGACTTGAACCAGGGACCTTTAGTGCTGAGTACAGCAGCCACTTCACTATGCCATTGGAGGTTTGTGAAAGTTTTTGAGCAGATTTATTTTAATTGAGGAGCATTTTGAAGCATTAATGGTTGCCCCCAGTAACCTATGTTTCTTCTTCCTCTCTGCACCCTCTATACAGTGCGTCTATTTCAAGGCCCCATAGTTATATGTGCGATTCCACATACCGGTTGAGATCCTATAAAAGGTAACTGTCCATGTTCTTTAGCTACTTGGTGGGTCATTTCGTTATCCCTTAATAACAGCAGACTGCCTGGATACCCATATTAGTGAGGTTATTATGTTCTGCCAGCCGGCTGAGGTTTTGGATCCACTTCAGCCAGAGTTCACCTCTTGCTTCCCCAGCACTTTTATTCCTGGCTGACTGCCAGGAACTATCGAGATTCTCCTGTTTTCTAGGTTCTTCACCAACACCAACGTTTTTTAAACGCTGCGGAGGAGTAGCAGGGTACGCTACCGTGTCGTGGGCACAACAGTTAAGTCGCTCAGTAGCGCTACCGAGTGGCGTGCGACGTATTTCGCCGGGCGCCGACAGGTGACCAAGCTGAAATAAAATAGCTGTCTTTTTCAGTGCATAGAGATGGACGCTCTCCTCAAATTAGACACTTTCTATTGCCGTCCATATAACCAGCTAAAACACTTTTAACCATTACATAATGTCCTTACTGTGCGTTTTAAATGTATCCATCTAAGTAGTACCGGGGTAACATCTTCTCAAATTTTGTGACAGTATTGCGACAATCCCCATGATTTCCCTATGATTGCTGCGATTGCGACCACAATTCGGCGATTGCGATGGGATTGTCGGATTTTAGAGGATTGCATTGTGATTGCATGTGATTATGAATGATTGCAGACGATTGTAAATGATTGCAGGTGATTGTGGGTGACTGACAAGATTTTTGGTAGCTGCTCAAGTTGCTATACACGGGCATTACCTAAGCAAGAAACATATTCATTTATGTTGGCTATTAGGGAATTCTTAGTTGGTAACAGGTACTTTTAAACACACAAATAAGAAGTTAAAAAGGTAATCGTAAACCTCGTCGTAAACGATTTATAAAAGCGCATTACTCGCGCATTACAATTGCATTCATTTCCCATACTGTAAGATGCAAGCAAACTTAAACTTAATTTCGTAAAAATCCGGCCACAAATAAGAAAGTTAGCGTTGCACATGTGCAATTCATTTTTGACTTGCTGCTTCAATTTCAGTTTATAAAAAGAACCCTACCCTAAAATTTCAGGGTATTTCTGGGCATGCACAAAACAAATTATTTGATTTGGCATTAGTTTCATCTTTATTCGAGATGCCTACATACAAAATTTCATTTAAACAACAAATAAAAAAAATCCAATTGCGCATGACCCCAACATATTTTTTGACTCGGCACTAGTTTTACTTTAGTCGAGGTCGCCATCTACATCTACAGCCTACATAAAAAGTTTCATTTAAGTATTTAACAATTAAAAAAATGGATTACGCAAATACAAAAGCTATCGTCCACACGGACGGACAAACAGACAGACAGATACACTGACAGACGGGCATACAGACAGACAGCAATACAATACAATCTAAAAAAAATGGGTTTTTTACTTTTTTCGTAAGCGGCACAGAAAAAATTCCTTCCTTGGTGCAAACCTTGACAGCATAACGAACCAATAGCGAAAAGAGTAGAAAAACTTGGGACGGACGGGCAAGGTGGCCACAATAGTAATTTTTTTTTATTTTTGTGGAAATGTGCTAAAAAGAAGAGTATTTCAATGGAACAAGTTCTATGCAATCCGATAAATCTAATAGGGGGTGGCCCACTCAAATCACACATACCGAAAGACAAACTAAGTGGCATGTGCTCTTTTTGGGCCAATGTTAAAAAATGGCACAACCAAATTTGAAAACATTCGCTCGCTTACAGAGATACAAGGGAAAATCAAAAATTGTCAATATAAGAATGAAAAGAGACACGAAAAATGTTTATTACAAAATTACTTGCTGGGTAATCTGTCGTTTTCAAAATAGGTTACATGTACGATGTCCGCAAAAAAGTTACTGGGCTTAACCTCATTTTTTAAATAAAACACCCTGTATGTTAATCTAAAAAGATAGCATATTAACATGTTCTTTTTTAATATATAACGCAATCGCAATAGATAGGGAAAACAAAAAATTCAAAATTATTAAAAAAGAATTAAGACATTTAAGAAAGGTTCAAATATTAAAAAACAACAAAAATTAAACATTTTGAAATTTTTTGAAAAATCTAATATTGCACTTTTTTAAATTTCTTTAGTGTTATATTTTTAGAAAGTGAATGTAATATCCTCTTTTTCGAATGAAATATACAGAGCACTCCACTAAAAAAAATGACGTTAGGTCTCGGGTTAGGTCAGGGGTTAGGTTCTATAACTTTTTTACCTGATCCCGTACACTTATTTTAAAACGGCACATTATTCAACAGTCTTATAAAGAAACTTGTAAGAAAAATCTTGCTATATCTTCTTTAATAAATATAGGTTCATTCTGAGATTTACAATTTTTTGAATTTCCTACGTCCATTTTTAAATTAAAATATTTTAATCAAAAAATAACTTATTAAGAATCTCTTTTTTTGAAATTTTGTATTTATCAAATCGTTTGACCTTTTTTGAGCCCTTTTTGAATCATCCTTAGTGATTTATATTTTTTAAAAGTTAATATGCTACATTTGTAGATTATTAAGCGGCAGAGGAAAGCGATGTAAGCTTTATAGGGAAGTTGATGGTGTCCGTATGTACGTCCGTGAACACCATAACTGCCAAACGCCAACCTTTGCACAGTTAACATATATACCACATGTAACAAGGCACTTGAAAATGAGTCAAATCCAATGATGCGTAGGGTTTACTCCGAGGTGCTGTGCCGCTTTTTTAGATCCGCTTTAGGGGTTTATTAAGTAGTACAGGGCTTTCCATTTAAAAAAATAAAGTTAGGTGCAATAACTGTTTTGCCTAACCCCGCGTGGCTTGTGATTGTACCTAAAAACAGGCGAGGGCGTGCACGATTGCCAATGTGATTGTCAGATTGTCACAACGATTGCGGGATTGCGAATCTGATTGCGGGATTGTTTTAGGCGATTGTGAGATTGCAAACGCGATTGTGGGACTGTGAGGGAGATTTCCACAGCAATCAGAGGGATTGCAAGCGATTGCAGACAATTTGTGACACTATTGCGGGAAGATGTTACCCCCTCGGTAAATACCTACCGAGGAAGTACAAGAACTGCAACAAATTAAATTAAAGTTTAAACAAGTTAACCAAATTCGCTCTCATCTTCGGAGCGTTTTACAACCTAGAGAAATGACATCCCCTGTAATTTACACAATAGTACCTAAGTATATATGAAGGTATTTAACCTACCGAAACATTGACGTTGTTTCACTATTCTATACGCTATGTTACAAGCAAATAAATGCTATTGGTAGATATTATTTCACACTCATTTCTCTTGTGTAGCTCCAAACCAATAATATATCAAGAAAAAATGAGGCCAGGTCAAGCACAAATGATATGTTCCTCGTTCAGTCCGGGAGGCTTACTTCTAGCGACGGGATCGGCCGATCATCATGTTCGCGTGTACTTTATGCACGGTGACGAAGGTCCAAATAGGATTCTTGAGACTCAGGCCCACACAGATCGAGTGGATTCTATACAGTGGTCGAATCACAGTTTAAGGTTTATTTCCGGAAGTAAAGATGGCAGTGCTCACATTTGGAATTTTGAGTGTCAGCAATGGAAAAGTATACGCTTGTTAATGAGCACCACTTTGTCAAGGTGATCCACGGTCGATTTTGAAAATTCCTCACGTGTTAATTTTAGTGATGCCAAAAAACATGACGCAGAAGAGGATAAGAAGTTGAAAGTGACGATGGTTGCGTGGGATTGTTCAGATACTTGGGTTGTTACGGCAGTGAGTGATTATAGTTTGAAAGTTTGGAGAGCAGATAATGGGCATCTTGAAAGGGTACTTAAGGGTCATACTGAAGAAATTTACGTATTAGAATCGCACCCTCATGATAAGAATGTCGTATTGTCGGCGGGACATGACGGTCAATTATTCATATGGGATGTTTTTCAAGGGCGACAAGTAGCACATTTTATGAATAATATTGAAGGTCAGGGATACGGAGCAATCTTTGATGCAAAGTGGTCTCCTGATGGTACCATGATAGCTGCTACAGACTCTCATGGTCATATGTTAATATTTGGGTTCGGCTGTGGACATCCTCTTATGAAAACATTACCCACAGAATTATTTTTCCATACTGACTATCGCCCTTTAGTTCGTGACAATAATCATGTAGCGTTAGATGAACAGACACAAATTGCACCTCACCTGATGCCGCCCCCATTTTTAGTAGATGTTGATGGTAACCCTTACCCTCCGATGATTCAACAGCTTGTTCCTGGTCGCGAATTTTGTAAAATTGAGCAACTTGTGCCTAATATTGTTATCGGTAGTGAAGGTAGATTTTTGTTTACTTTTGAGACCTTTTTAAATTGTTTTGATCAAATTAGGTGTGCAAGAGGTCATTGAAGGTTTACCAGAAGATTTAGAAAGAGCTGCAAATTCCCAGCAACGTGAACGCGAAGTTGATGATGACGATCTTCAAAGTGTACCCCGTTCACCGAGAATTGCAGGGATGCGTAGGTAAGTTTTTTAATGCAACATTTTACCCTTTTTTAAGTGTTGCTAATAGGTATGTTACTTATTTTTATGTATTTATTACGTACTTGAAACCCTTGCAGCTAGTATTGATTTTATCATGTTTTCTCACAGTGAATTCTCAAATTTATGGATCAGTCAAGGTAATAAAAAAACTATTAATCTTGGTCAATGTCAATTAAGCCTCTTTGGGCAAAGTCAGGCTTTCAACTGTGACATTAATTCCACTATAAAACAGAATTTGTAGAATACTGTAAGGGTAAGGATACTGTTAGAGTTTTAAATTGTTTAAAGGTGTATGGCAAAAAAGGTGGAATCTTACAATTTGAAAAAAAAAGGTGATCTTGATAACTATGTGCAATTGTTTTTCTGATTGGACCGTTGCATTTGTGAGAAAAAATGCTTCATGTTTCCTAATTTGACCAACTTCGTAGCTGCAATAATAACAAAGTTAGCAGTAGTGCTGATTTCACATTGTATATTAAAAATCTGATACAACTGGACATCGAAAGATCCTTGAGATCCTCACGCATCCATAAGTTTTACAACTCACCTTAAGGGGTTGCTTCTGTCCTACCAAATTAGAATAGCTAGTAAAACAATTATACCCAAAATCGTCCTGAAACCTTCATTTTCATGCATACTTTCTGTCAGGAAATTTTAGTTTCCATGACAGAGGCAGAGCAGACTACGTTTGCAATTTGATTTGTATTAACAACTGATGTTCTCATTTTCCTAGATTTGAATATCTTGGGTTGGCCAAATTAGACCAAATAAAAGGAAATAAGAAGATCTTAGTAAAACCGCTTACAATTTCTGAGAGAGATAGAGCAAAAGACGTAACGTATGTATAATTTTGTTTATGGTACCATCAAACTAACAGTATTAATCAGGGAATCACTATGTGCCTTGGAGTTGGCAGAATATCGAAATCAAATGAAGAAACGTCCCCTAATGATAAATACTGCTACCACTACAGCTCCTGTTAACAATGCTCATAAAGGTCACAGACGGAGGGCAAGGGCGCTACGACGTGCAGAGTCAGTTGCAACTGATGGCACAGAGGGCGAAGTGGTAGGTAGGCGGTCCAATTTGCATATGCTAGAAATTACCTTATAGGAGTCGAATAACTCCAATAGTAGTGTAAGAAGTGATGATTCTGAAAACCATGAAGACATATCGACATCAGATTCCAGTTCGGAATGTTCAGAGTCGTCTGGGTATTCAGATTGGGTTGCCGAACACAGCGTTAATTTAGAGCCACCAAAGAGATCGAAACGCAGACAAACTACAACCAATGCAAAGAAGAAACAAATCAGTTCAGAACCCAATAATGTTACTGAAGAACCAACAACTGCCACTCCTAAACCTGTATGTATCTCCAACATTAAAGAGTGTGTGTTTTATGTGTTAGTTTAGGTAATAAATAATGCAAAAACAACAAAAGAACTTCCCGAAATATATAAACCTCTCGAATGGTTATCCGAAACGATGCCTTGTAAAGCGCCCTACTTCCCCCAGATGGGCGACGAGATTGTGTACTTCACTCAAGGTCACCAAATGTATGTTGAAGCCGTTAGGACTAAATCAGTTTACGAGACTAATCCCAAGGATTTGCCTTGGTCAAAAATGGAGTTCAAAGTGAGCTTAATTTTTCCCGCCAACTGTATTACTCAATGATAATGTCTTTAGGATCACGAATTCGTAAAAGTTGTTGGCATCAAATATGAAATCCGGCCACCCAGGTTATGTTGTTTAAAATTGGCGTTATTGGATTCAGAAAGTCGCCTTACTGGAAATATATTTACCATCAAATATCATGATATGGCCGACGTTTTAGATTTTCTAGTTTTGAAACAAACTTACGATGCGGCGATTTCTCGAACGTGGAATGCCGGTGACAGGTGATTATTTTTTTTAAATTGTGTAAGGATCTAACTTTTGCTTGGCGATTTGTTTGAAAGTGCTAGCGCATTTTTACAGAGTTGGCAAAATTAGATGCTTTACCTGTGGATGCTACCTTTTCTTTCCTAGGCATAATTCACATTTGAGAAATTAGAACTCATTTATCTTTAATAATAACAAAATCAACCAAACATAGCGAAATTATTTTGCATCTTGTTTAGATTTCGTTGCATGATTGACGATTGTTGGTGGATGGGCAAAATCGTATCCAAATCGCCATTGTCGGCCGATTCTCCAAATTCCCTCTTTATGAGTTACGAAATACAGTGGGATAGTGAAGAGTTTGAACGAATGAGCTCTTGGGATTTAGAGCCGATAAGGGAAGATAGTAAGTAACAATTCAATCTTATCAATTATGTAATCGTAAACTTTCCAGGATTGCCGGAAAATATGGGAGATCCTGTGAAAGTCTTGCCCGAAGAAATACAGAACATATTGTATCGTCCCCAAGCTGAAGAGTGGCCTCATGGTGATCGTGAATCAGCATGCAAAAAAATTTGTGAGGGTCTGGAAAAGGTTATGGGTCTTGCAATTGCGGAACCATTTCTAGCTCCCGTGGACCTGAGTCAGTACCCAACCTACGCTTACATTGTCGAGTACCCCATAGATCTGTCGACGATTAAAGCTAGACTTGAAAATAATTTTTATCGAAGAATTACTGCAGCTCAATTTGACGTACGTTATTTGGCGACAAATGCGGAAAAATTCAATGAACCGCACAGCATTATTGTTAAACGTGCTAGAATAATTAGTGAACTGTGCTTAAAGATAATTAAGTAATTATTTCGTTACAGTAATGCATGTATTCTAAATGTGTTCTGTTTAAGGAGTTATTCTGAAAATCTTGATGTTGGTGCAGTCTATCATCAATTGATGGATACTTACCAATCAACAGACAGTGAGGCTGAAGTTATACAATCGGGACCATCAACTAGCCGATCGCTAGCTTCTTTAATTACACGAAGATTACGACATCCAGATGACTGGAAACATGAAGCTCGTGCCTTATTAGAAACTTTATGGCGCTGTGAAGACTCTGTTCCATTTAGAACACCTGTTGATAACTTAAAGCATACAGGTACACTTTTCCAGAACCTTTTCTTGAAGTTAAAGATTCATGGGTAGTATACATTTTCTTCCGTGTGTGTTCTATACATAGACTGCCACTAAACCAAAAAAATGTGGGAAAATCAACTCTTAGGTTCAAGAGAAGAGTTTAAATAGCAAAGGTAGTCATGACTAAAGGCCGCTTTACATACTGCAATTCTTTGTGCAATACAGTTGCAGCAAGTTTAATTGCAAAAATACTGTACATGCAATAATTATTGCACTTTGGTTTTACACGCGGCAATTTTCTTTTTGCAAGAGTTTGTTACCAACATTCGCATTTAAAATTGAACTAAAAGCTTTATTCTATTCAAAATTCATCAGGTGTTGTTATAATTCTGAATGCGTTTTGAGTAAAAATGAATAGACACTTTAATCGAAAAAAGGCAGTCGCAGCTTCAATTTGTGTAGTAATAGTAGTAATAATAACAAAGTCTAGTTTCAACGTTTGGGAATTTTAGAACCTGGCGTTGTCAATACTTTCCCCCAAAATATCACGTGCAAGTGCAATAAAAATCGCGCGCGACCGCTAACCTGCAATTGCAAGCAATTGCAAGTGAATTGCCAAAATGAATCAGCTGTTTCTCAAACGCGCATGCTTCTGGGCAAGTTTTATTGCGTATTGCATGGTCTTGCATGAAGAATTGCAGTATGTAAAGCGGCCTTAAGGTTAGGCAAAAAAGTTGATATGGTTGCGGATGTATCCACTCAGGGTTGGACGAACATTTTGAAGTGACCTGACAAAATGAACTATATTAGCGGCCCGTATCTTAACGAAAGTAGAGGGACCGAGAAAATTTTTGGAAGCCATACCCAATTTTCATTCAAAAACCTGTTCAAAGCTTTTAAACATTTTTTTAATGGCGTAATATAAGGTAAATTTTTACATACAAGGTGTTACGAGATTCGCACCCACGGACAATGTGACTTAATTCTGAGACAATACTGAATAGAAAGCTCGTATTACATTTTTGCGATCAGACAAATAGGTTGGCCAGGCGAATGCATGGCAGTTGAAATCACCTGCTATCACCACGTTTTTAATGTGAGTTCTGATGCTTTGCCTGAGTCTCCACAGGTATGCTTCGAATTCTTGTAGATCTCTGTTTGATGAGAAGTAGCAGTTATATCCGATCATATCGTTTCCATCTTCCCACTTAGCTAGCACTTGAATGTTGATTTTTTTTATTGACGCGTCTTGAGTTTTATCAAAGAACTACGTTGTTTAAAATGGATCTATTTGACTCGCAGATCAATAGAAAATCCTTTGTTTTTCATGGGCAGTTAGGAACAGTAAATTCAACAACTTGTAGGATTTTAATGCCTATTTTTACAGGTTGCATCTCTTTTTCTCCTCTCCTCTACTATTAGATCTCTGTATTTCAGACACGTCTATTCATCGGCTTTGTGCCTTGCCATATCACATGCGCTTATACAGTGAATTTTTTTTAAATGCGAAGGAGTTTGCATGCAATGTAATTTCCCTATGTTCGATTTTAAAAAAAACACATCAATCTATTGAGTAGTTCAAATGAGTAGTAGATACACTTGACAACTGTCACATTTTTAAAAATACCGCCGTCCAATTTAATTACGAAATCGGTTAGGTTATTGCTTAGAATGTCAAGGAGGACACTTTGAACATTTATTGTAGTTGTTTGCGTTATTTATTTTCTTATTTTCTTCATTTATGTATTGAATAAATCAAATTAGTAGAATACCAGGTACACATGACCTACAAATAATTGAAGGTTGGTTCACAATGATTTGTGGTGTCAGTGCGTGACCTGTGAGGTCAAGTTATCGTAAGTTTAAGAAAAATGTATCCTAAAGTTGCTATGGCCTCACATCGCTTCTTTAAAAACATCTTACCGAGTGCTCTTCATCATAAAGACTGGAGTTGCTGTTCGTAGTCACACAAGTTGCGCGATTTGGGAATGTGAACCGCGCACACCTCATAGATTGATGTGTTTTTTTTTAAATCGAACATAGGGAAATTACATTGCATGCAAACTCCTATGTTCGCATTTAAAAAAAACGCACTGTATACCAATATTTATCCTTTTTGCAGTTTTGTGCCTCATGACAGTTTTCTCCCCAATTGAACGAACAGATTCCTTGTTTTAGTGCATTTTCCGACGCCTTAACTACTCCTACAATTTTCAAGAGTTTAGTTCGTCCTTTTTGCATTCGGTAGATGAATGAGTTCTTGCTTTTCCGTACACAAGACGCTAGTGACGGTATTTACCACACATGCAGTACGGTGATCACCAACGTGGCGAGCAGGGGGCATGTCATGAATTTCCCCATAAGCATTACATTATAGTGTTTTTATTTAATGCTTGTAGGTAGTTCCTCCTTTTGGTTTTACTATTATAGTCCATGCGTCCATTGTATGTCCTGCTCTTTTTTTATCACATCTCCTATTATGTGATTTGCTTTTACAGATCTATTGCCATTTGGTTCATCTATGAAGTTAAGCAGAAAGTGTACATGCACATTTTTGCTTGATATTTGTAGTTTTGGTACGCTCTGGATAAATCCTCCTACATCTGAGAGGCATTCCCTTATCCGCAACCTAGAGAGGCGTCCAATGAGTACCACGAGAGCAGATGTCGGTTCACATGTAGTGTCTAGTAAGAATACGATCTCTGAATTCATTTACTCTTAAAACGTCGTTTGTGTTCCTTTATCACACTAAATTACAACAAATTTTTGCTATTAGTAACATACTATCATTAAGTAATTGATTAAAATTTGATTTAAGTGGATCATCCTGTTGGAGTTAACAATTTATATGTTCAGATTAGTTCCCCCTTCATACTGACAAAAGGGTTTTGAGTATTACTTGGGATCCCAAATAAGTCAAGAAAAAATGCTCCATTGAAATTTTGTAATATGTTACCCTATTTACAGGCTGAATTAGTTCTATTGTCATATGTACATCTATTACCAGTGTTTTCATTGTGAAAATGTCGTTTGGGTTGTTTTGAATGTGGTCGCAGTATTCTAAAAGGTGAAAAAAATGACAATAAATTTAATTCGGCTCAAAAAAGGACCAATATCTTGATAAGTCCTGGTTTTAGTAAATATCATCGTAAGGTAAAAATGCTTCACATTTTAAGACCCAGTTAGCGTGAGTTTATTGAATACGTTGCCAAAAATGTGGTATTTTACGTTTGTACTTGCAAATATACTGTGTAATATATCTTTGACTTTGGATACTGTATGTTATGTCGTCTTGTACGGAGTTGTACCTTGTCTCAAATACGTGATGTGTCGCCACGCGCTATTTGTTCATTACATCACATTTTTGAAAGGGGTGTATTTTACAGTGGGCTTAATACAATAGTGACTGTAGTATGGTAAAGCAATAGCATGTCACGTTAATAGAAAGAAGTAGATAGGACTAAGAGAACTGTGTGACTTTTGCAGCTGGTAAAAATCAGTTTTTTTTAACCACGATAGCGCGCCTGCACTACAGATCAAGAAATTTTCGGATTTATGGCTCAGTGGTAAGTGCATTGGGTTATAAATCCGGAGGTCGGGTGTTCGAACCTGGGTTGAGGTGAATTTTTCATCTGTGGCGGAGATGGAAATTACCTTAGACCAGTTCTGAGCATTCTACCGGCTACTCCGAATTAGGTTTTCCTGCAGTTTTCCTAATTCGTAAGGTAAATACCGGAGTAGTATAGACCATCTTAAGACCTTCTGCAGAGGCACCTCTAAACAGCATTATGCGGGTCACTCTGTAATTGGGTGCATGCCTGTTGAGGGCCCAAAACAAGAGAGGGATAATAAAAAATTGTACCAATTTATTGATGTCAACATTCACTTGTTGGTGCAATGCAATAAGCAAGTTTATATTGTGTATATTGGACGCGTTTGTTGAATTTTAACTTTCCTCGTCACTGTTTTCGTTTTCCAGTACACATCTCGTGCTGCGAGTCTCCTGTTATTCTGTATACTTCCCTTAAAGAACGAAAAAGATTCAAGTTTCTGTCCATGTATAAATGCTGGTTCAAGCTGTAATGCGTACGTTTCAATTTCTAGCGCAGCTACCTTTGAAGTATATTTGAGAATTATATCTTGTTGCCACGATGCATTGTTTATGGCAATAACTAATTGGTCACATAATCTTTCGTTTAACGTGACCCCAAACTTGCACTTCCCGGCTAACGCGCGTAATTCACTCAGGAATTGTGTAATCGATTCTGAAACGTGTCGCAAAACTCACTCTTTATAATGATAATAATAATAATATTTAATTCATGTGCAGGCAGTACAGAAACAGCTTACAATCGTCATACAAACGGATGATTGCTGCCCCGCGTCCCTCTCTGTACCTCCGTCGTCTCGAAACGCCATTTCCTAGGAAAAATCCGTTTATCCCCAAACAATTTTGAATTTTACTGGAAAAATTAACACTTCGTCCCCGTCACGCGTCCACATAATCCGTATGGACCACTACAGGGTTAATCTTGTACCGTTTTAAATTTTTTTTCGTATCTCCTCTCCTTAGCCCGCTACTTTATCGGCGCGCGCCCTGGCCCCATTGCTACCACGTCGGACCTAAAAACAAAAAGTGTTATTTTCTTCTTGTATTATGTTTAAATTAAATAAATAATAATTAACGGCCATCAATCTCTCAAATTTCCATTGCAGATTATTATCAAGTGATTGATACTCCAATGGATCTTGGAACAGTCAAAGAGGATCTTCTTGGAGGCAACTATGAAACACCTCTTGACTTTTGCAAGGATATGCGTTTGATCTTTCAAAATTCGAAGAATTATAACACTAATAAAAGATCACGTGTAAGTATTTTAAACGAATTTAAATGTATGTAAACATACGGTTCCACTTAGATTTACGCAATGACAATAAGATTATCGGCAATGTTTGAAGAGCATATGACAAGGATTCTGTACAACTGGAAGATAGCGAGACGGCGATCCAGTACATCTCTAAAACGCAATCTGAAGAGAAGTCGTCGAAAAAAATTGAATAATCAGTCATTTAAAGAAAGTCCATCTGAAGAATCGTCGGCAGCTGAAGAGACGAAATCTAAAAGCCCGACACGAAACATGGAAGAAACAAATGGTCATGTTAGTGAGTTTCAGTTGAGTGAAAATAGTGAGGATAAGAATTCTAGTTCGAGGGAATCGTCTTGTTCATCATCAAGCAGTGAACAATCGACATATAAACCTTCCAGTTCAGGAATTAAAGTGAAACGCTTAGAGGGTACTTCCAAGCGAAAACCGGTGCTAAATTCCTACAAGAAAAACGTAGGGCGGCGGAAATCTTCATCGTCAGAGGCCACCAATACTGACGACAGTGAATTACCAAAGAGACAATCTGTGAAACGGAAAGTTAATAATTTAAGAAGCAGAGGTTCGACAAGTCGCGTCAGTTCAGACAGTGATGACATTAGAACTTCTTTGCGCAAACGTAGCATGAAAAGGCCACGTTATGTTGAAGATTCTGACAGTGTCGGTTCATCCGCAGCTCAGGAGAATGGGAACGATACCGATGATACTGATGCCGATGTCACTACAGTTAGTAGTAGGGGACGTGTTCGACGACTCACGCCACGTGCTAAAGCGCTATTGAAAAGATAGTTAAAGTTGAGATACAAACTTCTCTAAAAGCTAATGTGATGTTTTTAATATATTTAACGAATTAAAATATACTCTTGTTTTTAGATATATTTTTAATACACTAAATAATTTACTGTTACAAGGTTTTAATTTTACTCATTTTTGTACCAGTGTTTGTGTAAGTAAGTTTAACGTATGTGACCAACATCAGACCCGCACGAATTGTTGTAAATATGTTTTTTATTTCATAAGCGTTGTCTGTTTTCATTGTACATATTATCTCAAGTTTTTCAATTAAAAATTTTGTATTAAGTTTTGGATACTGTTTTGACCTTTTTGACGGAAATACACATTCTGAGGCACCCAGGAACCCAAATCAAACTAAATCTCGATGATCTTGGTCTGTCCTATTTCCGGCTGAACCAATTGGAACTAAATTTGCTACACACGTCCTTAGATCTAAAAGGAAGAGCTGTAAAGCTTTTGGGGAGAATAGCGCATGCGCAGGTGTTATCTACTAGCCACAGCAAATCTTTTTAAATACCGTTTCATTTTAAGAATGCAGGTGTACATTTCACTTCCCTAACCACTTCTAAACATAGTTGTGAAGCCTAATAGATTAGAATTGCGCCCTTGTAAGGCGTTCTGATTTCTACATGTAGAAAATTTAAACTAGCTTTGGCAAGAATTAGCAATTACCAATTAGCGCCTACACATCTATGAGTTTAATGATCAATGAGAAGGCAAAGTGGAAGAACAGAATCAGATGAATTCTCCATAGATATTCTAATACTCTGTTACTCACACAATGAACAAGCTAATTTTGTGTACTTATTGTTAATGATGGTTTTTTTCTTAATTTCTGTGTTATACAATGCTATACAATACGTACTAAATTTTTACTTAACTCTCAAACCTAGCAAGGTAGATGCTGCATTTGATTTAACAGAACTACACAACCATTGTCTCACCCTGTACGATGGTAAACCGAAAGAGGAGCCACAGCCTACGAGTTTTGTGCCTGCGCTTGCGCAACCTACGACCTAACCTCAAAGATAAATAAATTATTTTCCGTTTATTTAAATAATAAAATGTTCAGCACATATGTCACAAAAATATAAAATCAACTTCTTCTCTCGTAAGAAGCTTCATTTCTTTTTAAAACCAATAATCATATTATCAGTTATATTTATTATTTATCAATTAATAATGTTTATTCAATTAACTAAAGACGTCAATAAAGAATTACCTTCACCTCCGAATCTAGTTCTGGGCACACACCCGCTACAAAGCCAGTTTTATACACCGCAAGAAGGTCAGTTCTCGTGTATAACTAGTAAGGAGAAAATCAGTTTTGATTCCTTAAACGACAATTATTGCGATTGTCTGGACGGATCAGACGAACCCGGTACAAATGCGTGCTCCAATGGGCAGTTTTTTTGCACTGAACAGACAGACAGCTTTTATCCAAAACTTGTACCGTCAACAAAAGTTAATGATGGCATTTGCGATTGTTGTGATGGGTCTGACGAATGGTTGCACAAAGTATTACCTTTTAGATTAAGTGGTAAGCTTTGATTCGTAAATTATAAAACGAATTATTAATTATTGTTATTTTAGATGCTGTACAGGATAAATTAAAACGTTATCAGTCACCATGTTCATATAAATGCAATAAACATAAGTAATGATTTTATTAGTGTTTAAATATCATATTTATTACAAATTTTGCTGAGGCAGTAGTGTAATGTTGATCTATACCTCACTACAGAATTGATATTGATTTGCTAATGGCAAATTTGACTAATATATTTGTAATAAGTACAAATGCTGTTTGCTATGTGTATTGTTAAATTTCCATATTCCTATACAAGCTACTTAATAATAATCATAAGAAATTAAAGGTTTCTAATAAGAGGGACAGACCATGTATCGATAGTTGAAGTTTGAGCTGTACTGAGGGCAAGTAAGTCATACCACCACAGATTTATCTGGAATATTGTTTATTAAAAATGACTCTCGTTCCGACTTATGCTTCTCTCTACAAACAACATTTTTTTAGCAGCTCGTCATTTTATTGTTAATTTATTCCGGTGGCAAAAATATGTTTGTTCCATGATATGAATTTCTAGTAAAAAGCGCATTAATTTGTATAACAAAAAGGGACATTTATTGGCAAACTTGGTGGTGACCTTCACCGAAATTGGTTAAAACACAAGTCGGTATTACGCTGAAAAAGAAAACCAGTGATGAATTTTGTATTTAAGCTGGTACTTTCTGTTACCAACCAAAGTGTTGAACGGTCAATAGTTGTTAATGTCAAAGATCCAAATGTGAAATCACTTTACACATTTCTTTATTTATTTATTTGCCTTTATTTTTGAGTGGGCGGGGTTTCAACCACGTCTGCTCTACCAACCCAACCCACTATATACATTTACAAATATCCGTGCCAGAACCAGGGACCCTTAGCACCACAGTCCCAGTTTCAACTGAACTGCGCCACTCGGACCGGCATTTCAATTCACAGTGCTGGATATTTCTACTTTACAATAATTTGGTGCCCTTTTATATTTTCCTTGTGTGTGCTTATATCTTCAAACCAGAGCACAATCTACTACCTTCTAGTAATGAATGCAGTATAGGCTGAGTACAAAGTGCAAATTTATTTTATTAAATGTTCAAAATAGCTTCACTAGCAGGGGCAGACTGGCTACAGAGGTCAGGAGGAGTGGAGGACAACCTATCTATCGTAGCATAGGTATATTGGAATTGTGTTTGATGGCAATATTGAAATTAATTCTTGCACTAATAAATTTGACAACGCACACATATAGGTATATTGGGGTGTGATATAATGTTATTGTTGAAATATGTATATATACTTATGGTAAAGTTTAGCGTACGTATGTATTTTATTGCTAGAACAACCTACGATTTATTGCATTTTAGAAACCTACATGAAAGTTTATGTCGTTTTGATACCACATTTCCTTATACCCAGCATCATGTTATTCAAGATTTTTCAAAATTTTTGACGTTTGACTGCTTTTTTTTAACGCCTTGTACCCATGGCTCCGTTGATTTGATTTCAAAAAGTCTTCCAAATGATTTAAATTTTGATCGCCCTTCTACAGGGTGTTTTAAAACTAATGGTCAATTTTAATAACTTCAAACCTTAAAGAATTGATTTTATCAAATGAAACATGATTTATTTTGTTGCACTTTCAAGTGTCCAAAAAATTCTACATCGATCAATTATTCCTCATAGGTACCTATCTGTAAGTTATGCTTTCTGTTTTATTTTAGATTTTCTAAAATTGACTATTACCTATTACCGTAAAATCCTGTAAACTGTATTTTTTTAATGGATGAGTTTTTATTAGCATCGTGACGTCATACAAATGTTTTTTAGTCAAATAGTAATAATCCACATTGTTTATTAACAAGCGAAGTTTTTGAGTGGTTTCTAATTCAAATACGAGTATTAACCGGAAGCAACGTTGCTTGATTGTAGACAATAAACGTATTATTAGTAATAAACATAAATAATATCAAAAATGTATATAAAATCTTCTTCATATGGAGGGGCCCATTTATAATGATGCTATGCACATTTTCACATAACTTCTGCGTAAAAGGGTCAAATGTAGGGCATTGTTAACCTAATTTCATTATAACAAAGTTGCCCATGCAATTTCAATGGATCGGGGACCCCCTGGTATATGCAGTTTGTCTCGTTTGGGCTACAGGGGATAAAAAGTCATCTCTTTGAATAAGAAACAATACAATGCGATCACAAATGAGTTGTACTTAAATTGATCTTCCAAAGGCGACTAGACAGCAACTCATTTTTGATCGCCCGATATTTTGTCCGTCTCTACTGTTCATATCACAGTTGGTGAAGTACTTAAAAGCAATATGTAGGTAGTTTTGTGAATTAGTATACTTCAAATGGAAACGTAGTGCGATATAAAGCTTCGCAGAGGAAGATATTAGAACAACCTGCATTTCCATACAGTTGGTGAATATTTGTATGTGGAATATCATTAATTTGTTAAACAGGAAAGCTATGGTTCTTCCTATATGAAAAAGTCCAAGCTGAAACCTCCAACTCATGCTACCAAAGGGTAAATAGTACTAAGTACGCAGTAGTTACCAATTTCAATCTTTATTTAATTATGTTGGTATAAAATAGGTAATTGAAGTTTTGTACAACTATTAGACCTCAAAACTGTAAGCACAAAAACTCAACTTACAAAAAACTGAATTAACCGTGTAATGGTAAAGTAACATATATTCACAAAAAGTAAATTCAAAGTTTGGAGAAAAAAGTTTCTATCTGTGTTTATGTCTATGTCTATGCTCTTTATCTCGGTTAGAATGGTGGTGCCTCTCACGACGAGGACTTCGTTCACGAGCTCCTCTTTGGGGGCTTTTCTCACGGTTTCTTCGATCATCCCTTTCATCTCGACTCCTATCTCTGTCCTTTTCCCTTCTATCGCGCTCGTAAAGTCTTGCTGAGTTTTCACGGTCTCGATCATCTCTTAAATAATCTCTGGTGTGATCTTCTCGCCACTCCCTATCTCGCTCTTTACCCCAATCTCGCCCACCTTTACGATCCCATTTGCGATCTTCTCGATCATTTCCTGTGCTAGGACCACTGGCAGCTGCATTAAGTGGATTGGTAGTGGGCGGAAATCGTTCCTAATAAAATACAATGTAACCATGCTATAATCATCATCTGTGTTTAAATACCTTATAATTGAACAGATCTTATGTTACTTTTCTTTCGATTCTGCATTAAACTGTATTGTATTAAGACAAATCAAAAGTTGAATACAATAAAAAAATTGGAAAAAAATGCTGATTTTGGTCCCGGCTGTTACTCACATTTCTTTTTGATATATTTCATTGTTATACCCTGGGTATAGTCACTTAGGCTGGTTTTACATCAACAATAAATTGATCAATTTCTTGTAGGATTAGCGCAAGTTCTATTTTTCTGACAATTTTTACGTCAATTCAGTAGTACAAACTACCATCAACCATTCATGTGGTAATTGATGAAGAAATTGTTGATTTAAAACTAGCTTTATTTATTGTTTAAATTAATCAAAGGGAAGATATATAATATATTGAATCAAGAATGTAAGTCAATAGAGATAAAATGCTTTTAAGATATAAAAAAAAGCTTCATATATCTTGTTAAACTCTTTCGATCAGCAATAGCATAGGCTTCAAGTCATGCTTTTGGCCCGATTTTTGTATTAAATAAAAAATTGTTCAATTATATATTTAAACAATGTCATAACATACATACCTCCAAGTGTTTTTGTATTTTTTGTTGAATTGGGACCGGGATACGTGGAAAGAGCGTTGAGAACCATTCCAATTTCATCAGCCACTGACGCAGTATGAGTCCTAAACGCATAATTTGACCACCTCCCGCTTTCACATCCATTTCCTAAACAACTCAAGAATCATTAAACACAAGGTTTATATTTTTACAGAGTTAAAAACCACTTAGGTAAATGGAAAATACATTGGCTCTCTACCTGTAAGTACGCACCTCTTCATCGTCAAGGTAAGGCTCGTACCAATCCAGTAACGAGGTCGGAGGTTGTGTGTATCTGATGTACATAAATCCCAAAGCTCTTATATAGGGGGAATCACAGTGAGTGATCAATCCGTTTAACTGTTTTCGTGTTAATTTCAGTGTGAATAGTTTGTACAGTAAACAATACGCAGTAGATACAATTCCTCCTGCACCGACACCGCGTACACCTCCACACATTCCTGTTTGCCCAGATGTTCGTCTAGATCCCTTCTCCCAAGGTTCGAGATGTGTAACTTTGTAGTAAATTTCATCTATCACCTCGTGATAGGTCTTCAACTCGTACAAATTGACTGAAAACACCAAATCAATGAGAAGAAATATAAGATCAAGATCAGCTGATTGTGTATTACCACCACATAATAAAGAAGTAGAAATGTCACTAATGTTTACTTATTCCCATATTAAAATTTGCGTCATCACAGTAAAACTGAAACAAAATCTGCATTTAGGTTGATCTACTAACTTCATGCATTTTTAAATTGGACAATAATTTTGCTCTTCTAGTTCTTATTTAATGGTATTACACATAACACAATCAACAGATTTTATAGGAATAAAATCAAAAATGTTTCAATACGTATGTAGGTAATTATTCTGCAAACTGTGTTGCAAAATAATTTCTTTACCGTATTTACATGTCCACAGTTGATCCAATTGCTGTTTTAAGCCACGATCCACTTCGCAGATTTACAGCCTGAAAGAGCAATTTAACTAAATATATTTTATTAATGTATAAGATGTTTGAGATGTTACATACCGATAATGCAACAGTTCCATCTTCACCTTTTTCTCGACATTTGACAAGAAATTAAACATAAAAGTAATGTCATGACGAGTTCGAATGTGCTGCTAGCAATATAATTAGTATTTAGCAATCATAGAATGCAGAATAACATCGACTTAAAAGATAATTTGGAATTCAATGACAGCTTTAACCACAAATTACTCGTCCAACGTACATAAATAAGATTAATATTCTCGAGACAACTAAAAGATTCACTAATTAGCTACCTACCCTTAAAGTAATGAGAACTTTGTATGTTAGTTAAAATTAGTGGATTCAAATTCATTGATCTTTCATTTCCCCATAGTGGCAAAACATTGCTTAGCTTTGAGTTCTTGTAGACATATTCACCTAAAACACGATTATTTATTATAAGGAGATAATGTTAAATAATATTACCCTCCTCGGGACTATCGTAGTTGTTGTCCATTACTTATATTTCAAAATGTTTAGTTGAAAGAATGATTAAAGTAAGGACATTTTTCTTAAAATCACAAATGGAGGACAACGCAGTTGAAAGTGAAGGATGGAGAGCACTTGTCATACAGATACAATAGTTTTTGTTGCTAAACTGGGGCAATATGCATACAACCAGTGTTGCCAGCTTTTGCACATCGCGAGTCGGCCAGATTGACCAACAGATGTCGCGCAATGTCACCAAGTCACATAGATATATAAATACCTAGATACAGCCATCCTTAACAAACGTACCTCGGTTTTTAAAAAACATATCAAAGAAATTTGTACATCTCTCCATTACTTTCTAACCAAGAAGAAACATGTTCTATCTCTTTTTATTGCATTAACCACTATGTCGTACGCGAATCGGACGCTTAAAACAAACTTAGCGCGTCCCATAAGTCATGTGACAGTTGACACATTTCATGATCGCGCGAAATCAAATCTAACTAAAAATATTCGCCCTAAACATGATGGGCGGTTTTTTCACTAAATATTATGTAATTATTGCGTTATCAATTGATTACGAATAACATTAGTGCTTGCCATAATGATAGACGCGTCCATAATTGTTATTCCTGAAATAGTTTTATTACATAGAGCTACGCGATTCAAATTTGGGACTATGTTTACCTTGTTTGGCATGATGTGCTACAGTGAATTCATTGCTGGCTTGCAGAATATCAAAAAAACCGTAAGTAAGTAAAGTTTATGTTCAACATTTTAATTTTAATTGCATGGTTTTAGGCGTAATGGTAACGGAGATTAAGTCGCGACAGGAAGTGAATTCGTTTCCAATTATCATTTTGGCCTATATGATGTTGATGCAGTGCGTTTGTATCATTATCACAAAGAAGGATCCGTGCAATATTCTTAGAAAAACGAGATTTATAGACTGTGTGTGCGTGCAATATCAAATTTTGGTCGCTACGCGTCTTGCCTACCTTTCGGCATATGTCCAATCGGTGGGGTTTCTTTTTGAAATTATAGTGCTAATTGTAGTAAGTAAGCTACACGTGTACATTTATTTAAAATAAATACAACATCTTAACAATGATATCGAATTGGTGATAATACTCATTTAGTGAACATTCATTACCTATGTTTGTAAAAGTTCACAATCCGAATCATCGTCAGATGAAATTGACAAATCCGAATCATCACTGTCATTATTAACACTGATTATAAAGTTCAGAAACATCAACCAAATTAATCACTTTCCACATGTTCACACACTTTCTTCCAGTTGTCAGCTGTAATGTTTTCAAATTCTTCATTTGCCAGCTTTCTAAGTAACATCTTCCATTTTAAATGTAACATTTCTTGCTGCTATGCGATTTAAATAAATAAAAAGGCGGTTTATTTATGTTGTACAGTCTCAAATCTGATAATTTTCTGTGTGATTTGTGCTAACAATTTGATTGACAGTTATAATAAATAATGCGAATCTTGTCTTCCATGCTCAGGGTACCTCTATAAAGGATAGCGCTATACGTAATTAATGTGCCGAAAGTGATGGTAATAGATGGTACGTCCTTTTGAACTATGTTGGGGTATGGCTGTATCTATGTATTTATATATCTATGCCAAGTCAATATAAATTCGAAAAATAAGGGTTTTTATCTGCGGCTTTTTCGTTTTTTTCAAATGTGTATTTACGTTTGGGAGTACACGTGCTTTATTCTTCGTGTTATGTTAACTACTAGTGAAGGTTAGGTTTAGGCAGTGGCGGTTCCATAGGTACACATGTGCCCATAATCATTGAATAAAAAATTTTTATTCAATGCCATAATGTTATACAAATTATAAATTTGTAACAGAGCTACTCTGCCTCCATGTGAAATAGGTTCCTCCAAACTGCTAACATGCAAAGAACGAAATCAACGAAACAAATATATCATGATTTTTGAACTTATAATTTTATATATTCGAAACCAATATGTGTGTATCCTGATTTTTGGTAAAAAAAAGGGAGGTTATACACTGCCTTTTTTTGAGCCCCGAAAAAAAAATGTCTCAGATTGACCCGGAAAAAAAATTTTCTTATAGAATGTGGCCTGTAGAATCCATAATTTCAAACAGTTCCAAGATTGGGCTACTAGTTCAAAAGTTACAGGCCTTTGAATTTTCTTTCGAAATTGGTTTCTAGTCCATAACTTTTGATTGAGAAGTCCGATCGAAAAAGTACGAATTGTTTTGGATTCTACGCACCAAAATTAATACGAAAAAGTGTTTTCCCGAGAAATTTTGGTACAGTCGATTTTTGGTAAAAAAGGAAGGTTATACACTGCCTTTTTTTGAGCCCCGAAAAAAAAATTTTCTCAGATCGATCCGGGAAAAAAAATTTCTTATAGAATGTGGCATGTAGAATCAATAATTTCAAACAGTTCCAAGATTGGGCTACTAGTTCAAAAGTTACAGCCCTTTGAATTTTCTTTCGAAATTGGTTTCTAGTCTATAACTTTTGATTGAGAAGTCTGATCGAAAAAGTACGAATTGTTTTGGATTCTACGCACCAAAATTAATAAGAAAAAGTGTTTTCCCGAGAAATTTTGGTGCAGTCGATTTTTGGCAGTACCTACCTATATTAGTTGCAATAATCTAAGTTACTTATTAATACAGCGGAGATGTTAATTCAACTACTCCCGTATTACAAAAGCATGCATATGAGATGGTTGCCCTTACATACAGTTTTTTTTGTATGAGTTAAAACAATATATAGTAAAACTAGCTATAGATACACTTGCAACAATATGTATATGATAAATTTTATAATTCTTCATAGCTATCCCTATACGTATTATATTTTTTGATAGCTATTATTATATTTTTAATTACCTTTAACATACATTTTTCTCCTTGATAAAGGTAAGATGTTAATTTTACCAGCGATGGTCAGTTTTATTACACACGTTTTTTTACAGGTCGTCATTTTGTAGACGATACAGCATCGCGAAAAGGAAGGGACACTAAACTCACTCCAACAGATATAAAGCACTGGTGGATCGAATTTATTAAAATACATATACATGTCATCTACTTATATCTTTTCCATTTCCAAAGTAAAATTTAAAATGAAACATTTAATTCTTGTTATGTACTTACTCTATGACCCACATCTCCCCCTCCCACCTCCCTCAACGCTCAACATCATGCTGATGCTTGCGTTCCGGTTCGCGAAAATTTCCATTCCCAGCAAGCAAAAAGAATGGATGGCTCAATGGCTGTAGACATTCTTCAAAAGCACCTCTATTCCAGCTGTAGACGAAGAAACCTACCTTAAACATACACGACGGACACCACTCCTAAACAAAGTAACTACATCGGTTTTGATTTAGCAAGACAAAGAATATCACAATTCTCAAGCTACCAGCTCATATTTGTACTGCAATTTTACCATAGATTACGTTATTGTGCTTTTTGCCATATTCCGTAATGAAGTGATGGGTCATCCTGATAATTGAGCCTTTTGCTCATTCCAGATGCCAAAGAAATACTTCGCGATTTTTTGGTAACATTTTTCAATTCTGATTATACCTATAGTTCGGATAGCTCCTCGAGAGTTTTGAGATTCTGTAATGGTTTTCACTGCCGTCTTGTAAGACATTTTCTTTTAGAGGGTTGGTATTCGATTGGAATTCTGAATAACTCCTCAATGAAGCTTTTTCGTAAACCTTATAATACCAAAATCAAGAGGTTTTTTTCAGGTGCTAAAGAAATATGCGGGCCCAGTAGATTAGATTATTAGAATGATCGTATGTCCGATTAGAGGAGATACCTACCAGATAGTACCTCAAGATTCGAAAAACTTCTGTAATAACCACTGGATACCAATAATGATACCTAATAACATTATACAGGGTGGTGACTTGCGTCGCGCATCATAGGGATTTCAATGTAAAATTCATAACATGCGATTATTGGCTCCCCAAATTATTTTAGAGCAAAAATGTATTAAGGTTTTTTGTAGAAAAATTTTTTTTACATCAATCAACCGTATTAGTTTTCATAATAAAAACGGAAAATTGGAGAAATAAACCCCCATCTTTTTCAATAATCTTTGATGCCATGGAATTTTATAATACAAAAACTACGCCAATATCTGTCATGCCATGGAATGTCTGCTATAAAACAAATCAAATTCTATTAAAAAGTATTATATTTAGAACAGCGAATTCAACAAAAGAAAGACCAAATTACTAAAAACGGTTTCCTAATATAACAATTTACAATAAATGTTCGAATAAGTCACCATTAACTGCAAGTCAGTAACCAAGTCGATCATAAAATCCATTTCGAACTGCTGCTAATTGATAACTCGATATCTTTTTGTTTTAGAAAATTCCATGGCATCGTAGATTATTGAAAAAGATGCTGGTTTTATTTTTCCAATTTTCCGTCTTTGTATGAAAAAAATTGAAAACTAATACGGTGGTTTGACGTAAAAAAATTTTCTGTACAAAAAACTTCAATACATTTTTGCTCTAAAATAATTTGGGGAGCCAATAATCGCATGTTATGAATTTTACATTGAAATCCCTATGATGCGTTACGCAAGTCACCACGCTGTATATAGATGTTATTGTATAGCGGACGGAAATTTTTATTTCTTATTTTTATTTAGTTCTGGTCATTCTAAAGAGTTACTTCTTAATAGTTTTGAAACTTTCCCTCATCGAATTTTCTGGTAAACTTTTCAATTAAACAGTTAAGAGGATTATTAATATTTCAAACGCCAAGGGAAATATTTAACATTTAAAACGGATTATGATAGGTATTTAATATTTCACGCAGTTTCTTAAACATTTCCATAAGCATATTACAGTTAAACACATTTTTTGTTGGAATATTGGAGTTCTGTCCTCAGTTCCCGTTAGTCCACAAGTTTATGCAACAATTACCTAATTATAAGATTTTGCTGTAAAATGTATATGTATCAATGTGTCCAGTGAATATTGGAAGTTTTTGTTTTTGAAACATTTGAGGTTGTTTTGCAATGATTTTTCGCGTAACCATTTTTAGAGCTGTTGGTGACATTTTCAAAAAAAGTCACCTTTGACGCAATGGGGGGCTGCGTGAAGTTGCAAAACTGGTTTTTTATGACTTAATTAATAGTGGGAACATTTTCCGGATTTTATCAAGTACTCTAAAACTTTATGGAGGCCTCCAGAACCCTAAATACAATCACAAAAATTTGTAAATTATGGGCTTACTTCACTTTATTTATTTTGAAATAGCGAATCCGGTTTTGATTTCCATGGATATTCATAATTAGCGAAGCGCACAATGCACAAAATAATAGTTGGATAGGTGAAATGCCTGAAGCACAAAAAATGATGGGCCTTATGATACTTCTTTCCAGTAAGTTATAAACGAAAAGATAATGACATAAAGTGATAAAAATAAAGGAACTATTAAGGAAGGAAGGGAACACTGCCGATGTGCTATATGTATCTAATCTTTAAAAAAGCCGGAAACAATCGTCGTTTGAATTTGATAACAACAACCAATCCAAGCGTCCTTTGAAATTCCCGACCTCAATCACTATCTTCAAAAAGTATGTTTAATTATATTCATTTCCAAATTAATTGTTGCTATTGTTACCAGCGTGTATAATGTCATTCCGAATCGAAGATATTTTGAAAACGGACTTTTCCTCCCGTGCAAAATCACCGCCCAAATTCAGTAATAGTGGCGAAAAAGTGAGCGTAAGTTCTAAAAATGTGACCAGTGATGTACGTAACTACAGTATTTTACAACAAACACTTTTAAGTCAATATAATTCTATTAACCCTTTCGATTATTATTCATGTGAACAATTTTATTCTGCGGGAACATGTGATAAAATTGGATATTTTCCTAGCAACTATCCAGATTATTGTTACCCAAATGGTAAGTGGTAATTATAGGTACATAGTCATTTTTATTCAATTTTGTAATTTCAAATTTTCCACTTCTTATAACACTATTGAGACACAAACTTCCTTACCTGTGAGCCATATTACGCAGATAGGACGATACTTATCATCATACTAACTTTTAGGGTAGGTAACTCTTTCTCGGAAAAGAAAGCGTGAGCAAACGCCAATGGCAATACATTATAATATCATGAAAATAGATTCTTAGGATGAGTACCTATAGCCATTAAAAAGTATTTAACAGCGCAATTTATCTTCTCAGTTAGGATAATTTTGTAGATTACATTACCATGATAACCAAAGGATGACCGCACGACCATTATCCATTTCCTAATGTTGTGGTTAGCGTTTATTTCAAAAACCATCTTAGAGTCGTGGTCGTCAAATACGTTTTTATTTCAATGTTGAATTTATTTGTACTAGAGGTTTCTTTAGAAATCGATAGCGGAACAACATCCTGCAATCACTAACATCTGACTCCCAGACATCAAATTTAAATTACAGACATTATATTGAAGTACTAATTCCTGGCAATTAGAGGAGGTTTTCTTATTTTCATATTAATTCCGATTATGGACCTCCGTATATTATCTGCTATGCCTTCGCCATTTGTCTTGATTATGCTATACTAATTTCATTGATATCGTGACTCTCCTTCTCCTTTACGAATTACCAGTACTTACCTACCCACCTACTTTAGTTGGATTTAGATAGATTAGATTGATTTACTTGTTCTTTATCAGTTTTACAATCGATTTTTTGTATTTCCAGCTTACCAATATCTACCTATCTACTCGCGAAGCAGACATTACCAAAGCTATGAGTCTCTGTCGCACTTATATCAGATGGCATCAAAAAGGAAAGGGGGGCAGGTTCGTTTCACATCCATACAAACAGAAGCATTAGAAAAAAGGTTTGTTTCGCATAAATATCTCAGCCCAGAAGATAGAAAAATTTTAGCCGACTCCTTGAAACTGACAGATAAACAGGTGCGTGTGTTATATGTCCGTATGATTAGTACATTTACGATGCATTTTTTACAGGTAAAAACTTGGTTTCAAAACCGAAGAGCAAAGTGGAGACGATCAAATAGCACTTCGTCCAATTGCACCGACACGGAATACGAAAAACTTGACGAAACCGACTCGGAGAAAGCATTTTGCGATGGTTTTATTGCTTAGTAAAATAATAGTAACCAAATAATGAACCATTCAGTATTTATGGAAACTTATTTTGTATAAGGAAAATTGTCATTGCAATAACTAACTAAATTTTCCTTTCACAAAAGTATTACGCTTAAATACAGTTTTTTTTGTATACAGTTGTGTTTTAATCATTGATGTCTAGCGCTAGTGAAATCGCTTCAAAAAGGTTACGACTGTTTCGGGTATGTTGCAATCCAAAATTATTTTCCCATTGGTTGAAACGCAAGCATCCGCACAAACTCTTCCTTGGAAGTATGGACCAAACATTTTCTTGCATTGAACGCAGTTCCTGAAAGGATATACATCTTAATATGAAATGGTGTAATTCAATACCTAACCATTAAAAAAAATAATTTTCTAAACCTACGAATGCTGTACCGAATTTCATTTTCTTCCAAATTTATTAGCTACTGACACGAACATAATCCCACGAATGTCAATCCAATGCTACAATTTTTAAAAATTCTTCGAGTGTTACGACTGTAATTTATACTCTGGCCTAAAAAGTTCGCTTCTTCTTCGGCTCAAAATGAAGCTCAAAACAACAAGGAATTACAGTATTTACTTTTTAAGAAATGTTTTATTGAACAAAAAATGAAACTACACTAAATCAGCTAACGTTTTTATTCTTCTTTTTGTTATTTTTTCCGGGATCATTTTCATCAACCTTCATTTTTTGCATCTTTCTGCTTACCGATCTAAACTCCATACTTACGAACTCTTGTATGTTTTCCTCGTCATTTTCGACAACGTTTTCTTCCTTTCGACCCAAGATCGGTCTAGGAAATGGAGTTTTTGTGCCAAGAATTGGTCGTGGTCCATTTGGATCGGTGATTCTTCGAACAGATTTTCGGGAATATCGCGAGGATTGCGGTTCCTTCGACGAGAACTGTTCAAGAATTGCTTGTACTGGATTCTTAACTATTGGCACGTATGCTGGAGCGTCCGGTCTAAGCTGTTTTTCCGATTTTTCGGTTTCTTGCTTCATAGGTCCGTTATTACAAATGGAAACTGACATTTACGATTAATCGATTGTCATGGATGTGGTGATTTGTATGCAATTTGTTCCTACTTTCTCGAACTAACGCTATTTGCCAGTTGTATTCAGTGGTGGAGTGAAGCGGGAACGCATGGTTCCCTCTTTGCTTTCTACAAGAATGTATATCTACGTCTAAGTAAGGTCTTCAATGCTTTTTACATAGTAAAGACATCATTTTATTGCAACCAATTATAGATTCTGAAATGTTTGACTTTTAGAGTTATGTTTAGCCAAAGAGTATATTATGCTCTTTGGTTTAGCGCATTTTCCATCTCATGTTGGAAGGCGTTATTATGGCCAGTTTCTCCGCCCATCCGTCCGTCTGAGACCTTAATTACTCCTATAGTTTTCAAGATATTTAGCTCATTCCTTTTGCGTTCGGTAGCACATAGCGCTCGCACCTGAGCCAAGAAAAATCTGGACGATTAATGTGCGCATGCGCAGGCTGTCCAATATCAACTTTCATATTTATTAATATATTTTGTTGAAATTTTAACCGAAGATGCTGTTAGTATAAGCAAACATATCTCATATTGGAAACATCAGTTAAATGTGCGCATGCGCAGAATGTGCAATATCAACTGTCTTATTTATCGAGATATCTTTTGAAATTTGATTCTGTTAAAGGCCAACATATCTCATATTCTAAACATTATATGTGCGCATAAGTATTTTGCGCAATTCCAACTTCCTTATTTATGAAGATAACTATAGGTACATGCTTCTAGTAAAGAAAAACATATCACGTGTAGTAAAAATCGAAAACTACAAATGTCAATAGCAACGGCAAACACCTCTTTCTCTTTGAAATGTTATTCATAGACGATTCTAGTAAACACAAGCATATCGCATATAGCATAAATTAACTGTGCGCAATGTCAACTTTGTTATTTATGGAGATATTTTAACCATAGGTGCCTCTAGTAAAAAAAAACATACCACACATAGCTATGGTCTTTTGGGAAGTACTGATCAATGCATGGAAAATACACTCAAGTTACTTGCCTTAGGGTAGAAACCCTGGTAGAAACCACTTGTTTTAATTTCTGCTCTGTTATTAAAATATTACAATCAGTGGCCCGTCTTGAAATGAAAACCCTCAATCTGGAGCAAAGTCAGTTTGTCTAATCATTTATGGTTGCACTACTAAATTTAGGTACATTTAATTCCATTTGTGATTTCAACTTACGTAATACATATGTCAAACGAGCAGTGGCCCATTGCGGGAACTTTCCAAAGCAACACCAAAACGTACAGCACACCATACAATCTATTCTGTAACAGGAAAGGAAAAAATTAATCAGTATAATTGTGTTGGATTAACATCAACACGTAACGTAAAGGTAAGATGACATACACGAAAATAAATAAGATCTATGAATCAATTATCATCCATGAAACAGAACGAGACCTATACGCTTTTATGTGCCCTGTCGCTAAAACATTTTCTTTCTTTAGGTATTTCTTGGACGTTAATATTAATTGATCCAAATCTATTTCTCTTCAGCAAACAATTGTTGTTAAAGTACAATTGAAAATCAGATTTCAGGCCCGCCCCCACAGTACTCTGGACGTTTACCCCCGCTTATACCCATATTGATGGCCTCTTAAACCATTTTTAAGAGAGTTTTGAAAATTTGAAAAAAACATTTCCACGACAAGAACGGTATTAATGTACGACTAAATGTACCTATGACACACTGATTTTTTGCTCTCACAAGAACGTAAATATATAGGTACATGTTACTAGCTTATAGATAAATGTTTTAGTTAATAGTCCGGTCGAGATAGTAAGTCCCGTGCGTTTCCTGTGGGGACCTTTTTTTTATTACTGATACTCGCTTTTAACATGATTTTAATTATTTTAAAGATGGGAGCCTCGTAAAAAAATTGTCGTTTGGCCGCCATATTGAATTTCATCCCGAAAAACAAAAAAATGGTTAAACTAACTTACCTATTTGAAAAATATTGTTATTTTAAAACTTTTAGGTTTAAATTAAAGACCTGTAAATATTTAGAACATATATTGCAGAAATTGAATTATTATACAGGGTGGCTAAAAAATATAACATTTAGCTACGCACTTAAAAGAAACAAAATATTAATATTTATTCATGTGCCGGGCATTTTTGTATTCATAGGCCTGCAAGTGACTCCTGAGACAATGCTGTTTAAAGGAATCCATGTCTGGCGGCAACCGTGCGGTATCAAATTGTTGTAATTGCCGCCACTTACGTGTCCTAGCATGAGCCAATGTGTTGCTTACTGGATCGTTATATAGAACCCTAATTGTTAATAACTCAAGATTAAGAAGGAGCTGTTCTGAACATTCGTCACTAGAACCAAGTTTCTGTATTGTCTGATAAAAACTGACATTATCTGAATGAAGGATACGTTTCATTGTAGTGACCTTCCCTAAACCAAAGAACCCTTCTACAGAATCACACCCAGTAAAAACATAAACACCAACAGTAGCCGAAGCTTTATCTAAATTTGAACACAAAGATCGACAATTAAAAAACTCGGAACCACTCGGTTTTTTCTTATGCATATACATATATATATGAGGCAATAATCCACACATCTGTGTCCTCAAAATCAAAAACAACCGAATGAGAATCACTTAATTGTGCCGCTTGGAAAAATATCCGCTTCAGATGGTGAGGATGCCTCAAATCGGGGATCGCATTCACCAGTTGTAAGGTTATAGCAACTGAGGCCTGTTGTACAATACCAATCAGCATTATGATCATATTTGACCCATTCTTTTAAAAGAAATTCTTGCAGCCTTTGTTTGTTTTCCGGTTTTGAGAGGAAAGAACGCCATGATTTACCTGTAGGCATTTGCTGGTCGCTGTCGCAGGATATACATTTGGAACAAAACCATACAATTGCATTCGACGTTTTTGCTCATGTTGCTTTACACTTTCCATAAACACTTCCTCATCGTATATATCATTGATCAGCTGAAAAGCTACGGCTTGAGGATGGCGATTTAGTATGTATTTATAAAGATTTACCGCAAACTGACTACATGTCTTGCAAGCCATTCCAACGTCGACTATGACATGGTATTGTGTTGGTGGTAACACAGGCTGAAGAAAGCTGTCATAAAATTGGACTTAACAGGCTTATGAAACATGCCATCAGCTGAAAATAATGATAAACTGATCTCTGTTAGTCTGTGTTGCATTAAATCTTCGAGCGTCATTGTGCAATTTTGTCCAGTGGTCAACAGATCGACGACCTGTTTTGTTGCAGCATGGTTAACTGATGTTCTTAGTTGTTGTTTTGATTTATTAGGTACACTTTTTGTGGCAAAGTTCTTACTCTTTCGTTTTTTTTTCGTTGGTACAACTTAATATGGCGGCCGAATGACAATATTTTGAAAATGGCTCCCGTCGTAAATTTAATCTTTAATACCTAATGAACTAATTACAACAATAAAAAAAAGGTCCACTATCAAAAACGCACGGTATGTGATGTATCGACCGGACTATAAGTTTCCAAATAAATTGAACATACAAATTGACTTACCATTATTACAACTCGATATGCACCTACACCACTTGAAGGCGAAAGTTGAAATAAAAGTTTTATTAAGAATTTTAAAACCAAAAGGTTTCTTATTTTTGATTTACGTCTACGCAACGCCAACAAATTCATTTCATAGCAGAACATTTAAACTTAGTGGGCTTCTTACTTCTTTATTTCCATGTAAATTAGAAATGGTGTTATTTGCCTCGTGTTTTCAATTTATATTTTCGCAAACGTGAATGAACTAACTACCCCGAGGCCCGAACGCGTAAATGTAAACCAATACTAGTTACTCCAACGCGATTTTTTTTAATTCATGGAATCGTTTTGAATTTCAGGTTGATTATATAAAATGAATACATAATTATGATGATGGTCAGTCAGTCTTTGGAGAGAAACAATTGGCGTACTCAAAAGAAATCTTTTGCATGGCATAATACGTAATGGCACTATACTACGTTAAATTATGTTGTTTTGATAAGTTTTACTATTTTAGCGCATTTCCACAAAAATTTAAAAAAATGCGCTATTGTGGCCACTTTGTCCGTCCGTCTGTCTGTCCGCCCATCCGTTGGGACGCTACTAGTTCTTTATCTTAAGAGCTATTGTTCTACTTTTCTCGCTTTTTGGTTCGTTATGGTGTCGAGGCTTGCACCAAGGAAAGAATTTTTTCTGTCTTTATTGCTAAAAAAGTTATTATAAAAAACCAACAAACCATTTTTTACATGTTCCATAATTTTATACTTTTGCCGTTTATTAACGATCCTAGAGATCGTTTATAATTTTGTATTGCTGTATGTCGTCTGTCCGTTCTTGAACACGATAACTGTCAAACGATTGGACCGATTTGTTTCAAAATTTGCACAGTTAACATATATGTAAATTAACTTAATAACGATATAAAGGATGAGGGGTATTACACCCCTAAATTAAACACTATATACAACCATTTACCATGAGTGTTTATTGAACATTAACCATGGGTGGGACTTCTGTCCCCTGCTCTTGTCACACCTAGGTGCTCTCCCGGTTTTTTACATGTTCTTTAGGGGTTTATTAATATAAGGAACTTATCTCAAAATTTCACATCAGTACCTACCATTAATTACTGAAAAGCAGTTGTAAGAATGGGCATTTTGTCATACAGAGATCAGTAAACGGTTCACATTGGGGGAAATAACAGTGAAACAGTGAATACCTAATAATCTGCTGGTAAAAGTGCAACTGACAAGTTTATTTATGAATACGTCAAATGTAGCTATTTGTGAAAGTTAATAAAGAAACCTTCACTGATTATCTCTTGTCCATGTATGGAAATGCACAGATTTAAATGCTTGCGATAGGTGGTAAAGTCAAGACACAGATTGGTTATTGCAGAGTGGTCAAGATTTGTATAATATGGATATTCCTTCGACATCTCGACAGACTTCTAGTCGATTTTCAGTATTATCTCATATTGCGACGGTGAGTAAACAAAGGGTATATCTGCACAGTTCTCTTCGATTTTCTGAATCTATTCACCATATAAAATCCTAGGATTTGGAGGACTTGGAGCCCCTTATCCTTAATTAAATTTTGCCAAATTGCTTCTCAGGTCCGAAATGATCGTCGAACTAGTTTAGATAACCTAAACCGATTATCGAGGATTCTTGTTCAGTCGCCTTTACCCAGCGATAATGAAATAAAAGAGCATTTTCAAATATGTTTGAAATTGTTCGCCGAAAATGTAAGTATCGTATACAAAGCCAGGACGTTTTCTAGTTCTAGTTTCAGAGAATTAGTGCAAAGAATGTATGGAATTTGAAGCTCATCGATTACATGAGAATGGTGCTTATTTCTAAATCACAAGAAGAGTCACTACAAGTTGCTAGTACTTCTCTTGACGTAGGAGCTAAAATTTACGGCATTCGCGTGGATGACATTCATTCGGACGGTTTCAAGTTGGCAAGTAACATGGCGCGAGTTAATCATCAACCAGAAATTGGTAAGAAACTGCTGCTCTTGCACTTGATTCTTATTGATTCCAAATAGAGGAACATCCATCTCACGACGACAGTGTAAATCAAGAAAATAGAGCATCAAAGAGAAAAAGAAAGCATGGCCAACCCGCAACGATAGCTAAGAATCCAGAAACCCTATTAGAAGATATCCCGAGAGCACCATCAAGGTTTTTTCAAACAAAAACTGATGCCGAAGTGATCCTTACAAGTAGCTTACTTACCAATATACTTCCAATGCACCCCTTTGGTCACAAATTAATGTTATTGTAAGAGATTTTCCATTAAGAAATAAATTTCTCTACTAGACATTTCAGAAGTAAAGCGAAAGCATGGCCGAGATACAGAGCTAGCAGATCTTATCCAAAGCAACGATACAGTTTTGATATACCCTATTTTGATTCGTTTGTAATCAGCGCTCCATTTGCTGAATTTGAAATAGATCAGTGGGATATAGATCGCGAGGACGAGCAGTTCAATGATATAAGTGGTGCTGGAATTATTGAAATAGAAAATGCTCCTGTTTATGAATTAGACGGCACCATACGAGATAATTTCGAACACGGTTGGTAGAAATTCTATTCTAAAAATACAGTGTGGGTTACTTAGGTGAAGAAGATCAAAACCAAAAAGAGGAGGAAGAAAAATTCGATTATATTCTTCATTTTCCTGTGAATTCCATAAGTAGACGGGCTAACGATTGTTCGTTTCTCAGCGTGGTGAAACTTTGCAACAACAAAGTAATGAGTCGCGTATGGGCCGGCCCTAGTCACTGGAAGTTAAAATATCTTCAACCGAAACGTTCGTATAGAGAAATGTACGAGCACAGATTTAATATTTAAATCTGTGGTACGAGTAAAATAAAATCATGTTTAGGTAGGATTATTATTCAGGTAGCAAATTTACCGGTAAACAGAGGGCGCAGTCGTCAAAGAAAGAGCGCCGAACGGACGAAATTATTAATTTTCTATTAGATTACCCAAAGATAGACAAAACAAAACTGTATCAATCCAAAACGACAGTTCAGAATTTTGACCCAATTAAGTAAGTTTTTAAGTTATCTTCCTTTTTCTGTATTTGAAGTACTTTTCCTAGATATTTTTTATTGTTTAATTTATTGATAATTGATTGGTGAATGTTATTAGGTCAGTTATAAGAAGCCATTATACAGCTTCTAATACGTGTACAGTCGTGGTCCCAGGTCCAGTTCCTCCGTGAATCAATTTCATTTCGATCTTAGGGACTTTCTTCATTTTGAAAAGAAGCTCAAACTTTCAGGAGGTTTGGTTCTGGTATAATAATTATTACTTGAGATAATGGAGGGAAAATACGTCTGACCAAAACCGTACAATACTGGCCTGTCTGACAAAAATTCGCATATAGGGACTTGTTTTTAAATTTTTATCATTTATCATATAAATTTCAAGGTAAATATTTTGGTACTGGACAGAATTTCGTTCCCAAAATGAATCATTTTATTAATCTATTATATTTCGTAACTTAAAAAAATATAAGTAAGTATGAATAGATAAATATCTATTAGTGCTACAGCCTACAACGTTAAAAAGCTGGAGGGATCCTTAATTTTACAGTAGGTAATTCACCCACATGGGCAAGAGATGATTTATTATGTACTTCAAGTCTGCGTCACGGACATCGTTCGCTTAAGTTAAATGAAATTAAGTTAAATTCTATGACGTCGTATTTAAATTTGATCAATTTTGTACTTCCAAATGAAACTAAGTAATTCGTTTTTAGATGCTCCCTTCCTTTAAAAATTCATTTGGAAAATAAGGGCAGACCCTTTATGCTGAAACCGTTATACATTTGTAACAACTATTGGGTTGAAAATAATGAAAATGTTTTAAATCGGGACGAAGAGTGCAATAATAATATTACTATGCCAAGTTTTGAAACTGGTCATCAAATTAATGTACGGTGAGATGTTCTCTCGTTTGTAAATTAACAAAATTTTTAGGAAGCGGAGATGAGCACTCACGAAGAAGTGAATGTATGCCATCAACGGCAAGAATCAAACATGGATTTCATGGTCGATATCCCAGAAACGGTAACATAATTCTATTTTGTTATAGGTACTTATAAAACGCCTTGTATAGGTACAACACTTATACGTACCATATGCATCAAGCTATAAGAAAATAAACATGACAACATTAAAACAAGCAATTTGGAAAATCATATTGGGTGAAAGCAACGAAGAACCAAATATTGCTGAAGTAGTGCAGAAGCAGTCCTTTAGCGAGGTCTACCAACAGTTACCGCAACGTTTGAGTGTGAAAATGCAAAAGAATTTGAGTTGTCCATTAGCCCTCGTTGCACTTTTACATCTTGGAAATGAACGTAATTTGTTATTTACACAATTTGGAGAAAGCGATTTTAACATCGAGCAACAAAATCAACATTCTGTGGGTAACATTGTATCAAAAGATTAGCGACTTTTTGTCAACATCTCGCAATGGATTGAAACTAACAATGTCGCTAACAGAAATGATAAAAAGGTTATATTTTATATATAATAAGTTGAAAACGTTTGTTTATTAACTTTACTGTTTGTTTTTTATTCATATTTATGCATGTTGTTTATCAAATATACATAAATTCCTTTTGTTATGCCTCGGTACAAAATTTCTAAAAATGTGGCGCTTAATAGGTATCTATCGACACGGGAGCCTTGCATCTGATTCGAACGCAGTTCACATGATGGAGGTGATGAAAAACGACGTTTAGACTGGAAACAGGATTATGGGATGTAATTTTCTGTTCCAAGATCTCTTGTTATGTATCGCTTCAAGACTGCTTAGTATTACAGAACACCGTTTTGGAGGCAAAATTCACTGAAAGCAATACGAGTATGTACTTATGTAGGCACGAGATATGCAATACGCTACAAAACTTCTTGGTGCACCGTTGCTTTCCATAATCAAATTACTTGTAGCTTTGAATATTTTATATTCAAAGCTTGTAGATTGTTGCTGGGGCCGGAAAAAAATACCGGTAGGCACGAGATCCTTGCCCCATTCTCTTTCAAATGAACCGTGACCTAACATCGAATTCTGTTAAGTTTCACACAAGTAGTACGTGCCAGTTTTTTATATAGTTAAATTAATGGTATCAACAAATACATTGTCAATTGTAAAATAGCTAATTTTTTATTTTACTACGTATAATATCAAGTTTGGAAATACTTTTCGCACAGTTGGGATACTACCTAATGACGGAGTGTATACAAATAAAAAAATGTAATTTAAATGCTTTGGTAAATAAGAAAGTTGACAGTGCGCTTGCGCAAAATCAAATTTTTAACTTGGTGTTTGCTTTTATTCCAAATGCCTATGTATCAAATTTCATTTAAATGCTTTCATAAATAAATAAGTTGGCACTACGCATGCGCAGAACAATATTTCGAAAACGTCGTTTGTTAACCAAATTTTTGACGCTGCGCATGCGCAAAACCAAAAAATATCAAATTTAGTTTTTTTTTTCATGTCAATTCCCTTTAATGGACTACTATAGGTTGTAATAACAATAACGAATTTTAACTTATCTTCCTTATTCAAGGCTTATACATATATAATCACTGTAGTAGTGAATCATTAGTACAGTGCAATTAGACCCAAACCTCAACATCCAAAGTAAAAGTTTCCCTCCAACTGCAAATTGTTCTATACAGTCCACAGATTGTTTGGTAGAAAGTTATACCATTTTAAGCATCGGGTTTGCTTGGGAGGGGGGAGAAAAGTTGGAAAATTAGTAGTTTTGATTAGTTGTTCTTAAATATTTAGCAAACTATGTGGTTTAGTGCGAAAAGTGCCGTATATAAAAATAATCTACAGTAAATTGCGAACAAAAATGGCCTCGTATTTAATCTTGCTAAATTGAACCGCTCTAGAGATACCTACGGAGAGTGTAACAGTAGAAATTTTTCATGTTTTTTTTTAGATTCTTTTGGAAAAAATATGAGATTATCACTAAGGAAACTAATTTTTTTGTTAAAATAAATTGCGCTTTAGCGACCGGTGGTATGTTACTAATAAGTCCTTGAAGGAACGATAACCTTACCCATACCATCTTCTCAAGCGGGGCCATTTTTTAAAGGGACTTCCACTATGAGGGACAGTAATTCCTGGGGAGTTGCAGTATGTGTTGTTATTGCTCTCAGGTGTTCGACAATCTTCCATCCTCACTTCAGCGGGTTCTTCTTCTCATGCAGCCACTGCTACACCTGGTGGAAGGTTCTAAATAAATGTTCTGCCTGGTAGCTGCTGAAGCGGAGAGAAGCGCAGCCAACTTGAACTTTGAATGTACCTGTAGGATGCTTTGAAATAGCCTGCAAGTAACACTGGTAACGAAAACAAGCGAGATCTTCAGTGTTCTTTGCTTCAAACATAATTTCATTTTTCCAGAAAATCGAAAAAATACGAAAAATGTCTACTTTTACACCCTCCGTAACTCTGGAATCTTTCACTTGAGCAAGATTATACATAAGACTATTTTTATTCGCAATTTAATGTAGATTATTTTTAGATATCGTATTTTTCTCGCCAAACCCCATAGTTTTCTAAATATTTAAGAAAAACTCCAAAAACTACTAATTTACCTTTTCCATTCAAACCCGACGCTTAAAATGGTGTAACTTTTTACCAAGCAATATGTGGAATGTATAGAACAATTTGCAGTTGATGGGAAACTTTTAGTTTGGATGTTGAGGTTAAGCCGTTTTTTCGACTAATTGCACCGTACTATCAGTACAGTACGCGCAACTTATCCACCTACACCCCTTTTAAGTTCAACTGTTAGGTAAATTTACGACCATGATTGCTCCTATCTACTATGCCTTCGTATTTGTTACAAAAGGCTGTAAGTGGCTTCAGTTTGTCTTTGTGCAAGGAACAATTATGTCATTGCTACTATATGAGATCAAAAATGAGTTGCGGTTGAGTCACCTTTGGAATTTTTCTTTACATGGAAACTCTTAACGGGCGATCAAAAATGAGTTGCTGTCGAGTCGCCTTTGGAAGTTCAAATGAAGTACGATTTCTCATCTAAACAAAAATTCCAAAGGTAACTCGACAGCAACTCATTTTTGATCGCATAGTAGGTATCCTGAACTTGAACTTCGAAAGCGATAGCTACTCATTTTTGATCGCCCGTTATTTGGGAGCTATCATTTCAAGCCATTTTCCAATACGGCGATGTCAATGGAGAAGTTTGGTTTATTTTGCAGAAACTCTGCCATAAATTTACCTGATCCACTCGATGGTATGTAGTCAAAATCAGATATTGCTGGTCATTCTTCATTCTGATAAATGTGGTTCATTTTCTAGAGATGACCGCTTTTGATTTGGTGAAAAAGGGAAAACGATTACCGTTTTTCGGGCTTCTATTACAGTTTTAACTTTCTATGTAGGGTCTCATTCTGCAAGTTTGCAGCTTTTTGTAACAACACTTTTGGGTTTATGTGTGCAATTTTCTATAGGATTACTGAGCCAACTATAATTTTAGGTGCTAAATAAAGTTTCAATGGAAAGAAACTTTAGGGACTCATCTAATGTAGGTAAGTAAGTAATATTTTCCCCACGGCCACTGCTTTGACAGTGAGTATATCTAAAGTATTCGAAAACACATTATAACCTCCTTGAATCGTTCCTTTACCTTCATGAATAGGCAATACGGTTTTAGGCCAGAAAGAGGAGTGGATGACAGCCTTGTCAGATTACTCTCAAATATTTATTCAGCGGCTGTTAAACGGGTGGAAAAATTTTAATACAATTTTTTTGTGTCTCTGTGTCTCCTCGCTTCACAATTGGGCCCAATCAGATTATAGGATTTTTTTTAACTTCTCGTTAATATCGCACTCTGCTATGTCGTGTCCGATCGATACATGCACCAAGTCATTTTCGCCGTACAATGCCCATGTGTTTAAATACATTCTGCTCGCTGGATATCATAATATCCGAGGTAATATCCCTTAATATCGAGCGTACGGAGTCGCGAGGGAGAATCTAACACATTTATATAATTTTCGTGTAAATTCGATCTTAAACGCATTATTTATTACCGATTTCATAATTAACAAACGTCTTGAATTAACGAAATTAACATTTCATTCAAAAATGCACTGCCAAGTCGGATGAAAAACCTAGCTGGATGGGATCGAGTCGCAGGTCGGATTTAAAAGCAATCTGAAAGCACCGATTTCATTCCTACATCCAGCAAAGTTCGTGTGCAATCGTGCGACTATACGTACCACCAAAAGTCGCGCGTAGTCGGATCCAATGTGAGCGTTAAAAGCCCTACAGATGGTACAATTTGTCGTACAACTTATCGTACGACTTTGGATTGATACCACAGTCTGAACGATACTCGTATTGTGACAGTATGCGGAATACCAGTAGGTAATGTAGACAATGTGGTATGTTGTCAAATTATTGAGACTCAGAAGTAATCGAATTACAGTCTGTGTTACCAGATTGCTTGTAATTGCCCAAAATATATTTAGAATTACTAAATTATTCAAAAAATTACTGAAATTATTGCCAAAATAGAAAGCACTTCGAAGTAGGTAATTAGATACACAAATTTTCCGCTTCTGATGCGAGTTATATAGGCACAAATTGTAAAAATTTACGAATTTATTTTACGATTACCTATATCCATTTTACATTTTTTCTTCCTTTTCTTTTTTTTTAGGAAAATCAGCAACTCTCTATTCCACCGAAAAATATGCATCTTCACTCTAGCGTCTTAAATCGTACGCAATCGACTTCCTAACGAAATATAATAATTCAAAATTTCGAATTCTATAAGGGCTGGATCTGGGGAACTTAAGGTGAAATTGGTTTAATACGCTCAATTATAAGTTGCATAGTGTTTGTTTAATTAAATACATTTAGTAAGCAATTATTAGGTATCTCGAAAAGAAAATTTTGAAATCGTGAAGCAAATTTTATATTTTTACCTTTTATACATATCTTGAAATGGAATTAGGTTAAACGAATCACGTGGTTTGCTATTTAGTTTCTAAACCAATACATAAACTTACCCTTTCCACATGCGATGACAAACTGCCCTAAAAGTACACTCTACAAGAAGGAAATTGATTGGGATGGCACCTATTTACTTAACAAAGCGTATCTGCCACCCCGTGGATTATGTTTTAAGTGGAAGGTATAAAACAAACGAACAAATACAGACGTATCTTTAGTTTCAACAATAGAGCTACCACAGAACAACCCTCTTGAGTAAGTGCAATCCACTTGAATTCATTTTTCTGCATGATTTTATCAGTAATATATTGTACTAGCGCCGCATTCTCCCCATTGACGCATTATATTCATTGGTAGAATTCATACATTCTGGCGCTGGACGTCAGTATATAAAGAAGAATGGGTCAATTTAAATCGTTTCCGGACTAATTGATTTCTAATTTGCGTAACTTTGACCGCCTAAATGTTGAAATGTTTAACCCGTCCTTAACCAAGCAATGCGTCATCAATTGGAAAAAATCCCCCAATCGTAAAATGATTATTTATTAGATCTATAAATTAATAACATAGCGGAAATTAAAGAAATGGCACTCACATATCCGGGTCCCACGTCCTTGTTGGTCATAAAAAATCTTACTCTTTGTCGATGTTTCCTTTTTCGTTTCTCGTATGGAATTCTTGTCGTTAGTACGACAACGACAGATATACTCGATATGAATTTTAATTAAACTGGTTTAATTAGTGATTAAATATTGGAAGAAGGTAGGGAGTATCAACACGTGCTATGCTGTTTGTTTTTAATTTCTTCGGAAGTATTACCGACAACAGTGTTGACGCGGACATATATTGATACATTCTTATAGTAGCAGAATATGCCTATAGAAGTAACTATCAATATAATTATTCTAGGTATGGCTTGCTCAATGAAGACGATCTTTCGAATTTATTTTTTCTGTATTGCGGCACTTCCGTTCATTGAGGCTAACCCCATAGGTACGTTCCTTTCATCGCAAAAAACCGAAGCTAATTTATTTTCTCTTTTCAGGAATCTGCATAAGAAACTGTGTGCAATGCAAGAAAATGTTTGGACCCTATTTTGAAGGGCAAGTTTGTGCGGACGCTTGCGTTAAATTTAAAGGGAAAATGATCCCAGACTGTGAAGACATTACTTCAATAGCACCATTTTTGAGTAAATTTGATTAAGAATACTTTTGTAATTTATTTAATTTATTGAAAAATATATAAGTATGTATTGCAAGCATAATGTGTATTCTACCTTTACGCTTATTGTAAAAATGTAGTGAAAGTCTATTATTACGGCATATTTATAAACAAGTTTTGAATTATTTATTTATTTTATGTGTGACCACCGACTTTAGTGTCATACGATCTAAAAATCTATTTCTTATTGGTTAGAAATACATTACATTTTATACACGGAAATGTAATGTAAATATAACTAATAAGGAAAGGTCCTTTAAAATATAATTTGATGACGAATTTTAAATTCAGCTTTGCATATAGTCCTTTTTTATTTAATCCTTGCTTTTACCTTCTCAAACTAAGATACTTACAATGTTGACATACCCACATAAACCACCAAACGTAAGTACAACGCCTTGTAATCGATTTCTACGAGTTCATATTGAATATGAGCCGGATTAAAAGTCGAGTATCCGAATCCGAACTGAACGTTCAAAAATTTCCCTAGAGCAAATCGTATGCGATTCTTCGTATATTGTTACAGTGTTGTTCTATTGATATGCCCACGTAAAGAATTGCAAATTTTAAACAGTATATTAGAATAAATTTGAGCAAGAAATAAATAAACCTTGGCTGTCGATGCCTAAAAAAATAAATAAATAACAAATGATGATATGGATTTGACGTGAGTCTATATTTAATTGTAGGTACAAAAAATAAAATGTTAAGTATTGGTGTAGTAAATTAGCTCACTTACCTACTTACACTTACAGTATGGTGGATTGCAAAATAATTATCTTTTCATATAATTAGCAAACCACATCAAAGAATTTACACATTTCAAGTAGAATTATATACTTATTACATAACGAGCGTTGAAAACGATACCTTTCACGCAGGTGTGTAGGGTGATTTTCGAGAGAGTTGTGCGCTCGAGAGCTTTCGGAAAAGAGGAGGCGTTTGCTGTATAAGCAAACGAATTTCGTTTCAGTGCAGTTCTATATACGATGCCGAAATAATAAGCAGTTCGCGCTGTAATAAATGGTGTATTCGTGAGTATTTTACTCACTGAATATTTCACTGTTATAAATAAATTCATTTCAGGACTGTTATAGATTTATTGTTAATTGTTTATAAATAAATAAACGACTTAAATACATTTACAACATATTACGTAATAGGTATTTTTATCTAAATGATGCGGAAAACTGTCAACGTTTGACGTCACCTTAAATAGTATATTAAGAGACAAGTGTATAATCAAGTCTTTAAAGCACACGCAACGAGTTTAATAGCACGACGCGAAGCGGAGTGCCTTTAAACAATTTTACATGTGTTTCTTATAGAATTTTTTATTATACCTGCAATATAATTTAAAAGAAATACAATAAAATCATATTTAAGTATACTCGAATACATGTCTAATTAAGTGGGCTGGGGGTTCGTCATTTCACGATTGCCATGGAAATGTCACTTGATCTTTACTTATAAAAATCACCGTCTTTGTTAATAAAACTATTTCGGTTGAAAAAGATAATATACCGTCCATTAAATGGCTTGCTGTAAAATCTAAAGAAAAGTTGGTAGGTGTAAAATTCAAATCCAGTAAAGACTATATTATAAAGAATATGAAAAGTTGTTTCCATGGATGAATAGAAAGTTACTTACGAATAAAGTCTTAAATGCATCGATAATACTGGCATATATGAAGGAAATGTCAAAGGTATTTAAATCTTCTATCTTTTCGTGCATTCATTCAAAACTTCAAACAATGCTGCGATTAAAAAGTGGGACAGATTTGGAAGTATGCCCTAAATTACGCGCGTTTGTGAAAGCTTCAACCAAAGGATAGGTACAAGCCAAAGAAATTTTTGCATTTACAGAAAGCGACCTGAGAGGATCATTTTCGATTAGAGTGGTAGTAAAAATAACGTACCTATTTGAATTGTATTGCAAAAAAGTTTGTGAATTAAAATTTTTTCAAACTAGGTAAATTTAAAGAAATATAAATCATTCAAAAAACAGGCCATTGTCCATAAAGTAAGTTCTTTTTATAAGAAGGACACACCTGCAATATCAATAAACTTATCTAGTCAATCTAGTGTATTAAACCATATAAAGTAAAGTGATTGAGTTGGTAATTATAACTATGGAATCCTTGCATTTGTATTTAATTGTAAAACGTGAAATTGAATACAAAAGTGTAGGGACATCTCGTCGTTTGCGATAAGAACTTTTTATTGGACGCACGTGTTTTTATCGCTGTTAGAAGCTGACGTTACCAAGTCTAATTGTGATTGGATCTTATGGTCTGCTTCCTTAAATGCTGGAATCAACGTGAAAACGAAACTGATGCGGCTGCTGCTGCTAGCTGTTAATTTCCGCGACGGTAAAATAGCGTTTCCTGAAGCGTTCAGCGGATGTTTTTGTGTCTTTGATAAGTGGGCCTGAATATTGCAAACCTTTCACAACGACATTACTTGAATTACTAGAAAAAAGTAATTTAATTCTTTTACATTTTTAGTTATCGCTGCCTGCGTGCAGGGTATTATACCCAAACAAGCTTTGTAAGCTTTTCTTTCTTTCGGGGATCCTTTGTGCGACAGGATAGAGTTTAATTGTCAAATTTTTTTCTATTTATTGTCAGGTGCTGATCACACTGTGTGTAATAAATTCTTTTAAATTTTAACTACAGATCCTTTCTAGTAAAAACAAGTTGTAAATCAGCATATGCATGATTAAAGCGCATTTTTGGTAATGCAGGTCAGTATTTTATTAGCGAAGTTTAAAATTATCGATCTCGCGAGTAATTTTGGCTGCGTTAAATAATTAACTTTATTTAATTTCAATTGACGGTACGTCTTCATTTTGTAAAACAAATCACAAAGTAAATAATAAGTTTTTATACTGGTAGAGCTATCTAACGTAAAATTATAGCACCTCCGAAACCCATATCGCAATTATTTTCTTCAATTATCGATCTCACAAGTAATCTAACTCAAAATAGACTAGTGCCTGCACATCTACACTATAGCAGAAAGCTTTTAGTGAAAATTTGAAGTCTCTAGCTATTGTAGTTGTGGAGATCTAACGCGGACAGCCGGCCTGCCAGCAATAACGAATATAATAGCGTATTTTTTTCAAAAATGCGCTAAAAATAGGTTACCTACATAGCATAGCTATAGCCTTTAATTGATACTGAGCAATGCATGGAAAATGCGCTAAACTGCTCGCCTTAGGGCGAACACCTTTTAACTTGTTATATTTTTAGGGAGGACTGTGAAACATTACCATTCTTAAGGAACGCACGTAGGTTATAAGATGTTGTCCTTCTGTAAATCCATCGTGTAAAACGTCTCATATATTCTCGTGTAGTAAACAGTACCTAGCAATTTATTATTAAAGGTTTGTAACATCGGTCACGACAGCTGCGCCCCCCTTTCAGATTGTCGCGTCCGTAACTATACTAAATCTGGATGTCCGAACCAGTTCCCCTTTTTCTCCGTAACTATTCACTATTCTATTCTTTTACACGATGGTATTAGATTTTCACATGCCCTTGTTTCTGCTTGCACGTCATTTGAATAGTGTTTTGTAATATAGTGTTGTCCTGTTGTCTATACAAAATTTAAAATTTTTGCCAATTTTTTTGGAAACAGACCAAATTTTTACGTTACCATGTTGTAGGTAGCAAAGCTCACTCGATTCGTATTGAATAAACAATAATAACCGTCGAGTGATATTTTAATTTGGTAGGTAGTGTATTTTTAGAAACGATCATAAATGTCCCACACACGTTGTTGTGACGTAGTCAACGTTATCAGTATTCTAGTCAATCGTCAGTATGTCAACAAGATAAAAAGGTTCCGAGATATGTGGTCTGTAAAAGACTGACGCAGCAGTTTCGTTGGTCTCGTGTCCATTTGACAACTATGTATAAACGAGCACTTTCACTTAAGTAGGTAGCCTACCTACTATAGCAATTTACATATTTTTCCGCTCTGTATTATAATTAATTCATTTATGCTGAAGATAAACCGAAAGGTTAATAACAAAATAAGTACAGTTCATGAAATAAGTAAATGAATCATGTTTGTTAGACAAGCTAGTGCAATTTTAAGAAGATATATAAAAACTAATCAAAGGTTAAAAGTAAGTTACAAAATAGACTTGTTCATAGCAACGTTGGTAATATAATAATTTTTCTTTCGATTTCAGGCATTTTCAACGACTTCTTCAAGTATCGACTATCCCGGTGCCCAAGTAATATGGTCGGACAAATTAAGTTTCACAAATTCGCATTCTTATGCACCAATCCCAACGTATCGAGTGCTAAATTCTCAAGGCCAAATAAAGAACGCGTCTGAAGATCCTAACCTGTGTAAGGATGTTCTAGAAAAAATGTACAAGGATATGGTCCTACTAAATGTTATGGATAAAATTTTGTACGAATCACAAAGGCAAGGCAGAATATCATTTTATATGACCAACTTCGGGGAGGAAGCTACACATATAGGAAGTGCGGCCGCATTGTCCGTTGATGATTTGGTGTATGGGCAGTATCGCGAGGCTGGTGTTTTATTGTGGAGAGGGTTCACCATAGCCGATTGCGTTAGTCAATGCTACGGAAATAAGGAAGATGGAGGGAAGGGAAGACAAATGCCCGTGCACTATGGCAGTAAAAAATTAAATTTTGTAACTATATCAAGTCCTCTTACTACTCAAATGCCGCAAGCAGCCGGCGCAGCATACGCTTTAAAGGGAAAGAATAAAGTTGTGATTTGTTACTTTGGAGAAGGGGCTGCTTCCGAGGGCGATGCTCATGCTGCCTTGAATTTTGCCACCACCCTAGACTGCCCAGTTATATTTTTTTGCCGCAATAATGGTTACGCCATATCAACTCCAGCAGATGAACAATACAGAGGTGATGGTATTGCAGCGCGTGGACCTGGATATGGCCTAAACACATTAAGGGTTGATGGAAATGACGTTTTCGCAGTGTACAATGCCACTCTAAAAGCGAAAGATTTTGCGCTATCTCGAAATAAGCCAGTGTTGATTGAAGCTTTAACTTACAGGTAAATAGGTGATTGGTTTGTAAATTCCAATGCATTAATCTGCCCTAAAAATCCAGAGTATCGCATCACTCAACATCGGACGACAGTTCCGCTTATCGGTCCACGGAAGAAGTCGCACATTGGGTTACTAACCAAAATCCAGTTAATAGGTTTCGATTGTATTTGGAACAGAACAACCTTTGGGATGAAGGACGGGAACAAGAATGGGCAAAAGAATGTAGAAAAAATGTATTAACCGTATTTGGAGCAGGCGAAAAAGAAGCAAAACCTCATTGGAAGGAAATGTTTACAGACGTTTACGAAGAAATGCCCGATCACATAAAGTAAGTGGTTTATCTCAACGTGTAACTATACTCTATTTTACTTGTTTCGCAGGACGCAGATGAATCAAATGGCAGAGCACATAGAAATGTACAAAGATAAATATCCAGTAAAAGATTTTTCATAGTTGGTAATCATCTAAAGATGTTCTGTGGAAATGTTGCCTATATAAACCTTAAATTAATCTAACTCGTTTCCTTTGATTGCTGTACTTTTGTAGCTAAAGTCCGAAGACAAGTAGACAACAATTCGTAAATGTTGTACGCTGACGTTGGTCATCGCCGGAAGTGAGGAAATTAATTCCAATGAACGTCAAACTGACATTTTAGGCGTAAAAACAAAACATTGTAACTTCAATAGATTAGCATTGTCCAGCCCATCGTTCTATCTTTATAAGTACCCTTTCCTCAAGGTTAGTAGAAAGACTAGGTTCCTGGTAACTTTAGAGAGACGCGTCATCGAGAATCCGGAAGTCCCATTTAATTGGTGTCTAAATGTTCGTTGACTTTGACAGTTATTTGAACTGTGTTGTGTAAGTACTTAATTCTCATAGTGCTGAAGAGTCTATTACGTATACTTATTATAATATAAATAATTCGATTGAATACCTACTGTTGGATACTTAGGTGTCAATATAGGGTATTAGATGCCGGATGGAAATCTTTGCAGCGTTGCTATATGCAATAGCAACTCCAACAAATCGAAAGAAAATGCGGATCGCAGATTCAAAAGGTAAGTATACTGTATTACAAAAAGAATGGGTGGTAAAGTGCAATGGAAGGGAACCTGAACCCCGTATTCAATAAACTGTGCAGTCTGCATTCCCGGCCGAAGACTATGAAGATGAAATGTGAGCTATGCAATACGGGGACTTTTCAGTATATCCATGTAAAGTATACCATTTCGATCCATTTTGCATTTTTTGAACTTGCTCTATTGTTGTTGCATAATAAAATAATAATTAATTTTTTTTATGATCTGGACAAAATGGGGTTCTGGGTGACGTCATTCGCGTATTTTAATACTAAACGTTTATTGGCTGAAAGTTACGAGGCAACCGACTCTCTTTACTAACCTTGCCCTTTCCCAACATATTTCCGTTCAATCAGATACATCTTATCCAGAACTTCTACTTTGCTTTCATGAGTAAGTGCACTTCTTCGTCACGTCGAGGTAAATGAAGAACGATGAGCGATCTCGTTTATCAATAGAGTACCATTAATAAATAATCTTTTTTAAGCACTCCTTTCCGCCCCACCCATTACCATGATATTAATACACAATATGGACGGCTAGGCGCGTAAAAGTTCAACTAAATACGATAGTCCCTACCCAGATGTTCAAAGATCTACGTAGTTTATTGGTATAGGTAAGCACAGATTTAAGTGGTTAAATCTGTGGTATAAGGATCTTAATTGGTCCTATAGCTTGTAAGCCGGGGCTTCGATGGGAAAAATATAATATAGTCACCAACTAGGAGGTATGAAGGGCCACAACAGATTTCGATAAATCTCCTTCAACGGCGGAAAAATTTTGCCGGCGGATCTAATCTCATATAACAACCGCGCGAAAATTAATGCACGGTTTTCTCATTTATGATAGCAACATAACAATTTTTAAAAGTTGGCGTTTAAATTAAATTATTAAGGCTTTTGGGAGATAAAGCGTAGAAAGGGGGCGGACAAACGGGCACACTTTTTTTTTATCTTAAAAAATTATTAAAAGATAACTTATACTATACAATAAGAAATTATGCTTAATGTAAATCTTGATATTTTGACACGATGTGTTTGATGTAATGCTCCAAAGTTTAAATGATGAAATAAAGTAACTAGACGTTAGTAGTAACTGTAAAACTTATAATTTTTATTATAAGTTTTAGTATCTAACGTCTAGTTACTTTATTTCATTGTGACATGAATTTCCATCAATCTTAATCAGTAAGGATTTTTTTCTCATTCCTAATAAAAGCGTCCGGCCGTATATCGAATTTTGAACTTGTATTTTTGGCATAGGATCGTACCTACCTATAGCATAAAATTATTCGATTGATGGAAAAATCTCGTTACGGTGAATTGCCAAATGCTGTAGTACCTAAATGAATAAATGACTTCTCTATAACTTCAACTTCAAAAATGGTAGGTGGGTAGAAATACTATATTAGCGCATCTCTTTCCCCCCCCCCCCTTAATTCCCTCCGCCCCATGAGCTATCCATTTAAAATTTCACACCTTCTATCTATTGTTGCCCTTTAAAGATACTTTTCCCCAGTACTTAATTAGTTAATTATGGGGTTTATTGGAAATTACCCAAAAAATGCAATTAAAAAGTTGAATCGGATGAACTGTAAGTAAGAATTTTAAAGAGGAAATATCACGAGCATAAGGCGCATTGTGTGGCGTCAGACATTTTGTTAATAAAATAACGTTTACAGCGACCAGGGAGGTTTTAACATTCTATGTTTTGTTTGACCTCTTTCAAAACTTTCATTTCATCGCACCCCCTACATTATAACGGGAGAAATGAGTTGCTGTCGAGTCGCCGTTGGAAATTCAAGTTAAGTACGATCTCCTACGTAAACAAAAATTCCAAAGGTAACTCGACAGCAACTCATTTTTGATCGCATGACGCATAGTATACCTACCTGCCTATTGAAGTATTACCGACATGTTCACATTTACAAAAGAAATCTTCAATCTGAAGTTATTCCTGCATCACTTAGTCTCATAAACTATTAATCTGTTGCATCACACAGATGTGGTGTAGGTGGGAATAAATTTACCTTTATAGCACTCTAGGGAAATTGTAATTTCTTATTATACTTAATTCTAAATAAAATTGTTGCAAAATAAAAGTGTATACCTATATGCGTAAAAATAGCTCATTTTAACACTCAAAATGATATTAGCACATTATTGGTTCAAAATTGTAAAAACACATAACAATTTTTCGGTCTTTTTGGCGAATTTTTTATTTTCAAAATCTGTACCTAGGCAAAGCTCTATGAACAAAATGGCTATATACACTTCGAACCTTGTGATTTAACTAGGTGTATCAATGGTCGCTGTCAAAAAGTGTTCGGTTTAATAAGGTTTGCTGTGTTACAAGTGGTCTTATATACGTGTATTGAAAAGTATACATTTAAATTCAAATTACACACGATTCCTCTCAAAAACCTTGTCTTAACGTTCATATTTCACCATATAGGTAATCTAGTAACCTATTTCGCTATGGGACCCTATTACCCTACTAATCAACAAGCCGCCCGTAATAAGTGGAGTGGAACTTCTATATATGAGACTTACCTATTAAAAGTATTCATTTTAAACGTGTAATAAACTTGTAAGTATTTTGATTTGTAGAAAAGAAAAAGAAAGCTCAATTAATGATTAAAACATTTCAACAATAGTTGTGGCTAAGGATCCAATTTTTACTGAAGCACAAAGTCTCAAATTCTCTCCGATAAAGTTGTCCTCGGAATATGAGCCCTATTATAACACACCTACAGATAAGTTTGCCCTTGGAAAATTCGCCTCCAAAATATGCACTTCCGGTAAATTCGCTCCCGGAAGATCCGCGAAATATATATAAAATGGTGGGAACACAAACAAGGCCATCTACAAAAACTTTTGTATTTCTTTAAACAGGCGCTAATAAAAATTGATTGTCTTTTTGGCGTCTTTTTTTGGAACCAAATCTTACACGCGGTGACTATTCCATGCACGAATCTTATGTGGCGAATTTACCGACGGCAATCTTCATGCAGCGAACCTTGCATTATGGTGAATTTTCATGGGGGCAAATGTGCCGGGAGCGAATTTACCGCACACGATGAAAAATAAAATAAAAAATCAAAGTTATCTTAAGAAAATAGATTAAAAAAACAAAGCTCCTTGTTTAGAATAGCCACCAAAAAGTGATAATGTTGTTTCCATTACAAATATTAAGTTTCCATAGTCCATTACGTTCAAAAATGGGCAATTTGGCATGAATTCCTGAACACGTTCTGATGCACATTCTTCTAACTGCTTATCTACCCAAATTAAGAAAATAAATTACTTTATCGCGGTTCCATGCCAAAAAGCTAATGTACATACCTACTTATTTTGTGATGGGGTGCATTTCCTGAATATTTCGATAAAACTCAAATAATTAAAATCCAATTTAGGCGGATTATGCTAATTTATATCATATTTACCTATACTCAAAATTTTGCATAGAGGCCTGAACGGACTTATTGAACAACTCCTAAGCACAAATTTTTAAAAATCTAGTCGCATTAGTTTCCAATATAGATACTAATTAACTTAAATATTGCATTTTGAAATAATTATCGGTTTTTAAACAGAACATACCTATCAATAATTTAACAACTAGAAGATCAAAATTAGAATATTATGTGAATCATTTGTAACCCTCTCTCACTCACACACACCAGGCCAAGAGATTAGATAGATAATACCCATAACAAATTTGAAAATGGCCATTTCAAACAAAAGAAACCGGAATGGAGGAGGAGTTTTATTTTATTTCTAGGATGTATTATCATCTTGACCAGCTAAAGGCCATTAATGTATTAAATTAGACTATCCATTGGATAACATGATTGTCACCAATGCAAATTTACATATCTATATCACAGATAAACGGAGCTTTGTTTATCTGTGTCTATATGATGTACTATATATGAGTTGCTTTTTTATGTTACACGTAATACATGTATGAATAAGTTTCAAGGTAATCAAAGTAGGTATCATAATAAATTATGATTCCGAAACTCAAATTTTAAATGTAAAGAGCGGTTATCATGTATTTTTATATCTAAACGAAAATATGGAATGTTTTGTATTAAATGTTAAATGCACTGCTTATATAGTTTTTAAGTTCTGAAAGTGAAGATGGTACACAATAATAAACTTAATTGTAACAATTACAGACGGATCGACAGAAAGTCCAAATACATGAACTCGCTAGGAGCTCGTTAATAAATTGCACCAATATAAGACAAGGAGCGACAAAGTCACTTCCGTGTGATTAATATTGACCAAAATTTAATCAATTACTCACTTGACCATTGTCTACCGATTGCTAAAAACCTCGCTAAAAACAGATTTGAAAAATGCGACACCGTTAGTGAGTTATCGTCTTCACAGACGGACGGATGGACGGACAGAAAGTTCAAAATAACTCGCTTTTTGTCGCTTGAATTTGTAGAAGTTTACATGTAAAAAGCGTAGTTATTTCGTGGCTTGATCCCGATGCTCAGTAAGGATAGGGAATTAGGGATCGCGAAAGCGAGGCCTATGCCTATCGATTCTTTCAGCTTTTAGGAGTTTTAAGCAAGTAGTGACAGAAGTTGCCAGAGGGATAACTGGCGTGTGGTGGTCTAGCGTTCGTAGCGAAATGTTAATCGTCACATGTAGAACTTACACGGTGAAATTTGATATCATTAAACATGGGCTTTACAGACTTACAGTATTAAATTCAACCTGATAAGGTTATAAAAACGTAAGCTTACGCGATTTGCAAACCGTATACCTTCTAATACCACTATATTTGAGAGAATGCAAAATATAGCTAAGCAGACTTTCTCAAGGGAGGAGCTTTTTGGACCAATATAGCTTTTTTATGGTGTGCGATCAGTTTTAATCACAATTTTTAGTGCTAGTAAGAGCCACTTCGAAAAACCTTTATATCTGCTTAATATATTAAACTTAATTCGCCATTTCCCGCAGAATTTCTGAGATTAATAGGTATAAGAAGCTTATTCATTTTACAAAAGAAAGTAATTAATTTTTTTAAATAAAATTTAATATATAAATTAGCACCGAGTTGAATTACTTAAAATAGTTAACAAAATATTTTACAAAAGCATAATATATTACATCACAAAGATACCACCGTAAATTAATATTTACAATATTTGTATGTACCTAGTTACCTATCATTATCAAAGGGCAGTGACATAGCAGTTCTTAAAACTACGACGGAATGTATTAAGTATAATTTTTTTAGTTTTAATATAAAGTGCAGTAAACTAAGAATTTGTTTTCAACATTGAAAATTTAGACTGCTATGGATACCGTACTTACAAATTGTTAAATTAGACATCTTGAGATTCAATTGTTGTATAGTGAACCTTGCGTGACACAATATCTAACAGGGGCGTTAATTTTGTGTGAAGTTTGTCTTTAATAATATACACGTAAGCGCCGAAAAGTGATAGTAAAATAATTGACAATACAACAACTAAAACAGAAACAGCTCGGGAAACACGCGCATGTTTTGAGTCGACCAGACTATTTAAATTGTAAATAAATTTATTTCCCAACCTTTCTTCCCGGCATTGTACTAATTCTTTATTCCGCACAGTCACATTAGTGGTATGCATCCAAACGTATAAATCTTTTATGGCTGAATCACATCTGAAGGGGTTTCCCCCAATGTCAATAACTAAAGAGTGATTCCGAGCGGGGTACGTCATTCTATTTAAGTTATCTAAATCTGTCTGAGAAAGATAAGTCATGTTGTTATTTTCCAAGTCCAAAAATCTCAATTTGTCAATACAAGTGATGTTAAAATTTAGGCTCGGTATATAATTATTGCCCAGGTAAATGTCTAGTAAACTAGGTAGGTCGCAAAAAACATACTGATCCCTAAATCGTTTGATTTCATTTTGTTCTAAATGGATTTTGTACAACTTTGTTAAATTGCTGTTTACAAAAATGTCATGCAAGTCGATCGCCAGCGCCTCATCTGTGTTATCGGCAAAAGCATTAGTTAAATGCAGCTCAATTAAGTTGACAAAATTTGAAAACACACGCGGATGGTGGAAATTTTCATCTCCCCTACTTGAAATAGTCAAGTTATTGTGGTTTAAAATTAGCCTTTCAACATTAGTTACATGGTGGTATGATTTACCTTTAATTTCTCTAATGTCGTTATTACTCATATCAATTGTTTTCAATACACTTAAGTCCTTCATCTCGCCAAAAACATTCCAAGGTAATTCTGGAATGTGGTTTCCTGTAAAGATAAGCACTTGGGTTTCTTCTGGAAGATCTGCTAACATCTCTGTGTTGGTAAAGCCCGTACCGGTGCAGTTGACTACATATTGCACATGTCTATCGTAATTTGCTTTTCCACATATACATTTCTCAAGTAAGGGCGATTTGCATCCAGTTGAATGTGACAAGTTTATGAAGGACAATCCAACACATGCTATAAATACAGTCTGTAACAATCTTCTTTCTTGATTTGAAGACATTCTACAATGAGATAATTACAAAATAGGTGTGTAGGTATTTACTTGAGTTGCTTTTATGACTACATACTCCATGACCTTATATGGTAAATGTAAATTCCTTAGTAAATAACGCTCAAAATGGAGGTAATTGACTGTAAGACTCATATAGAGTCTTATGTGTATGTTTACTTACGTTCGTGTCTGCTTTGTGATCCACCGTTGGTCGTTAAAAATATATTTATGTTTTGTTGTTTTTAAACTGTGTCATCTGACGCATAACTAACTTAACTTAAGCAAAGTCAGGTTTACAATGCCATAGGTATCTCCTCCTATGTAATTAACTGCAAAACAGGTGTTCTGCATGGCGGGTTGTCAAACCAGCAGTCCTTGTTCTTTGTGGGTTTTGTTTACAAATTTTAAAGTGATTACTTGGGTATCAAAGATTTGCATAGGCAGTCTATTGAAAAAGTTGCATAATAGGCCTTGGATATCATAGTAAGCAAACGTGTTCAGCCTTTTCTGCTGGAAATCTTCGTATGAATTACAATTGACCATTTGTAATTTCTTTCTTTTGCCTGTATACCCAACATTGTATTTTGGTCTGTGCTGTGGTGTCGATACTCAACTACCTATTTATTGTTAAGAATAAACTACTATGTGTGTTGGGTTCGTTTTCTATGAACTCCATGGGATAATTTTAAAATTCGGCTTTTGTAGTAAATAAGTGTAGGTACAATAGATAATAAGTACCTACTTGTTGACTGAAAATGTTAATTTGCATTGTCATTGAATTGGTAGGTATAATGGTTATATTCAAATGTGTGTATTAGCATTGAATAAAATAGTTTTTATTCAATGGTATTAGGTACAAAATTGTATCCATTTCTGTTTAGTAAACTGCTACTTAATACTATATTTACGTTTTATTTTTTTAGGTAAGTATTAATAAATGAGCTTGCTTAAAAGGTTGACACTTTTCGCACAAAAGGAGCGATTATTTCAAAGAAGCTGATAGAATAGAGAGAGGTTTTGTGAATATTTGGTGCTACGTAAAAATTGTTTTGGGGACAAAAAGTTAGCTTGCAAAATCAAGAGTACAATTTAAGCAGAAAGCTACCGTTTTGTCTCAATCAACAACCCCTAAGATTTTGTGAAATTTTGTTCCATAGTTTTGTGAGTTACTCAGACGTTTCGAAACCGAGTTCGAAACTCAATCAAATGTATATAATTGCAATTCCTGACCTAAGTCGTTATGAAATTACTTTTTCTCGTATGTTTGCGCAAAGAAACAAAAATTGTACATTCATCATTTCGACAATGTTCCCTTTTATTTAGTTTATACCAGGTAACTAAAATTAATCGATTAATTAATTAAGTCAATAGTACAGAAAGTTTAGCGATACGTCATTTAAACGTTTCATGATCAATTGGACCACTGTCTATAGTATCAAATTATTAGGATTTCAGTTAGCCATCTACACATACATAAAAGGCGGATATACCTACTTATATACTACTCAAAGAAGTGAAATGTACGATTGAAAGTGACGCCCAGTTTTGCCCACTTTTGGAAAAAAATTAAAACGATGGAGAATGTTTTTGTACTCCAGAAACTGATTACAAAGTGACTAGTATAGAGTTGTTGGCTGATGATGACAGCCTTGCTGTCGAAACGCGTTCAAGGTTTTAATATATTATTGTGGTTTATTGGTGTTTTTGTTTTACTTTCGCAAACTGATATTCTAATTACAAACTTGTTAAATACTTTCAAAGAGCGTTTAACCAACATCATTTTGAGGCTGTCTGATAAATTGGTGAACATTTTACCAGCAGAAAAAATCGACATTTTATAAAACCAATTACAAAGAAAAATTCGCCCAAAAACAAATCAGGGCCAACCAGAGGCAAACTTGTAGAAAAATATGCAGAACGATCACTATCTCCCGAAAAAAGTAAAGATGTTACTGCAATTGTTGCTGAAGGTGATGAGTTACAACTTTATTTAGAAAATTTTTGTTAAACCTTTGAATATAGAGCTCCAAATTGTAGATAATTATTTTATTAGATTAGTTACGATTTTGAGCAAGTATACATACATATACACGTCGACATATAAAGAGGTAACCGATGAGATAACAGTCATATATTCTAATATTCTAATTGCCTTACAAAATTCATCACTTAATGATAACTATTGTGCAGTGTTGTTTTTTTAAATTATATCAAATTTTTTTATAATACAGATTCCAAGACTACAATACAATCATATTACTACCATACCATTGATTTCTTCACGTAAAAGGACGAAACAACATAAAAAAAGCTGAAAACCATTAATATCAGAAATACGAGATGTTCTTATTAAGCCACCCGAAGAAAATAAATACCAAACATTGAAAACTGAATTAATCAAGAGGTTGAGTGCCAACCACGAACAGAAAATGAAACAGCTGCAGCTGCTGGAACGAGAGGAGCTAGGAGATAGAAAACGTCGCCATTTCTGTATCTCCTGATGCGTACCACCAATTTCTTCGTGGGTAACATTTTTTTACTACGTCACTGGATTCTACGTAAAAATATTTCAAATAAACAGTTTTTACCCTTTTTCTATCTTACATGGGTAGTACAATATGATAACATTCTAAAAAGTCAAACTTTCCGTTTTCACCCTGTATCTTCTATCATTAAAAGCAGCTGGATACCATCATTGTATATAGATGTATATACAATGATACCATGCAGTCTCAATCAAAATTATCACTTAGCGCTGGAACTCCATAACGTTAAGGTGAAATGGAGCCACTGAGGGATACGCGACTCGCAAAACACACCCCGCAATTAAATGCCAAAACATTAAAACAGTGCCAATGCCCGAGTAGGGTTACCTTGTTCTCCCATTAGTTAAGTAAAATCGGCTCTTCACATGAGCGACCCAAGAGTACAACCAGATGTGTTATACCCACTTGTAAAAATTCATCTTTTTCTGATGGTGACTTGGAAATTTAAAATAAAAAAGGCAAAATTTTGAGCGCGCCAAAAAACGTGTTTCCGAAAATATTTCATCCAGTTACACAGGAACTAAAACAGCTATCTATTCCATTAACACTAACACGTCGTTGAATTCAACAGTCCCTAGCGCTTCGAATAAATTTGATTTAATGTTGATACGACAAATAAGTACCTACTCTTCCTTTTATTAGGTGCCGAACACAAAATTTATCTATCTTTATCTATTTTGAGGAGTGTTAGAACAATGGAACCAGGGTTCTTATAAGCACAATGAGACAATTTGCCAAGAATTAACTGTTTTATGCTGTTAAACTTTATTGGACGAAATCCTGACTTTGTAGGTGCGGAAAATAAAGGAGTTAACCAACCATCACTAGGTTATTATCCATATAGAAGCAATAAAGTTTTCCGAAAATAGCGAAAACGCATTAGGGTATTACCTGAAATGTGCTAAATACACCGTTGAAGAATTACTTTGTCACTGATATGGGATAGAAAATTGTATTTCGAACATGGCTAAATATAATATACCTAGTTTTATTGTTGGCATTCGCATTCCACATTATTTAAAATTGTTTACGGATCGGTGGGCTTCTGCCACTTAGGCTGGACAGTACATACAGAACGGAGTATGTAAAGTTGCCTATTGTAAATCGCCAAATTTGGCCATTTATAATATTAATTTGTGATTGATGGCAGAAACATAAACTTAGACCAATTATAATGCACATTTTCTATCTGTATAAACCAAGCGGCGCAGCGGAAGGTATCTTTTCGCGCTTTTGAGAAAACTTTTAAGTTGTTTTTCTAAGATAACTTACCTATCTATAAATAAAGTTGGAACAATTTCCAAAATTGGAATAAGTTCGTAAACTTAATATCTAGACAATAACGCCAGGAAAAGTTATTTCCTTTTTTCTTTTCTTTCGCACTCGACGTTAACCTTAAAAAAAAAGATTATTTTAAAACATTTTAGTATACCCCGACGTTATTGTCTAGCTAAAGGTAAGTTCATAGCTCTCCGTTCATACGTTTCCGTTTGTCCGTATGCCAATTAGAAGACAGCAAATTTTTAAATCGTACGTCGTCCGTTTACGACGGAAAAGTTGGTTGAAGTTGAACATTTACGTTTCCGTTGGTCCGTTTTTAACAAGAGTGAGGTTATGTTTGGTACGTTAACAGTGTTCGCCTATTCGTTCTTCACGGTAATATTCAGATAGCAACGTGTTCTTACTTTCGTACCATTTATACATACTGAAAATCACGGAGGGTACAGTACAAAATAAAATTTAGGTTATGGTTATACGTTAGCAAATGTACAATGTGGACGGATTGCTATGAACCTTACCAAAATGTACTATCCGTTTGACGGATCAACGCAACGGATGAACGGAGAGCTATGAACCCACCTTAAAGCATTCACCTTTCACAGGAATATTTGACCCCTTCTTCATCTACACTCAGAATTCAGATATCGTGGAACGAAATCAAGCGTTTTCGGGCAACGGAACAGCTGTACTGTCTGCCTTAAGTCAAAAAGTATTGTGAATTTTTACCAGAACCGGGGTTGAACGAATATTTCTCATTAACGATCATGTAATTTATTGGTATGGTATATTTATTGGTGGGGTTAGTGGTATTCACCTTGGTGGTAGTAATATGGGAACTAGGTATAGGTACTAAGGTACTAGATATATTTATAAAGTAAGCTAGTTGGGAAGGAGCGTTCGCTTTGTGACGTCACGTAAACGAGTCCCCATATGGTGGGCGGGGCCTGGCGCTAACTTTAACAATTAGGTAATTACTGTCCTTTTAAAACGTCGTATCAGTGGCTCATGACCACGTGCACTCCCACCAATCACTTAAAAAAACGAAAACAATTCTATTTATGTACTAGTGCTCAGTTAGCTACGATCTCTGATTCGTTCAAACGCTACGTCGTCTCTCCCCCTGCGCCCCGCGAGAGTCTAAGTTGTAAACTTTAGAACGGGCACATTGTAACTGTGATCGGTATTCGCCGGACTACAAAAGAGGACGGTTGATCGTTGATTTTTGTTCGCAGGACAATACGCCCTATCTGGTAACATTTAAGTATAGGTGAAGCTGGAGTGGAACAGGGTATGGCCTCTATACTGACTAAATTTTATGTCCAGTACTGTACGATCACACAAATTCCGTTGATGACACGACTCCCGTAACGTACTTATAGCACAGATTTACTGTGCTTATAGCAACGCATAGCGACAAGAAACTGAAGCAACGAAGAGTCAGTCTAGGCTAGATCGTCAAGTGGTTGGTGCGCGTAGGTGATGTTGTAAAAAGTGACATCATTTCGTCGTCCAGTAAGTACTTGTCTTGTAAGCTTTTTCAAATATTTTATGATTGTATAATTGATAAAGGATGGTCTTGTAAGATGCATGCTCGTGAAATTAGGCATTTTTGAAAAAAATACGCTATTATATTCGTTATGGCTGGCTGGCCGGCTATCCGACTGAGATCTCGGCAATTACATAATAGCTAGAGACTTCAAATTTTCACTAAAGGCTTTCTGATGTAGTGTAGATGTGCAGGCTCTAGTCTATTTGGAGTTAGATTACTCATGAGATAGATAATTTTAAACTTTGCTAATAAAATACTGATCGGTATTACCAAAAATGCACTTTCATCAGGGACATGCTGATTTACAACTTGTTTTTGTTGGATTGCCTGTGTAACTTATTTTTGAACATAACGGTTTTATCGTGGGGCGGAATGTATCGGTTTTTCAATACCCCATTCTGTCCCACACTTTGAGCCAAACCGAAATAGTTTTTTAAATTTTTTTTTAGATGTCCCGTCCGTACAAAAGGAAAACTACTCGGCAACAGGAACAGTGGTCCGATGAGAGTATGAAACAAGCTGTGCAAACAATAATAGATGGCGAAATGGGCTACAATAAAGCTGCTATACAGTTCAATCTCCAAATTCAAGTGCAAATAGTATAACAAATGTATAACATAAATATAACAGTTGAGAACCATTAGATTTTGTTTATTTATTGTTGTTTCCACCTTACCAACCATTTAATTACAAAAAAATGTGTACCTACACCGTTCTACCCCATGCACGGGTTTTACAATAATCATAACATTTTAACAAAAACTAAGATTTTTGCAACTTGTGAACAAATATAGCAATAAGTTAACACATTTTTTATAAAATTAAAAAAATATGGTGACCATGTAGGTCACTTTTTTTACTTGAAGATTAAGTAGGTACGGGTACCGTTCCACCCCAGGTCCCCCCAGTATTACTAAATAATAAAATAAAACCATATTATAAAAATGGCTCGTTCATGATGTAGCACAACGTGTCCACGACGAAAGGTGTCCAAGCCTCGCTATAAAAATCGTCATCGCTGCGCTCAATACATTCGTTTGGGTTGGTCTTGGGATAGACGCAGACAAGCTCTTGGTTAGGACATTGAGAAAATGTTGTAATTGCGTTCTTCGCACCCCAACTGATTAGCTTGTGAAAACATCCACATTGCCAAGGATTTCCGACAATATGAATGGTGAGTAAGTGGGACTGGATTGTATCCAGCACTTTATCAGGTATAAAAGTAATATTGTTGTAATCAATTGCCAAGTAAGTCAATTTTAAATGTGTGTGGAAGTCGATATCGAAACTCTTCAGTTTATTTTGCTTTAAAATAAGTTTATTCAAATTTCGAAGTCCCATAAAAGCGTCCTTATCAATACTTTCAATTTTATTTCCTTGGAAATTTAGCAGATTAATACTTTGTAAATTGGTGAAAGCCGCTTTTGGAATGGTACGTAAATGATTTCCTATCATATGCAGCTCGCGAAGTTTCGGTGTTTTATCAAACCAATCCTGCTCAAAGGTGTCTAAATTATTGAAGTCCAACATTACTTGGGCTAACTGAGGAAGATTGCTAAAAGCACTTGGTGAGATGGTAACTTCATTATCCCACGACAAACTTATCGAAGTTAAAGATGGTAAATTTGTTAATGAATTTGTACTGACCAATTTAATTTTGTTTGTATACAAGTTGACTCCTACGAGGCCGGAGAGGTTGAAAAATGCCTCTGATTTTATACTTCCAATATTATTGTCGTGAAGAGTGATATTAAATTTGCTTGAAATATCTCGTATCGCACCGCCATTTAAATCTGGTAGATTTTGAAAAGTGATTGTTATATCCTCAATTTTGCCTTTAAATTTCAACGTTTCCGGTGATATGCAACCGTTAATCCTTTCCTTGATGATTTTATTAACGTTAACTACATTGTTATTAAATGATGGTGTACTACACAGTAGGGAATGCTTAAGAATTAAGAGCAACAACAATACGTGAGCTTTGAACATCGTGACTCTACTATGAGTATTAAATTAATTGTTTAAACCTTTGACCCATACTTTTCGATAAGTGTTGTTGATTCTCAAAGTGCGCAGGATTTACTTACTTCACTAATCGATTTGAAGTTACTAAGGTCCAATTATACAATACACAGTCAGGTCTAGGGAAGCAATCCCGCAGCAAAATCTCAATCCCGGTATTTGCGGGATCGTTAGATGTTAATTTCGCGGGATCCCGGTATTTGCGGGATCCCGCAAAATTTTAAATAAATTGGCAAATAAGCATTTTTGTGCGGTTGACTGCTGTGTTAAAATAAATCGCTAATTATCACAATATTCAACAAAAAAAGTACCTTCAGCCTAACTTAGAACTCAAAAAAATCACCTGTAAAGCACAAAAAGGTGAACTTCTAAAGTGCCTCAAAAATCATAGTACATTTTTAACGAAAAAAGTTTAACAATTATTTTAAAAATAATTTCTTCGTTGTGCGTTTCATTAATAAAGCAAACAGAGTCGACAAATTCCTCACGGCCAGTTGCACAAAATAAAATAATCCAGGATTATTATTTTTAATCCGGTATTAACTATTAAGACATTTGATTGGCTTTAGGTATACTGCAGTATGCAGCCAATCAAATATCAAAATTCTTGTTTAATCTCAGATTTGGCAAATAATCTAGGATTTTGATTATAATTCAATATCCTGCAATCGCCCGTCAGTCCCGCAAATCCCGCTCCATTTAGGTGCGGGATTAATCCCGCAAAAATGCTGCGGGATCCCGGTATTTCGGGAATGCAATACCGGGATTCCGGGTATTGCATTTCCTAGTCAGGTCGAACTGATTCATGTGTAGGTACTTGTGTATACACGTGCTATACACGAAAAATGCAAATAGCTTAACTTGGTACAAGGCAGCCCGCAGGGAAGGGCAAGAAGGGCGTTTGTCCCCCTTGGATCAAAAAACAAATGAAATCGACATGAATATGGCGCAACCCAATCTGTTTATAATTAATTAATCAGTCGATTGTAATTGTAGTTTTTACTTTAACTTCTCCTTAATTCGAGTGAGGAAAAAACGTGGTCTACTGCAGAATAACTGCCATGGTTTATTGACGAATTTCCTCAACAATAATCGACATACAGATGATCAAGGATCTTAAAGATCCTGTAACGTGCAGAATATTTGTGTTCCCCGTTATTGATAACGTTTTGTGAGATTGCGCGCGGCATCAGCCACCAAACATGTTCTTTGTTTACGCGACGTCGGGAAAAGATTAGTTACATCTTTCCCACGATTTTTACCGTAAAATGAGTAGGTATTTTGGTCGATGTTGGGGTCGAAAATTGACCAAATTTTTAAAATTTCACTTTACTGAAAAAAATGGTCAATATTATATTGAAAAAACCAAAAGAAGTGCGGTTTTTCCAGTGCTGCAAAAGTTTGGGAGTTTATACTACTTAAACAATGGAGTTACCTATGCGGTGCATCGAAGAGTGACCTGAGTAGACATTTCACCAGTTTTTCAGACCTGATTATGATCAAACACCCAATACCTACATTTAATATATGTGGTCATAGCATAAACAAAAATAAATTTGGAGGCCTAATATTCCGAGCCTAATTTACAGCATATAGCATTACTTATTGAAAAAACAATAGGGAATGGCAGTGTACACTGTTTATTGCATAAAAAGATGCCAAATTTTGCTTGGTATCATTTCGCTTTATTAATTCGAACAAATTACTGCCCCCCCCCCCCAAGATCACAAATTCACGAAGCTAATACTTTAATTTTTTTTAAGGTTGGCCACTCCAATGAAGCAGATTAGTATCTCCACGTATTTAGTAAATCTTCTATTGCAGAATCAAAATTCATACCGTTTAAATTTTTTTTTGTATCTTTATTCAGTAATGAATCTGTAGTATAAACAAAACTTAAGATAAGTTTGGTTTTCTTCCAGTTAGATACAATAACTAAAGTAAAATGATTTAACATAACTTAAAAACAGTTTCCAAATAACAGGCTCTTAAGTGTACACCTCAAAAGGAGGAAAAAGAAAAGGGAGTTACTTTTACTGTTAAAAAGTAATATCACATAATTACATGACTTCCTTATCTTAGTAGTACCTACAAAAATAGCGTTTTACAAACATATCTTATATAATCAATGTATGTTGTACAGATAGAAATATATTTTATTCTCATTTGTAGTTTGATTTATTCTTATATTTAAATAAAACCATCTCTTAAACACTACAGGATAAAACTGCTACATAGCATGCAAAAAATGGTTTGATTCAAGGTGCAGCTATTACTAATTTCACAAATGAAATATTGCTACATTGCACCGTACATATTTTATGAACAATCGATAATTACAGAATATACAGTCTGAAAAAATAGTGCAGCACTATGTGCAATCTTCGTAAACAAAGTTTCCCACACATGCATCATAAAGCTGTATTTATGTTCACAGCATTAATAAGACCAAGTTGTTGATGATGTAAAAGATATATAATAACCTTAATTCTGAAAATGTGGTAACCTTTCATTTGGTTTAAACAGTCGCCACCAATAACAATCTAAATATTTGAAATTTCTTCATTTTAAATAAGGATGAAATGTATGTTCTAAAATATATATACAAAAATAATTAGTACATAATTAAAATCCTTACGATATTGTGCCCTAAGAAAATGTGATGTTTTTCTTTAAGGGATGATATTAACAAACTCTCTAAAGTTAACAGAGCCGATCGAGTGGCACCCAATCTTGTAACTAACCTAATGCATGTTATGGCGACGTCCTTTAACTTTTTGTACAAGATTTAATATCTTCAATGCCGGGCCTAACCGTAAGCCCATATATTTCATCATCATGTCTGAATTTAACAGAAGTAGCGCTTTGCCGTCGATTTCCTAGAAAGAAATCGCATGTTAGTAAAAGATACACAAAAGTGGTCTTCCTAGCAGTGTAAATCAGTTTATAACTTAAATGTGGCCACGGTAACCATTGAAGAAGTCGAATCGAAGTGACTTTAGTAGACAGTGCGGCTACATTATGTGTAAAGTATTCAATTTTTTATATTTATTTTTTATTCAATCTTTTTATCTTTTGCGAGTAATTCTTTTAAAGTTTACTATTATTTCTTTTACTAATGTTGAGAATCCTCAATATAAATACTAAATTTCGTCAACAACATGTTTTTTTTTGCACTCTAATTTACAGGTACACTTTGCATAGGAAGAAAATGGATAATAGGAAGAACATGATGTCTGGGGTTTCGCTTCTCAGCTCGGAGTGCCTTGTGCTCGCGTCGCCTCGGCGAGCGTGTACTGCCGACATTAGGATGGGGTTTGTGTAACTGACTGAATGCGCTCTTCATGTGTTAAAAGTTGTTGGTACCATTGGCATTGAGATGATATGGGTGTGTTCTGTGGATAAATACCAATTTTGCATTTGTTGTTGAAATGAGGTCTGATCTTAACGAAAAATGTTAATTTGAATTGGAAAATTCCAGAGTCATCACGCTAAAATTGTTTAAATTAATTATCTATGTGTATTTATGCGAATGGGGAGGTAGCTGTATCCTCTTTAGGTAGTTATTTTCATAGAATTCCTCTTCGTTAACACGTTTCTTTTCAGGTTACGCCAAATGTGTTAATTTAAATACCTATCTTATCGCAATCCGAAACCCATTTATTAATGGGGTACGTAAGTTCGTGGAATTTGGTCTAATTTTTGCGTTGCACTTTTTGGATATATTTTTTTTACGTTACGAGCATTGGGGGTGATTGTATTAAATTAAACCCAGGCCGCACTGCATGCTTTGATTAGTGTTCCGTCGATTTGTGCATCACTTAAATTGCATTTCATATTACGTTAATTCTAATAGGTCCAAATGGATGTTGTAGGGAGACATAGTGTGGCAACACACATAGGCGCCAGTTGAGTGTAAAAGGCGAATATTACTCCAAATTGCTATTAGCGTCTAATACTGCACATCGGCGTCCAAACATTTTTGTTGTAATATAGCGAACACTAACTTATACACACACAGTTATAATACTAATGCAAAAACGTTTACAATTTAGCAGAAAATTATAACATTCAATTCTGACGTTACATTAAGATGGAGGTAATGATTTAACGCTGGCAACATTACGAGTATATAGGGTATTGTATCCAAGATAAGGATGTCTATCATGGGGATCTCGGAAACCATAGAAGATACAGACATGGTCAAATTAGGAAAAAGTTTTTTACAGCATGATAACTCTTTAATTGTGCGCAACTTTTCCCTAATTTGACCATCCTCTATGGTTTCCGAGATACCGATGATAGACATCCTGATCTTGGACACAGTGTATACTTAGATCATATATAAATTGATATAGCTTCCCATTTACTTTCAATGAGAAGCATCTGCACCAACGTATCTAACACAGAGACATATTTTGCACCGTAAGTAGAACACCACACATGCGCAATAGCATCCAGATGTAAACAGCTGAAAACCATCGGCGGCGCAAAAAGGAGTAACTTTATATTAAAATACGAAGTATAAATTTTGTAATGAAATTGCACTTTCTGTACTACTACGTTCGCCCCAAATTAAACAGCATTCTAATAATTATTACTTTCATGAAAACTAAAACACATATTTTCTACTGTAATAACACCGTAATTATTGTCCATTCAAGAGATGCCTGTATCAAGCTTTGTCCAACTCATGTTGGAAGACGCTATTATAGCCATTTTCTCTGTCCATCCGAAGCCTTAACGACTACTACAGTTTTGAAGAGAATAAGTTCGTTTTTTTTTGCATTCAGTAGCTTATAGCTCTGGCACCTCAATCAAGAAACATTTTGACGATTAATATGTGCATGCGCAGACTGAATAATGTCAACTTTATTACTTAAATATTTTTTGAAATTTTAACCATGAAGCTTCTAATAAAGACAAGCATATCTCATATTGTAAAAATCAGATGTGCGCATGCGCAAACTGCGCAATGACAACTTTCTTATTTATGGAGTTATTTTTAAAAATCGTAACCAAAAATTCTTCTAGTAAAGGTAAAAACAACTGCACAATGCTAAGTTTCTTATTTATAAGAATATTTATCCCATAATACATAAATAGTCCATTACATAACCTTTCGGGGAGTATTGATCAATTCATGGAAAATTCGCTAAAGTTACTCGCCATTTGGCCGCGGTTAAAGTACGAAGTTGCAAGGCGTTACGTCAGATCGCGATTTATACCTTACCCAATCACGTTTTATTAATTATTTGGAACAAAAATAGAGGGCTTAATCATGTCCAAACACCCATAACTAGTGTCTAATGTCCTCTCTTGACTCGGTACCTACAGGCAAATCATTTATGCTACATTTCAACAAAGTTAATTGCACCTTAATATTGAGTAGTACATATGTTCTTGAAAACCCCATAGCAATTTGTGTTGACGGCTGTTTTGAATAGCCTTACTTCTAGATAATTCAGTTCAATTTCAATTGTTTCGACTCACAAAATTCATTTAGCCGACATACTTACATGTTTTCTGAATAAATCCGCATGAACGCCTAAACGTGGATCAGCAGATTCTATAAACTGTATTACTTCTTCAATACCCCATTCAGGTGTTGGAGTTTTACAAGGCGTGGCGATAACCGCCTCCGATATTGACGTATCAGCTGGTGTTGTAGAAGTGGCCGCTTCCTGTTCGGCTGTTGGCTTCCGTTTAGGAGGTGGAGGCCTCGTGTCGCAAACGCTACATTCCCCACGATTGGAATCCAAATCTTTGTGCAGATAATTAAACATTTATGTCCAAAACTGACATTAATACTTACGAAATAGCTGCTGGCAACATCCAAGTGAGGCGGATAAGCTAGCAAACACGTTCTCCAAATCGGAGGCTTTTTGAGGGATAGGCAACTTGATCGTGTAAGAGTTTCCATTGTGAGTTATTACCGTTTCGTCACCACGAAGAGCTCCAAGTCTAGCCAGCATCGTCTCGGCTTTACTAGATGATGCCAATAACTCCAACACGATTTTTTTAGCCAACTCCAATGGTGACGAGTCCTCTAAATTTGTTGATAGTTGTGCAACATCCACTAGGGGTCCACCTGTACAGGTTTTATATACGTACACAGTGATTGGGGGTGGGAGTGGAGCGGATGTGTCCGCTTCAGGTGATTGGATGTCGGAAGTATTTACTACCGGTATGTTACGTCCCTTAAATCTATTTTACAAAGCAATCAGTAAATGTTGTCTAGGACATACGTACAAAAAAAGGGGTTAACCACTTTGTTTGTTATTTAGGATGAGCGATTGCAGAAGAGTGGTCGGTTTTTTTTACCCTGGCAGTTTACGTGAATTCGCATACTCTGCCAGCGCGGCGGCAAATGTGTTGGCTACTGTCGTGACGCGGTCTAGTCTCGCGTACAGGTACGTTTTTTCTCTTCGCGCTGGTCCTTGATTTTCAAATATTTACAGCGGACGTAAATATCAATATTTTGCCATCAAAAATTTTTTGATCGTTTTTTAATAACAAAATCTATTCTCACAAATAAACAATGTGTGTCTGTGGATGCGTAATACCTTTATTGCGCATTTTAGTCTGAGTATGCGCAGTCTATATTTTGAGGTACGTTTAATTTATTTTTTTAGCAAGCACTTTGCCTTAAAATTTCAGAACTCGCCCATCAATAAGAAAGTTGGATCTGCGCATGCGCAATCTATTTTTTTTTTTTCTAAAAGTACGCATAACAATTAACAAGTAATGGCCCAAAGGGTAAACCGTTGTTTCCAACAGAGCCAATTTTATTTTTCTCTATTAACGGATTTAACCATTTCCTCAATGAAGTAGAGTAGGTTTTATATTCCATAGAGTTTAAGCTTTGGCTAATCAAAAATCAAAATCCAACAAAACGTATAGAACTTATAAGCACAATAAACGGCCAAAGTGGAAAATTATGAGAAACTGAAAAAATAGATTTTGTAAGACACAAAAAAATCCCTTCCTTGGTGCAAGCCCCGACGGCATAACAAACCAAATTGCAAAAAAGTGGCTCCTAAGATAAAGATCTGAAAAAGACACAACAGTAGGGATGGAGAGACGGACCCACGGACGGGCGCACAAAAGCTGCCACAATAGCACATTTTTTATTTTCGTGGAAATGCGCTAAAACCTTGGCTCTGTGTACGCGGAACCCACTTTCTGATAATGCATGTTCAATTTTCTTTATAAGAAGCATCTCCTGTTAAAATTTCGGAAAATTTGGTCTACAAATAAAAGTTGAATTTGCAAATGCACAATCTATTTTTTATGCAGAGTTTTAATTAATGTCAAGGAGATATTTCAGGCGGTGATAGCACTCATCAAAATAAGGAATAACTTGATAGTACAAATCCATTGAAATGTTCCGTTGCCAAGATACAGGTACAGTGGCGTACTTCCGCATGGTTCAGGGGGGCTTATTTTTTTTTAATGGCAACCACTACTTTTCACTACATATTTTTTTAAAGAGTGCATTTGTTTGGATATAGTAGCATAAAAAACGTATTGCATACTCAGATCAAAGAGAAAAATTCAAATTAAAGAAAATGATTGGTTTAATTAATTTAATAATATCACTTTCACCTTATAACTCACCGTTTTGGCATTTATATTTCAAAAATGCTTTGGGGGAAAACCTCTTAATGTAAGGTATTCCCAAGGATATTCCACACCCCAGCAGTCCCCTACACTATGCCTACCCAAAAATAAATCCTGCTAAGTTACCTTTACGCTTTAACAAAGTTAAAATGAAGTCATTTCATTCCACTCAAGATTTAGTAAGGTACTTACAAGACCCTTTTGCCTTGTGTATTTATTTAATTTTAAAAACAAGACAAGACAAAAGAGCGCTATAAGAAAATAGGTGCCTAAGTCTATATTAGGTTTAACAAAAAATGAATTAACAAACTAAACAGATTAATCTTCAAAAATAGTAAAAGATAAAAAAAACACTCGATATTAGCTACAGTCCTGACATCTACTTCAGATCTACGAAGTAAACCACACATTTGCCTCTTTTACCCAAAAAGTGGTCAACCCCTCGACATGTGTGATGTGAAAACTTACTTGCTGTTCCCAGTGGCGTTCTTTTGACCAGGAGGCTGCAATGGATGACCAGTTTTCGCACACCAACCACAAGGAAAGATATCTCTGCTGTCATACCTGCACCAATAATCGAAGGCCCCTCGCCACCCATCGAACGTAACATATATTTGGTCCTGCTTTAAATTACCAACAGTCGCGCAACATATTAACTGAGGATTTTTCTTATCAACAGCTTCCAGCTTTTGACCAATTTGAAAGAGGTTCGTTCTCGGACCTGGAGGTTCCCTTTGAAATATTTTGGACGGTGCCATTTCTGCACCGTTTAATGTTTTTAAAAGGAACATAGGCCAGGAACTTGCGTTCATTCTAAATCCTAAAGGTGGTTGCAACATTCCTCCCGATTTTTCGCAATATCCGATGGGATGAATTTCGCTAGAATCTACTAACCTCCAAAAATCGTTTTTGTTATCACTTCCATCTAGCCTCAGTCTTAATCGTAATCCTTGGATGTAAACAACAGTAGCAATACAAGTGGATGTCACATTCCTAGGATCTAATGCTTCTAGTTTCATGCCTATTTTAAATTCATTTTGCGGTAAGGTTACGGCTTGTTTGAAACATTCATACGGTGCAGCGAGACTTTTGGTGTCACGTAAATATTCATCCCAATCAAACGGTAAGTATGTTTCATACTGAAATGTAGCAGGCGACGACTCTATTACAGGAGGGTTGACAATTGGTTGCGGTAGTATGGGAACAACTCTGTTTGTCACTTCAGCACGTTTTTGATGTTTATTCATACAATATGCCGAGCAATAGTCTTTATTAGGATTTGAGCTACCACGAATCACATTGTCACAATTTAAGCACGCTCCTTTAACGTACGCTTTTCTAAATTCAGCCAAGCAAGTTTCCGAACAAAACTCTTTCTTCCCATTTGTTGTGGGTAAAACATATTTCAATGGAAGCTTGCGTTCGTTACACCATGTACACGAGGTGGTCTTTTTCGACGGCCTACCACGTAGCTTTGTCACACCTGCTGAACTTGTACTTGACATATTTAACCAGTAAACTTCATCACTTTTAGATTTACGACAATGGCAAAGGAATGGCAGGAGCAGTCATCAAAGGTATCCCCTTTTAGAAAAATTACCGGCAATATCGTAATTTAGCGGATGTAAAATGACATGTAACGCCGACCAGCGTATGTCTTTCTGTAAATCGAAGCCTCTCTTTTCAAGACTTTAACTTGCTGAAAAGGTGATAGAGTTTTAAAATGTAAATATAATAAAAATTTAAGTAAAATCGTAATTAGCAAAACGTCAACACAATAAAAAACCCAAACTGTGAAGCTGGTGCAAACAGTCGCACCAACAAAAACATTGTTGTTGTTTGTTACTAGAAAATGATGCACAAAGTCTTGCAAAAATAATTGTCCTACAGCATTTAGTGTGTATAATCAAAGAGTATACTCTTTGGTACATATAATCAATGCCTATAGGGATCATGATACTAACATCTTTGTTTATTCATTAAATAAACAGAACTATTACTAGAGGTATATATGTTCCGACGTTCCGTTCATCTACTTATTTATGTCAGATTTTCAGTTAACGTTCCTTCTTGACAAACTTATGGCTTATAACCATATATATAAGTATATATATGCTTATAACCATATATATAATAACACAGATTGTGCTTATACCAAAGAGTAATTAAGTATTCTTTGCTAATATATAGGCTCTTATCTACATAAGGTAGGCAACACACAATGCACCCTGAAAAATCGCTAATTTTTGGTACACATAACGGCCCTAAAACTTAAATTGAACAAAATGGGAAAGCAGCATTATATTTCTTTTAATAATCAAATTTGCCGAGAGCATTTATATTTTGCATACACATCCCATACCATTCCATACACGAGCGTTGTCTCTTTCCTTCCGAGTTCTGTGGATAGCTGCGCCTTTACATAATTACTTATTACTGTAGCTACTAAATCTGTTAAATAATTTACGCAACTGTGAATAGAGTATTTCCAAAATTGGAGTATGTACACATTATATTAACTTCGATCTGCTAGAGTCAAAATCGCCAACTCAACAAAATTGGCAATTTAAGAATGGAAATATTAAACAAAGTTAAAGAAGTCTTTATTTTATTCCACTTTACGTTTTTTACTAGCTACAGGTTTAGTACTGTTAGTTTCTGCGGTTAAAGGTCTTTTCCTTTGTTTCTTTTCTGCTCGTTTTTCTTCAGCAGTCTTCTTTAAACCTTTCATTTTTCGTGTCTGAAGACTTGTAATATTTTGTTTACCAACATGAATACGTCCATGTAATGTACCCAACCCATCGCGAGACACATTTTTTCTCTTTGCCACTTTTAGTATTTTAGGCTTTCTGCAAGCTTGTTTCATTAAATCTTCGCTAGCTAATTTTGATCGTCTGAATGTAAAATCTAGGTGTGGTCCTACAATATAAATTTAGCCAAAATTTGTTTAATCTAATAAACACAATACGTACCCATTTCTTCTAGTTCAACCCGAGGAGTTTTACAGCCAGACTTTTTTAGCAAAACCTTATAAGATCTAAGCAAAATTTTATTATCAGCAGTTGCAGTAAAACTTATTGCGTGTTCTAAACCCTGCAAGCGAATGTTTTCAACATTCTCTCTGTGAAATAAGTCCACAAACATTGATTTTAAATGTTTAAGTTCGTCCATTTGATCCCAAGCAGGACCATTAAATATAAGACAAGGTTTAGTACCCAATGTTATTTTGGGTCCTACAAAATCGGCTAAACTTTGAAACGAATCTAATCCTAACTCGACCATATCAAGCAATGAATAATTGTACATTCGTCCTATAATTAAATTATTAGGTCGTTTTTTGCTATGAGATCCCATTATAAATAAGGAAGTTTCGTATTTTCGACAAAGTTCTTCAACAGGACTCGCATTTTCAAATATTGTTATATCGTTATTGCGAGATAGTAATTTTGCATCAGGCTTCTTCAAACGATATAGATCTTTTAATCCAAGCCTTATAAAGTCAGATGTTTTACGGCCGTGAAGTACTAAAGTTTGCTTAGGCCCTTCGATAGTTATGGGTTGTCGAGCTTCTAGGACACGTTTCCCTTTACGTGTGGTGGGTTTACTATAAAATGAAAGATAATAATGGTCACACAACAAACAATAATTACGTACACTACACGTTGAATGGCCATTTCGATTTTTTAATTACACTGTGATAGAAATTTCGCAAACATGTGGGATAACCTCAAATCTCTACGCTAACAAAATTTCAAATGAGGTTCAGAATTTAGCAGTTGCGTCGTGGTTGCGTCCAGGCATTAAGCCAGGCACCTAAATCTAAAAGTGACTCCATTTCAAAGTGTATGATTTAATTTTAAAAATTGAGGAATTTTCAAAATTATTTGTAATATTACGGTACTGATAATTTTTAACACTAGGAATATCTACGCAGTCTCGACTAATTAAAAAATATTACACACTGGATAGTGGATACATCATTCGGTTATCTGGTTCCACACAGCAATTTGGGTAAAATGTGCAATTTCTCTTATTTTTTTTGCGTTGCGTGGTAATATGGGCACCTGAAATACGCAACAAATATATTCAAATTCATCATTTAAGTCTTTGAATATAAGCTACGGAAATCAAAGATATTGATCCGAGTTATACCTTTCAAAGTTTGACACTTTGAAGTATTTTGCCTGTTTTTGGGCAAGTAATGTAGTTATAGTTATAGGGAAAATTTTATAGGGACTCTATGAAATAGTTACTTTACCTCCCGTCAGAAAGTTTAAGAATCCTCAAGTAAGAATTATTTCTTACTCTGAGATATGATCATATAGTTATAAATTCAATGATATGATCTATATAAGATTTTTGCTCAAATGTTAGGTTAAGTCACAGAGAGCGATATTGATCGAATCATGTTTAGTTTTAGATGCTAGTGCGGCGATTCGTAGAATGAAGAATGAACAAACTGGCAACGTTGTGATTGACTTTCATATTATTTATTTATTTGTATTATAGTTTATAGTAATTTTTGAAAGAGAAATTGATTCCAATTAGATAAATATACATCAAACTCCAAAATCTAATGAAAATGACTGATGGCTTTATTGCTGTGCATTGTGGTATATAACCTATCAAACTGTTTTATAGCATGAACCAAGTTTGAATTACAGGGGCAGGCCACCACAAAGACAAATTTCATAAACAGTACAATAAGTTATCTAAACTTGCGTGTAAAGCCGGCACTGATGTCCTTAAGCAAGGTGGAAGTGCTATTGAAGCCGTAAAAGCAGCAGTATTAAGTAGGTAATCGAAATATTTGGGCAGTCATAAGGTATTGTTGTAGTACTTGAAAATGATCCACTTACAAATGCGGGTTATGGCTCAAATTTAACTACAAAAGGTCAAGTTGAGGGAGATGCTGCAATTATGGATGGCAAAACGCTTTTGTACGGTGGCTGTGGTGCAGTACAGAAAGTTAAAAATCCCATAGAGTTAGCATATGATATTTGTATAAAACAAAGGGAAGTTTTACCGATGGGCCTTATACCCCCATCACTATTAGTTGGGGAAGGGGGCTTTTACCATGCAAAAGCCGCCGGTTTGGAAATTGTAAAAAATAAACAATTAATAAGTCATAAAGCTCTTAGACAGTTTAAAAAATACAAGAAACTATTAAATACTGCCGAATTAGTGGAAAACTCGCCTTTAGATACTGTGGGTGCTATTTGCGTTGATGGTAGCGGTCATGTTGCCTCTGCCTGTAGTTCTGGAGGGCTCCTACTTAAGAGACCTGGAAGAGTAGGTCAAGCGGCTTTGTATGCTTGCGGCATGTGGGCAGATAGTTTTAGTCCAAGAACAGAAACTTCAGTTGCTGTCTGTACAACTGGCTGTGGTGAGCATCTGATGCAAACTCAGTTGGCCAAAGAAATTGGTATTGATTTGAAAAGTAATTCTTGTCCTATCCAAGGCCTTTATAACTCAATGACTAACAAATTTCTAAGTGAGTACGATGATATAAGGGCATTTTAAGGATTTATTTTCTAGAATCACGGCATTTACGAAATATAAAACAGAAATTGGGAGGAGCTTTAGTGTTGCATCTAACAACAGAAGGCGAGGGGGCTGTTTTATGGGGTCATAGTACAGAAACAATGAGTGTGGGGTACATGAAAACAACAGATGTTAAGCCAAAAGTATATTTTTATATTTTATGGTAATTTTTAATTCATTTTTTTTTCATACAGGCTTTGATATCACAACTCCCCCAAGAAATTCAAGTTGGTTCAAGTATTAATGTTGGTGGAACACATTTTATTTTAAATCGGTGATATCATTATTCATATTATTTGTATATGTATATAGACTGATTTAGTACACTGTAATAGTTTCAGTATTGTGTTTAGTTTCATTTTATTTAAGTTGGTAATTTGACAAATGTCTGATGCATTGATATTTATGTTATATTTTATTTGTTTTTGTTTTGTTCATAGAATTGAAATAAATGCACAATCCAATGTTGTCTCTTTAATTGAACAGTAACAAACCTATCTCACTGTCATATTTGCCGGCCCGTGTAGCGCAGTTCAGTGGAAGCTCGACTGCGGTACAGGGTCCCTGGTTCGAATCCGGGTTCGGGCATGGATATTTGTAAATGTATAGTGGGTTGGGTTGGTAGAGCAGCCTCGGCTGAAACCCCGCCCACTTAAAAATAAAGGCAAAAATAAATAAATAAATACTTCTTTTTGTCTGACTTGTTTATTCAAGAAAGTTAGTATATTTTTTTGTTAATATACTTACCTAATAGGGCATGGATTATTACTGAATCTTTTTTTCTAATATCCCACTGCAGTCTATAGGATCGGTTCTGTAACGGGAGTCCGTTAACGTTTTTCAAATTGATTTTTGTTGTGCGGGTACACATACCTATGCAGGTACCGCTTTATGCGACCGGTGACCTCGCATAGGTAATTATAATTTACTTAGATCGGAATGCGTGAGACACGTCATGTTTAATGGGTGTAGGTACCCGCCAGGTGGGTGTATAATGGCAGTAGGTATACTTATTGATGTGAATTAATAGTTCTCATGAGTCATACAATTGCGTTTTGACAATATCGTTTTTTTAGCCGACCCAGCTTTTAGATAAAAATGATAGATTTCAATATGGTTGGTGAGCGCAGTAAAGTTTTCGAGTTTTTCCTTGTTTTTTGAGCCGGCATATGTTGCTGGAGTGGGAAAAAAATCGAGAGTCGCTTGGCAGCTGGTAGAGAAAAGAACTGAAAAAATTCGCATTGGTTTATGTATGGCAACTGATCGAGTTTGCCATTACTTGTGTTTCATCCTGTCACATTCATTCTCCAATTTTAGTGCTTATTGGAGGAATTTGATTTTTGCGAGATTCTATCATTGCCTTTGTCACAGGCCTACGGAAACGAAGACTATTGATTTGAAATAGCGTTTTTCAGTATTTGGTCAACTTTCGTCTTTTTACAGCTTTCGACTTTTAATTTACTTATACATGGGGGTTCCTATAAATGTGATGAAAATACGGAAGGGGCTAATTCTTTGCTTTATTTTATGACTAAAGGTTTGTATAACATAGGTCCGAAAACACTTCGTTACTGATCTACAAGGTCCAGTAGGTCCTGGCTTTATTTCGATAGTCTCTTGTTTTTATTAGTTTTGACAGTTCGCATTTGAAATTGTATTCTTGTGTTTGCATATGTTGATAAGTTGAAGGTTTAAATTGTAAAATGTACCGTAAAATTAACACCCTGTAGATCAGTATAATATTAACAAGATTCCCCATTTGGCAAAGAAATAGCAAAAGCTTCTACAACCCTTCGAGTTGAGACCTTAATTGAAAATATTTTTGTAATAGATACGATCCAGCGTATGGTTTCATCAGATTAGATCTTAATGTAAGCGCATGCATCCTCCAACTACGAAAAATATGGAAACTGATAGGTAGGTAATTTAACTCCTGGTAGAACCCGAGGAACTAGAATATTCAAATTCCCACTATTCACCAACTGGCCAGTGGCCTAGCGATGACCTCTTGTCATTTTCTCCGTCCCTACTTCCAATCTCTACATACCGGGTTCAAAACCGAACCTATATACTGGGTGGATGCCTATAGCGCGACCCAGCATAGAGACTTCAATGCTAATTTTTTATACTCAATTACTAGCTCCCCTAATTGTTTTAGAGCAAAAGTCTAAATACGTTTTTTTAGAGAAAAAATACTGCATCTGTTCATATTACTTATAATTTTCCGTTTTTCCAAACCGTAGAAATCCACAAAATAAGAAATTACATTTTTATAAATCAGTGATGCTTTGGAATCTTTTAACAAACTATAAGCGCATCGCATCTAAGTTATCGTTATTTGATCGATATTTGTTTGAAGTCGAACGATATTTCTGTTTCAACTAACCCACGCCGACGCAAGAAAAAACGTACATGGGGTAATGATTTTTTAGAGAATGTAATGCTGCATTTGCATCAGATACTACTTTTATATAATTTTCCGAAACCAGAGTACATAATCCAAGAAAATGAAGTTGATTATATTCGGATTTTCCGCTACTGCAGCCAAAACGTTGAATGTATTGTCGTTTTCCTTATTGTTTTGACGGAGATTTTGAATGTTATTCAGTTATTGCACTTTGCCTGTACTTTCAAACTTGCGCATAATGCTGTCTACTGTGGTACTGCTTGGAATCGGCCGATTGGGGTCCTTCACACTAAACAAAGACGTAACACGGTGGGCATAAAACAACTTGAACATTTCCACTTTCCCTTCAGTTAAAAATACATGATCGTCGCCCTATAGCTCTACTGATTTCACTTATTTAAAAATCCGATACCTACAACTGAATACCGAACGATCCTCGAGATCTTCACACATACATCATTTTTACAATATACCTTAAGGGGTTGATTCTATCCCACCAGATCAGCATAGCTTGTAAAAGAAATTTTTTGGATTGGCATTAGTTTTACTTTTATTCGAAGCGATCGGACGTTTCTACACAAAGTTATCGTGCACACAGACATACAGCAATACAAAATTATAAACGATCTCGAGGATCGTTAATAAGTACCTATAAAAGACGCAACGACTGCTCTGGGTGAGGGCAAGACAAGTGTGGAAAATATAGGTACATATAGGTAGGTACATCGAATTATACCTACTAGTCTGGTTGCCAAACTGGGATTTTTGGCTTAACCTGGAAGTGAGGTACGGTGAAGGTTTTTTGACGGTTTTTAGTTCGTAAGGATGTCTACTTTGAGAATCGGTTTGATGCCACTCTGTCACCCTTGAGCATTTTGAGAAATTCAAGATGGCGCCCAAAAATGTCTGCAAAAAATACAAACATTAATTTTTTTAAAAATATGGGCATGTGGCACATCGATTTTAGGGTTTTTAAGCTTTCTGAATTTAAATGTTTAGTTAAAAATATGTTTGTGGGGGTTTTGGAGGAGTGGGGGGTGTTTTTGAGGGGTTGGTTTTTATATTTTTTCAATATTAACGTGTCGTACATCGATTTATATGTTTTTATGGATAAGGTTCCCGAATTCCATATCAAAATGGAGGTACAGCAAGTTATTCAATGTTAAAAAAGTAGAACGACGCCGACAGACGGCCCGAAAATAACATAAAACGCGCGGTGCGTCGCGCCCGCGCTGCACAACGACATCATTTTAATAAAAAGATAATAATTATAACAAGTGCGATACGTCTTTTTATAGTTTTTTTGGGGTGGAGATTACAATTTTGATGTCAAAATATGATTTTTGAATAAATCCTAGAAAGATATGTACAAGATAGCGTCAAAATTTAGAGTTAAAAAGTTTACCATTTACTCCAGTACCCTTACTTAAATATCCCCATCCTACATATCCGGTCTTGTAAAAAAATATACTATCTAGTACTACTAGCGGTATACCAAAAGATACTGCATTTTCTTATACCAAGGTGCCACTTGGTACAGCTGTTCCTTAGAGCCATTTAGACGATTTGGCCCGAAGAACACTTGACATTTTCCGTGTGGGTAGATTTTAGAGGGGGTGGGGGTGATTTATTGTAACATTTTTTTAAAAACTAGATATGGCCTAGAGACGAGATCTGGGTGTCGATTTCGTATGATTTTAACCCGAGGAATTCAATGGTAGCGCCAAAAATGTAATCCGGATACAGGAAGTCCGTGAAAAGCCGCCATTTTTAGAAAATGACAGACTTTTGATCGAATTATATTTCTAAGGCACACCGGGCCGTGTAAGGTGACTAGATTTATGTTTTTGGGGTCAGGGAATTCATTTATGATAACAAAAATAACCTACTGGCATCGGAACTGCATGAGAGGCTTCCCTACTGCACTTTTTGAGGACGTCGCACGCTGTGAAACCCAAGATACTTATTCCAATGTTTTAATACCTATATAAATTTGTAATATTTTATTTAATAAAAATACACATTAACAAAACATAAAATACATTAAAACATGGAGTAAAAAATTTATAAGCCTATGAAGGATCACCAAGTACATCGCTGACCTCCTCTGAGATTGCGTTATCGCACCACTGAAAGGGAATTTCACATACCGGGTGAATATTTTAAAACCGAACGTAGGAAATTAACATGCGAAAAACGTTTTTTGCCGATCGTTTCTCCCCATGCTAACTTAGAGGGTTTGTAATGACACCAATCAAAAGAAGATTTTTTTCTCATCCAATGATATACGAATTAGCTTATTTTCAGGTGTATTTCTCATTGATTTTATCAAAAATTCGGCAATAAATCCAATTAGCAAAATCATGTTAAGCCATGGAGATTCCCTAACGAATTGAAATAGGTTTCCACATTCACGGAAAACAAATATCGCGTACTAGAGTAAATATTTCCGCTGTAAACGTTGTTTATTATAAATACTTTTTCCTCAGTGAACCGCATTTTACAAAAAAAAATTGATATTGATTTCGACGTTTGAATCTGCTTTTTGTCTTGGTCGTGGCTAAACATGATTTTGGTAAGTGGATTTCTCGAGTTTTTGATAATACAGTGAGAAATACCTACACCTGAAAATGAACTAATTCGTATATCATTAGACGAGGAAAAAAATCTTCTTTCTACAAAAACCCCTTTTCCCAAGTTAATTCCCTATGTTCGTTTTGGGAATATTCACCCGGTATAAATATTAAAGGTTCGGTAGTAAATTAGGTATATCCGAAGGTATACAATATTCTTTCCCTTTGTTTGAGCAATCTCACATACCTTTTTGGCATGCAGGGGAACATGGCAATCCGTGTCGCCGGCAGTTGCACCGAAGGGTCTCGCAGCCACACCTGTCCAGAGCACGGGCTGCCTTCCATACTTGTGGCAGCTTGGACCACCCCCATCCTTCTGGGCTTGTAGAGCTTCTCATCACCTGGTTTGCACATCCCCAGATATTATGGCCAGCGACATACGCCGCCCTCCTTATGTGCTCCTTCACCTTTTGCTGCGGCGACCGGATTACCATGTTCCCCTGCATGCCAAAAATGTATGGGAGATTGCTCAAACAAAGGGTAAGAATATTGTATACTTTCAATATAATTTACTACCGAACCTTTAATATTTATATGTAAAATTCCTTTTCAGTGGCGATAACGCAATCTCAGAGGAGGTAAGCGATGTACTTGGTGATTCTTCAACGGCTTATACATTTTTTGCCCCATGTTTTAATATATCTTATGTTTTGTCAATGTGTATTTTTATTAAATAAAATAATATAAGTTTATATATTAAAACTTTGGAATATCTTGGGTTTCACCGCGTGCGACGTCTTCAAAAAATGCAGTAGGGAAGCCTCTCATACAGTTCCGATGACAGTAGGTTATATTTGTTATCATAAATGAATTCCCTGACCCCAAAAACATAAGTCTAGACACCTTACACGACCCGGTGTGCCTTAAAAATATAATTCGATCAAAAGTCTGTCATTTTCTAAAAATGGCGGCTTTTCACGGACTTCCGGTATCCGGATTACATTTCTGGCGCTACCATTGGATTCCTCGGGTTAAAATTATACGAAATCGACCCCCAGATCTCGTCTCTAGGCCGTATTTAGTTTTTTAAAAAATGTTACAATAAATCACCCCCAACCCCTCTAAAATCTACCCACACGGAAATGTCAAGTGTTCTTCGGGTCAAATCGTTTAAATGGCTCTAAGGAACAACTGTACCAAGTGGCACCTTGGTATAAAAAAATGCAGTATCTTTCAAGAATTTCCGTTATACCGCTAGTAGGTACTAATACCCCTACCTAAATATCACCATTAATTATTTTTTTAATTTTTGGTAGAAGTCAAAATTACTGGTTAAGAGGGAAGTATCGTTTGTTCTGTTAGAACATAACGTCTAGCAGAATGTTTTCCTCGACTGGTTCTAGTGGATGATTTAATACTGGAATCGTAGTATTTATCAAAAATTAAAATCACATCTGCTTCTCGTAAATAAGCAACAAATTTATCAACAAAGAGTTTTAGGTAATCAGAAACCGTTCCTCGAACTTGCCAGTGTATTACCCAAAGCAATGCACATCCAATTATTGTTAAAGACGGTCTAGTATGTAGTCTCTTAGACTGGGAAACAGCCAGTGAATTCATATGAACCGATTTTGTTGATGCCTCCTTCATCAATCCATCATCATTAAACATTGATGGAGGCGCCGAAGATAGTTCGTATTTCAAAACTTCCGCTATGTCAATGTTCCTGAAAAAACAAATGCTGAAAAAAAGTTAATATTGTAATTGGGAAAATGACTACTAAACTAACCAAAACTTTTGCTTTGATATTCGTAGTTATTTGCACAATTACACATTGGGATATGTGGGATGGGGATATTTAAGTAAGGGTATTGGAGTAACTGGTAAACTTTTCTAAATTTTGACGCTATCTTGTACATATCTTTCTAGGATTTATTCAAAAATCATATATTGACATCAAAATTGTAATCTCCACCCCAAAAAACCTATAAAAAGACGTATCGCTCTTGTTATAATTATTATCTTTTTATTAAAATGATGTCGTTGTGCAGCGCGGGCGCGGCGCACCGCGCGTTTTATGTTATTTTCGGGCCGTCTGTCGGCGTCGTTCTACTTTTTTAACATTGAATAACTTGCTGTACCTCCATTTTGATATGGAATTCGAGAACCTTATCTATAGAAACATATAAATCGATGTACGACACGTTAATATTGAAAAAATATAAAAACCAACCCCTAAAAAACACCCCCCACTCCTCCAAAACGCCCCCAAAAATATTATTAACTAAAAATTTAAATTCAGAAGGTTTAAAAACCCTAAAATCGATGTGCTACATGCCCATATTGTTAAAACATTTAATTTTTGTATTTTTTGTAGACATTTTTGAGTGCCATCTTGAATTTCTCAAAATGCTCAAGGGTGACAGAGTGGCATCAATCGGATTCTTAAAATAGACCTACTTAGTGACCTAAAACCGCAAAAAAATTTTCACCGTACCTTACTTCCAGCTTTTTCGTCTGGCTTCCAGAATATACCTAATTCGACATTAGGTAATGATACAGCTCAAACTCTGGGAATTGAGATATACCGATGCATTATATCTTGAACACTGTGCATAAGAGTAATCTTAAAATGCTGCAACTTCAAATTATTGATGGCACAAATGTGGATCTTAATGAACAGATTTGGCACCTTTACCTATTAAACACAATATTTGCGCCTTTAATGTCTCAAATTATACAAAATAATGCTGTGGTGTAACAAATTTCTTATAAAAAAAGTTAGGCATTGAAATATGCATCCAAAACTCAAAGAGTATATCCCTGTAATCACTTATAGTACAATTATATGCTAATTATAGGCACCTATCCCCCTATACGCCTATACCACATAGGTATACTTATCCATTTCACAGTACAACTATTCTTGATCACAAATCAATTTCTCATAGGTAAGATAGCAAGTACGTACTAGCAAATGCTTCTTGAACAGCAGAGGGGGAAACTTTTCGTAAGATCCAGTTCAGATACAATACAACCTGGGGTGAATATAAACATGGAGCATCTAAAATAATTAAAAGTAGATACTTAGGTATGTATACATGTTCACATTTTTCCGTTAATATACCTACCCCATAGTAGAAATTTTCCCAGTGGATGCCTTCAGACACTTTACAGTTTTGCAGTGACCCGGGATGGAGACCGCTTCACCTTCTCTAATTTTGAGTCCATGAACCCTACAAACTGCAGTGGGCAGGTAAAGTGGGCACTAAAATTATTTGGGAACTTACAATTCGTTTCAAGTGGATAAGGAAGTGCAGTCAATGTATTCACAGCTAGCACTGTAACTATAAAAAAATATAAATACAACTTCATAATTAATATGTTCTATTTAGAGAACTGCATAAGAGATAAGATTGTCTGAATGTTTGGCTTATATAGACACGACGTACCAAAAAAATGAGATATTAATCTCGTCGTTACTATGCATAATTAACTTAATTAAAACGATAGCAGCCACAATGTCAAAAATCTAAAAAAAATTAATTAATTAATCATCAGTTACGTTGTAGAATACCGCACGTGTTTAAAACGATGTAATCAAGAACAAATTCCATTAATTTTGAAATGTTTGTGAACTAAGACCTTTTCAATGATACAGTTAGGTATACCGATAATGAGCTTATTGTGTTTTAAATCTATTGTTCGCTGGATTGTAAAAGACTTATAAATAAATGATTGCACTATGCACACCTATTATACCTAAGTGGGTACCTAATAATAGGAAAATTGTATTCTTTGCCGTGGTGTGAATAGGTATACCTAGGAATGGTATAGGGTTATATTATTGCCTGATCACATTGATTCGGATGCATTCTTGCACAGAGAAATGCAAGAAAATGATAGCACTCGCACCTACTAAGTATTTTTTCCTGCAAGTGTTGTCACAAAGAAGTTCACCGGCTGGTATACTCCTGTAGCTTAGGTAGGCACCTAAAGGTGTCTGTAGACTTATAAAATTACCATTGAACAAGTAATTTCTTATTCAATTATATTACCTAATTATCGCAATAAAAATGGGCAGATCCTTGTTTATTCAATGCTCTTTGGCAATAAAAAAATTCAAGTACCAAACTCTTAAACCAAAAAAGTTTAAAAACTCATACTGATTAATAAATACCTATAAACATCGAGCCCTAGTCCTTAAGAGCAATTATTACAAATGTATACGGTTATATCTAGTACACAGTAACCCGTAAGCTATCAATGGTGTGCTTAGGCATATAACAAATATTAATGCATTGCGACCATTAAAATTACTAGTTTTGTAGGGAATATTCCAGAAATCTCGATAGACATCGTGGCGCCATGAAAGATTAGTCATCGGCGATAAATAACGAAGGGGATGTGACGTAATCTTTCCGAGAAATATGACGTGTTTGTTCGAAAACATTCGAAAGCGAAAGTTGAACGCTAGAGAACATTGCCCCCTTATACAGGTGTGGCCCCGGATTGACCTTATAAATGGAATTGATCAAACATTTTTGAATCTCGCTTTAATGTTTTGGGTGTCCGGCCTGCTTGGTCTGAAAAGAATTTCAAGCTCATTTTTACTTTTTAAAATTCAGGATGGGCGTGACAATTGAGAAAAAAATAATTTTATGTTGTGGTAAAGTGTCATTTCATAAAAACGGATCGCTTAAATCAATATCTGATTTGTAGTCTTGCACTTCGGCAATAAAAGATAAATAATTGATTTCAAAATGATTGCTTTAGATGTCACTTGAATCTTAATGACAGGTAATAATAATTCATTTGTTTTATTGACACAGAATACTACTTGTTTCTGTGGTTCCTACATGTAGTGTAGACTAAGACTACAAATCAAATACCTACTGATTTAATCGAAGTGATCCGATATTTGTGAAATTATGGATATGGACATAATGTCATATAGGTATTCTAAACTTTTCTTAATAACAGTTTGCATTATTATTGACCGAAATGGCACGTTACTTCAACATAAAATTATTTTTTCTCAATTGTCATGGCCATCTTGGATTTTAAAAAGTGAATAATAATATGTGCTTGAAATTCTTTTCAGACCAAGCAGACCGGGATCCCAAAACATCGAAACGAGATTCAAACATTTTTGATCGATTACACGTATTTATAGTCAAGTCAATCCAGGGATACACTGTATTGTACTTGGATCCCACAACCTTATTTAATGTGGAACATGAACATACAGATAACTAATTACTAAAGCACCATACCTAATAATGAATCGGATCTACCAGAGCTGTTATCTACGCAACTTTGAAGATTGTGTGGAGTGAAAAAATTAAATTAAAATTGTTTGAAATAAATTTTATTTGGCGTTCATTCTCTCGGAGAAATATGGAATGAGAATTGAGCAAAGCATTCTTTTGCCTAGATTTAGATGACGTTTTTGCAATAAAAGTTAGTATAGTTATTGCGAGATTTTTTACTTCGGTATGTGATACATTATATTTGCAAAATTAACTGCATTCGTTTACCTAGGTAGATAAGGTGCACACTTTCTTCCAGATGTTTATCCGTAACTTAAACATGGTACCATTGAATAATTTATTATTCAATGATGGTACGTAATTGTTACAACCAAAGAGTATCCATAACCAAAGAGTAATTATAGTTACTCTTTGGTTACAACTTCTCAAAATCTTCGAGCTCTAGACGCTATTGCTAATCATTTTTCTTTTCCTCGGTTTGTAATTTACCTAGTTTAAGTTATGTTGCCGCGGGAAACTACGTTATCCCATTATAAATACCCTACCCAACAGCTGTATTATACCTATATGTGCTATGTATATATACCAAACTGTTGTAACTATTGCTATATTAGATATTAAGAATCGATATGTTGTATGTGTTTTACTTTCATGTAAATAAACTAGTAATGCACATATAATAACTTTTACATCGAACGACGTTATACTTAGGGAAAAGTCAATAATTTCCCCAGTTGCGTTGGTGAACAGCTAGTGAAAACAGTATCAGTGCGTTGTGCTACGTTCTTAGGATAGTATAGTATGGAACTGCAACTACTATTAATTATATGTACAGTCACGTTCATTCAGCCCCAAGATGTAGGATTTTATCTTCCTAATCCCGAAAAGTGCCTTGCGATTGCGATAGAAAAGATTTTCAAGCCTGACGCAACTCTTTACTTTATTTTTGGAAAAAGCGGCGGCGAAATTGTACCAAAGGATTTAGTAAACCCATATATTACGATTGACATCAGTAAACGTGTCCAGAGATCCGTGAATTACGCAAGAAACGTCATAATACAAACGGAAGGTTTTCAAACTCTAAATGACACCCTTCGACGCCTAAAGAGAAGTGTAATATGGCACAAAGAAGATTCCTCAAAAGGAACCTTTTTAATTACTATAAGAACAAATGATTTCAGTGAGGTGTTTCAGATTTGTTGGAAGCATAACATAACAAAAGTGCTAGTTTTAACACGTTCGTACGCGTCGCCTAGACTGTATACCAGCGATCCGTATTCAAATGAAAATAACTGTGCAAAACATGTTAAAAAGTACACTATCCAAAACTGTAATAAAGCCACTAACGTTAAATTGAGAGTCAATCTTAGAAATATGGAGAAATGCAACGCTAAACCTACTGTAAAAGGGACGAGTGCATTTAAATCAGAGATAACGGAGACAACTTATTTTGGCGGATTTTTGGAAAAAGCCTCTACTTTTATTGGAGATAGAATGCACTATATTATACTTGTTGGGTTTTCAGCATCTACATTGATTTGTTTTTATACAATGAATTCGCTAATGCGATATTAAAGTTTTAAATGTGTGTAATTGACGTGGCCTGTGTCAATAGGTACCTAATAAATCAATTTTTTTGTTTGCATTACGTGTTAAACGATTACATTTTCGGTTGCAGGGTATGTAAGTATTTTGCAAAGTAGATTGAGTAATTCGTCACTTTGTGTGAAGAATTAAATAATTAATTCACACAGTCGATTGTGATTCCAATTTCCAAGGTTTTTCATTTATGAGAATGCGGTCAATACATAAGGGTTGTTATCATAAATAAAGACCATGCGCTCGTAAATATTGTACTGGCATTCATTTATAATTCCATCGTGCGTGTTGGTATTACTAATGGGGTACAAAGAAGCATTAAAATTTTCTGGAATCGAAAGGTAAGGTGTACAAAAACTATTTGGAATATGCTTTTATTGGATCTACTTTTAATATAGGGCTTCGCCTGTTTGACTTCATTAAAGATACGTATACACAAAAAGATCAGGTAATTACCTACTTATCACAAAATTTCAATTAACAAAATCCGCAAGTGCATAAAATAATTGAAAGCAAAGCTAGATACCTATATAAACGACACAATAAGTGGGAAGCAATGCTACAATTTTAAGTATACGCATTTGGTAAGTAGTCAAAGGTACAATTTGTTGTAGTAGCGTACCTAGCAACTGCGACACATCACTCCATGGCCAACCAGTTTTTACCAATTTTTAGGATTTTTAATTTAATTTTTAGGCTTGCATATGAGACCTCACAATTGCGTATGTTATCCGATGGATATTTTAATTATCTATCCAAGGATGTTTTTATTTTTCCTGTAGGTTAAAATGGGGAGCAGGAATTGCCGAAAGTGTATTTTCCCATGTTACTTCCTTATGTCCCGCCGTTAATTTGCCACACTATTTGTAACGCCCTGTATACAGGGTAAATAAGAAGTCCGGGAACATTCGATTATCTCGCGTGGATGTTTATCTATTATATTATTGCTTATTCCTCTCAAATAATTAAAAAAATTCATTTCAGCAAAATTTGCAATACAATGTTCAATAGTCATTTCGTTTAGGCGCTGTTCTAATTTTAAGCAGTTGATAAATTTACATTTATTGCGACGATTTATTTCCACGGTTCCATTGAAAACGCTCATTTCAGCCGAGACAACTACATTCACTTCATGTTCATAGTTTTCCTCATTTATGTCTTATGACGGTAAGCACATTTGTTATATTTATTTATTATTTATTTACACCGTATATATTATAGCTTATAGCAAGGCCTGATGATGGCAAATTATAGCCGAAATCGATAGCCAAGAAGAAATCTAATATAAACGTTGTCACCACTTGTGTAAATCCATTGAATAAACTTAATTAATTTTTAATCAATGACGGTTCCATTCAAAATACAAAAAAATGTTTCTGTCAATTGCGATTTTTCTTTAATTGCAATTGAAAGGACAAGGTCATTCGAGATTTTCTATTCGAGATTGTTGGCTTTCCAGATTATTACCTTCGATATTTTGGTGTTACTGCCATTTTGCATTTCGAGATTTTTATTCGAGATTTTCACCTAGGTATAATCAAGCCGCATGACACACAACGTGGGATAAATCGGTGGATTTTAGTATAAAAACGGTCACGTCAATGCTCAATGGCACAGGTAGCCGCCTACTGCAAAACTTAATACTTAAGTTTTTTTCTTCGCATGGGTATGAAAATATAATAGCATAATTGGTGTACACCTCACAGGCGACCAGTTTTTCAGTGGGCGATAATTGACGTGACTGTTTTATACTAGAAGAACAATAATGACAATATTGATCTTCAAAAATTATAGGCATTATCCATTTTAAATGTGGAATATGCAAGCGGGTAGAAGTAGGTAATTAAACATTCTCTTTCTTTATTTTGATTGGCGGTCATCAAACTTCGGCTACCGTGGATACGGCCGATACGGGTTTTAGCAATTACCCCTTAAATAAAAAGTTACGCAACTTTTCATACTTCAATCTCAGACAAAAATCTACTGAAATCCACAGTGGAACTGTATGCGAGATCTACGTAGTATGGATTAACAAAGTCCCTGAATGGAAATCCGAACGAAAACCAACTGGAAGTTATCGTAGGTATGAAATTGTGCTCTTTAACAATTATAATCATTACATTAATTACACTACAATAAATAAACAACCAACAGTTGTACAAACTTCAAAATTCAAACGATCCCGTTTCTAATGGGACACCCTGTAAATTTGAATGCTTACTCTATGGTATTAGATACAGTAGCCAAATACAGAACAGTGAGTATATTTATATTCTATCAGATTAATAAGTATAAACAAAGTAATTATTTATGTTTGATTTTAGATTTAGGGGAAATTTAAATTCGTGTCTTAATTGTAGAACTAAAGACAACGATGGCAAATCATAAGGAGTGGTGTTCACAACAAACCGTAAACCTCCTACAGGAAGAATTACGAATTCCAACTTTAAATGAAATTAAGGATTATCTTGCTTCACTTACATCAGAAGAGGCAAAACAAACCATTAATGACTTCCCTTTAACTTATATATTTGACTGCCTCAATAATACAAATGTGTAAGTCACTGTCACTTAACCTTAAAATAATGCGGAATCATTTTCATTATAGCGAACAAATAGAATTAGCCAATGAAGTGCTTACATTGTGTATGTCACACTTGAGCATAGGGGAAACATTAAATCGTTACTCCATTTCAATCGAACGAGCACTGCGTCACCCTCACTCATCAGTGAAAACAATGGGTTTAAATGAAATACTTAGAAATTTGCAAAGCGAAGACCAAGTTAATAGTTTGGGTCGACAGACAACCCTAGTGAAATGTATATTTGAATGTATTGCAGATAATGATCTTGCAGTAGCAAAGGTTGCGTTGGAGATTATTTATAAACTAGCAGTATCGAGAAATTGTTTGCAAATAATTCTTTCCCAAGAAATACTTCAAAATATTCACAGACTTAGAGCCACTAATGAAATCGTTCGCCTACGTTTTAATGAGGTGTTTCTAGTACTTGACAATAACGATAATTACAATGTGATTTTGTAGCTGTTTGTAAACGTGTCTGTAAGTTCTGAATCGTCAATGCAGATTTTGGATTCACATGGTCTGCTTTCCATTATTTTAGAAGATTTGGATACTGATGATATCTTGTTAATGATGAACATCATTCAGTTGTTATCACAGCTAGTTATGACCAAGCATGGATATGCATATTTAGAAGTGCATGGCATTACTTCTAAAATTTTAAGCAAACTGGAATGTGAAGATTCTATCCCACTTTTGTTATGCGAACCAGGTTTGTGTTGCTACACTTATGATGTTTTGCTACATTCAGTTGTAGGTGTGCTAAAATTTTTTGGTGCCATGGCTTATCGAAAACCTGAGCAAATACTAGTTAAATATGCACATATTATTCACCGCATATTTTCTATTATAGAAGAGACTAATTCTACTTTAATTGGTGTTGCATTGGATACTCTGGGATATATAGGCGAAACCAACGAAGGAAAATTTAGCTTAGATAGCATAGGTAGAGTATATCACTTGATTCTCATGTAGAGACAAACGATATAGTTTACATTATAACAGTTTTTCCTTAGAGTACTTTGGAATCCCTTATATGGGAAACTGATGTAAGTAATGGAAACTGCTGGTTTCCTACCATGACAGTTTCTCTCTGAAACAATTTTATTTTACTTTTACTTTTACCAGTATCCCCAGATCTGACCTCTTCATATTAAATGTCCGACATGTGAACCTGTTATTGAGGGCATCTGATATTAAAAATGGTGCATGTAAAGATTAACAATTTCGGATAGCTTTTATTTAGCATTTTTCATTAGAATATTTACTGAAATGGGCAAATTGCATACCCCATACTTTTTGCACACTTTTTAGAGAGAAACTGAGTAATATAGATTTCAACAAGTCCTCATACAAGGAGAAACTAGTATAATAAATTGTTCTAGAGCGAAACCGATACAATGTAAATTGTACCAATTTCTCTTTATGTTTTCATCATACCCATTTCATTCGCAAACTAATTTTTACATAATGAATTTACAGAAAACAAAATACCAGAAACCATCAAAGTTATCTATCACAATATACAAACCTACCCTACTGAAATTAAGATACGCGCCTTAAATTGTCTGGAGAATCTGTTTCGTATTTGTGAATTTGATAGTAAAATAACAAATCTAGTACGTAAGTGGTATTGTTCGGTGGATGGCAACCTAATGACCTTGATATACGATTTTGCCAAAAATCCATTCAATGAAATCCGTTTCGCCGCATTTAGGGTTTTGGATGCTTTATCTTCGCATAACTGGGGTCAAGAAATTTTTCGGAACACTCCTGGTATGTACATATCTTACAAGTTAATGTTTGCTATGTAATATCAATTGCAGGTTTTATCGAATTTTTATTGGATCGTCGCAGTGAGAACTTTAAAGATTGTAAAGAAGCAAAGTATAACATTATAAGAGTATTATCTTTGAGTTCTGTCTTTGATCATAGTACTCAAACAAGACTGCAGGAGTACGTATCTGAAGGACCCTTTTACGTGCAAGCTGTTACAGAGGTTGCAATTGAGGGAGATTAGCTGTGTGTGCACATTGTATTGTTTATTGTTTAAATGTAATGTATTTGTATTTTCATATTAAACAACTAATGATATGTAGTTAAAATGCCCTCAGGTTGTTCCTTGTACAAGGTATTCCATTTTTGATATCTGTAGAAATGTCGGGAAACACTTCACATTTTTCAAGATATCTCGCTTATTTTTAAAAATATCGAAAAAAACAAAGAATAGTGTAGTTCACTAATTATACAATTTCCTAGATGATTTTTAAAACTTAACTCCCTAGTCAATAATTTGTTTTGTGTACTTAATTAAAGTATTTAGGAAAATCGTAGGTTGTGTAGCCCCGAAGTTATCCGATTAGGCACATTTGAGACAATTAACATGTCAATTAATTAATCGCCTAAATATGCCAAAAAAGCAAACCTATTCTTATTTGTGGGCATACAGAAGATCATCAAGAGTGTTTAAAGCTTCCTGTACTACGTGGTTACTATAAAAGCTACTCTTTACGCGATCAAAGTGGTGTTTCAAAAATCGGGAAAAAGTTTTAAAACGGGATTTGGGAATGCTAATATTTAATTATTCAATTTTTAAAGAGAGAAAGAATTTTGAAACAAGTTTGGCTTGTCGCGTGTAATGTTGGTTATCTATGCCATGCATTGACATGCTTTTTAGCGCATTTTTGCAAATTTATTTGTAAAAAGTAGCTTTTAATCTCACTTTGGGTGGCTGGCTGGCTGGCAGCAAATGTGGGCGCGTAGAAGAACTCTTGTAGAAAGGCAACGGGTGTACGTGTATCTACAGGGCCGTGAAATTTGTCAACCTTAGGGACATGGCTACATGATGTGGGGTTGGCGACATCTGGGCGTCATCCTCGAGCGTAGTATACTAACGTGAAGGTTTTTCAGTTTTTTCCTATCTTCTACTACAGTTTTGGTCCGATTCTTTTGAAATTGGTGTCGTCGGAAAGATGTTGTAAACGCGCACAACTCCTGCGTGGCGGAATTTTGTTTTTTGTCATAGGGGCGAAATTAACGACCTTTTGCGTGGCGCGCGCGCGCGTCTTCGAGAAGTAGTCAACTTCGGGCGCCTTTTACCTTCCGTTGCGAACTCACGCGGTTTAACGTTTCGTAAATCTCGAATCGCTGTCTCTCTTTCTCGTGTCGCCAATAGAAGTGAATTGCGAGTGAACGGGACGTCGGAAGTGGGTACCGTAAAAGAGAATGTGGTAGCCCGCGACAGACAGAGATTTTGAGATTTGGACTTGGGTAATGAAGGGAACAATTTCCGAAACAAGAAAAACTGGTCTTCAATTTTTGTGGTTCATAACACAAATTTATTTAAACAATTATCACATCCGATCAAACTACGGCCCCATAGATTTCTAAATTTATATGATAACGATTTTCACAGGTGCGCGGATGTAAGAATAGTACTTTTCTTCAATTAGATGAACAGTTTTCGATATTTCGCATGGCTTCCGCAATGTAGCCCGGTATTTGCTGCGTTTTCAACCTTCCCCCATTTATCAAATTATATATCTGAATTCTGATCTAATTTACAACAAAATAAATGACTCATTTTTCATTACAAAATGTTTTAATAGATTTTCGGAAATTTTCCAATTCCAACACGACATTCGCCTGATGCTTTACGAAAATAGTTTATTGGGCTAGCCGTCAAACCTACAGTGGAATTATCAAAAGCATAGGTAGATTAAAAAATTATCAAAGTCCTCGTGTGGAATCGAAGAGAGAGATCAGCGCATTTTTGTGTGGCAGATCAGTATTGTACCTATTAGCCACCATCAAAAAGATCTTATCGCAAGCTAACACATTCACTTTGTCGGTACCCGCTTCCGACGTCCCGTTCACCCACAATTCGCATTTAGATGAATTTTGCTAAAAACTCTCACAAAATAGTTCTCAATTTTTGGGGCACTTCTCATAGCTCTATTAGCCACACGAGAAAGAGTGATCGCGATTCGAGCTTTCAGAAACAAAATTCGCAGAGGAAGATACCTTTTGGGCGCCCTAAGTCAACTACCCCTCGCAGACGTGCGCCTTGTAAAATGAGGTTAATTTCGTACCCAGGAAAAAAACAAATTTTCGCCACGCAGTTGTTGTGTCCGTTTACAAGATCTTTCCTACGGCACCATTTTGAAAACAATCTGAAAACTGATGGTGGAGTGAAAACTTCAAACTCGAATTGCGGATGAGCGAGACGTCGGAAGTGGGTACCGAGAAAGGGAATCTGGTGGCCCCCGCCAAGATCTTACTGATGGTGGAGTAAAACTTCAATCGCAAATTGGGGATGCACGGGACGTCGGACGCGAGTACCAACGAAGGGAATGTGGTAGCTTCGACAAGATCTCACAAGAGGACTTTGACAATTTTTTACTAACGACATGCTGAAATAAAAAATTATCACTTGTAATACTACTAGTGCTTGCTATTTCCGGAAACTTTTCGAGCTCACAAATATTTGAACTTTCGCAAAATATTCGTGAGCAAGAAAAAAATTCTATTCAAGCACTGTGGAATTCGGTAAGAAAATTTCACACCATAGTGACCCTCAACGAAAAAGTGACGTTTTATGTCAAAACATTATTACCTTTTTACGTCAAACAATTGACGATAAATTCCTTGGTTGCCATGGAAATGTGACACGAAATCCGCATTTCATTGGTCGACAAAATTGCTGGTTGAAATTTTGGTTGACATTTGTCACCTAAAGTATGTAAGACACAAGATTATCAATTTTTGCATGAACAGTTTTTTAACAGAGCTGCTAGATTCAAGAAGGTGCCGCCAACAAACAATTCGTTATGTTTATCTATAATAGGTACATCGTCCAAATTGTACATAATTTTTATGTAATCGATATTATTAAATTGCTTTTTGATAAGTAGATAACAATACACCTACATCAAATGTATGAAAAAAATGTATGAAACGGGTCTAAAAAATTAAAACGTTGTTACTCCTGAATATTACATTTATTGACATTATTGGTCAATTATCGTTGGTACTAATAGACGAATAAATAGAAGGCATTGAGATTCTTTTGTTACTGGTCTAATAGAGTCATAAACCATTGTATATAAGTATAATGGTCATTAGGTGTTAATATTTTCCAGGTAAAAGTGCTACCTGAGTTGCCTATCGTCATTGTATGGAAGGTATTGCATTTCTTCCGTCGCTATATTTTATATAAACTTTTGAGTAAAAATTACGTTTTATTTCATAATTTGAAGCAGTTCGTAATATATTTTTTTAATCCACTTAGTTACTAAATAAATTGTGCGGATTTACTTTTTAAATATTTTTTTCACTAAGGCCAGTATTCGCGTTCTTAGTAAATTCAAGATTATCATTTATACACGACTTAAATAATTTTATCAAAAAAATAAATCGCTACATTTAATGACTTTCTATATCTCTATCAATTTCCGATAAGACCTCTAGTTAGAATTAATATTTGGGCTTCAAAAATTTCTCAAAAGTTTCGACTTTTATTGCAAATTTCAGTGACCACTGTGTGTTGCCTATCCTCTATCCCTAGCCCCCTGCGAGTAACTTCAGCTCAGCGCATTTTCCATGAGGTCAGCAGTTCTCAACAAAACATACGAAATTATTAAGAGTAAACAAAATAAGGGCAATTTTATGTTCGTAAAATGGGCTAAAAACTTATACGATATCATATAGGACATACAATTTTCCTGTATGACGATATTCAAATGGTACGTACCTAATACCGTACGTAATGATATAGGTACAAATATGCACATAATATGTTACTATTATTATCGTTATCACTTTCACTATAATACAATAATATAATCGTTTATTTACCTCAAAACTTAATTATTTCATCAGATTTGTACTGGTACCATAATGATCTCCTAATTATTGTAGGTAGGTAGTCAATGTTAATGTTAGATATAAAATAATTAATTTAATGCGAAATAAGAAAATATTTGTTAATATCGTTCAGAAGGGGTAATGTATAGGTATGTATCCAGCATTTACTATAAGCACAGCTATAAGTATATATTTTATTATAACAAACGTTATACCTATACTTTTTTGGACCGTTGAGTGAGAAATATAGTCAGTCTAGGCGATATCATTACTGGGCATGGTATTTAAAAAAAAACATAAATATGTAACTGTTTATTTCGGCGGTGCAAAATTACATATTGAAGAATTGGAAATTTGGAAACCAGCATTTGTCCTCTTACTTCTGCAAAAATATATGTCTCTATGCTTATTTTCGAACTTATCGCCCGATTGCAAGTCGATAGTATACTTACTTAGGTCAAACCTAGGGTCAAACGATTTCCATTGACGAGTGAAATTAAAAAGCTTTTATTAGAAGGAATAATCGCAGAAAGTAGATCTCTTAGACTAGGAAAGAGAGGTAGATCTTCTTGTCGTGAACAAGTTCTAATTAGTAATTACTAAAAATGAAAATCACAAAAAGAGAGTGGTTCTGGACTTTTCACAAACGATTAGTAAGTTTACCTATTATTATCCCCTGCCGAATATTGAGAAATTAATTAGAGCCGTTTCTACACACCGTATTTTTAGTACTATTGATCATAATTAAAAGAGCATACCAACAATTTCCAATAAATGCAGATGAAAAACAATATACGGTATTTGAAATAGTTGGTTGTTTTCACACAATGAGGTCGAATTATTCAGTGAGTAGAAATACACAAAACCTCCCCATATGTCATGGATAATTTAATAGGTCGCGTTTGATCAACGCGGATTGAAGCCATTAAATCTAATACGTAGTCCAATCCTATACCTACGTTAAATCTAATTTCATAATAGGTAACTCTTTATTTGAAAAAAAAGCATGACAATTAACAACAAAGAAATATGACCAGAATGTTATGTAGTTAAATAGGTATACGAGTAGGTAATAGACGGCAAACGTGTTAGCTATTTCATGTTGCATGTTGTATAAATTTGGAGAATAATTGTTAAAAACGATAGGAATTTGTTTTTTTTTCAATTGAAGTTGTAATTGAATTTTTGGTCACTTTATTATGAAATTTTGGAGAAGAATTGACACTTGAATTTACTATCTTTACAATTACTGCATTACAGCATTTCCATCGTGGATCGTGGAAGACTTCGCGCTAATTCCACCTTAATTTCAATAGATTCTTCTACATAACTTTCCGCGACACTGAAGGATTTCCATCATGCATGCCATTTTAATGCTATAAGACCGAGTATAAGACGTCAACTCCTTTGTTCGCCAACATTGTAGCTGACATTCTTCTAAACAAAAACGCGTGTCCAGTAATAAGCTGAAGGATTTTTTTTCTTCAAGTATTTTTCACGGGCAACTGCCAGTCGTGTTTTTACCTACCAGTTGGTTGAAGCATCTTCTATTCTGGTATTTAAGGAGGAATCCAGAAACATTGGGAATATTTTCAACAAAGTTGCAGATAACTTATATTTTCGTCTTTGTGATTAATATACTTCGCCGTATTCCAATTTTTGTATCCGATAAGTTAACAACTATCATAGAGTCTTTATATTCCATCTCATCAAGAGTGAAATTAGGTATACACAACTCGTTTCCTGCAAATGTCTGCTAAGTATTTCAATTACCTGCCTGAAATTAATGAAACTCTATTATGATCGCACATTATACATCATCTAAAATAAGCATTAAAAATTATTGTCAGGAGCTTCAGTTAAGAATCGGTTCGTGTCTTGTCTGCTAGACACATCAGATTTCCTTGGACGATAACCAACATTTTTAGTTTTCAAAAACGTTATTAATTGAGTGTAGGTATTTCGAAATGTACCTAAGTCCTGTATTTAAATTAAGCGTCAACTGCAACATAAAATATTCGGTCGACAGACTGTTAGGAGATTTCAATTTTGCATCTCGATGGACAAAATGGATGAACAACTTTCTCATAACAATTTGAAAAGCTTTTTCTTGGCACCGTTTCTTAAAGGAATTGTACGTAACCTCGTATCAGACTTTTGAGTTTTGTGGGATTATGGCATTACATCCAACTTTGAAGGATTCTTCAATATCGTTACGATCAGTTTCTGACGAGGATGACATACCAGGCCCCGGGTTATAAATGGACGCCACTTTCGTGGGGGCGGCATATTTTTTTTTATTATTTTCAATTTAGAAATTCAGCCCATGGCGCTAAAAACATGTGACACACCTATTTTTAATATAATCGTAATCGTATCCTCTACAAGAAAAGTTTACGTACGTTTAACAGAAATTACACCTCGAAAGAAAAATTCGGTAGAAATTAAATTGAAGTAAATGTGTGAATTTTCATTTGGAATTAATTTCCTGGCATACCTACCCAGTACCCACTGGTTGTACTCAATCGTGCAAAAGCAAAGCAGTGCGGGTGGTAAGTTCTTCTATAGGGCTTGGCAATTGGAGGACCCCGACAAGTCTCGGTCTTCCAAACCTTGCCCTCCACCTAGTAAACTTCACTTACCATTCTTCTACCTTAATATACTACTTATTTGACGTTAGACAATTGTTTCTATGGCGATTTCTAGCAACCCGGTTAAAACGGTGGAATTAAAGTAAATCCCCATTATGTAACACCTTTGAATATATTCAAAGCGGCATACCTACTGGCATACCGCCTAAAAGTGTACACCATCTGTTGCTCACCCATACAAAATAATGCATAACTCAGAATTTCCACATAATTAATCACGAGTAGGTACCCTTTACTCATTTGTGTCCCGAAGCTACCTTCATTTTCACGACAATGAGCTTTAATTATAAAACGTTAATTAAACATTATGTTTGTTAAGTATGTGTTAATTTTTGGTCGTTGAACTATGAAGTTTAAATTTGTTAGATGTACAATTATATAGGCATTCTTCATAATTTTCAGTATTAATAGTACCTAGCCAAGTATAGAATAGACCTTTATTATCTTTTTAATCAAGTATTTTCAATAAAATGTGATTACTTTTGATAATTCTATGGGAATATTTTTAAAACACTTATGATACAAAGATAAAAGTGTAATCAGTTTTATTACATGTAGAAGTTTACTTTTTGTCCAATATTATTGTGAATATTGGAATAGGCAGTGTGCAGAAAAGTGCGAAACTAAATTAGATATGCAAATTAGATTAAAACAATGGAAATCTATTATTGCGTAAGTAGAAGCTAATTTTCTTTTGACGTAACTTACTTTTGAATACGTTACTTTTCTTTTTGGGTAAATAAATAGGTAATGCAAATAACAATAGCCTTGTAGATGCCTACGTGTATGCAAACATTAATCAATCCGATGTATGTAGAGCTACATACCTTACAGTCACTAACAAAATTAACAAACCTCGGATTCCTCAATAATCTATGTTTTAAAATTAGAATTAGACACACAATCTAGTCAACATAATTCTACATTTTTGCTTACATTAAATTTCTGTTAAGTTAAACAAGGTATTGGGGAGTGTACGTAGTGATATTGAAGTATGCAAATGTCATTAATTCTGTTCGTGATCGTACCTATTTATAATAGATAATTTAAATGTATAGAAACACACTATTTGATCATTATACCACTGGAAAGTATAGTTCTTATATAGTTTTGGCACAAATGAACCAGCCCCTTGATCTACCAACCTATTAACCTATATAGATTCTAGAGATACCCACTTATAGTACCTAGATGAGTTGATTAGTAAGGAGAAACTTTAGTTCCCTGACAAAATGAAAGAAATATCTTATGTAACAATAACAGGTACTTTGCATAATAACCTGCTTATAAAGAGGATAAACATATCCAAACTTATTTTGTAAAAATTTTACCAGTTAATCAAATATCCGACATTATTGCTTCGACTCCATCGCTAACTTAATCTTTGATGTGGTTTGAGAGCAAAATTCGTATCTGTGCAGGGTCTATTTCTTATTGGATGCGGAAAATTGTGATCATTATCGCAGTAGATATATTGTTTATTTCTGATTAATTTGCGCTCGACAAAAAATTACAAGTCATTTGTAACCTTTAGTATCTGAATAAAATTGAAGTACCCATTAAGTACTTTAGTGCATTTAAACCATGGGTTGTACTAAAGAAATTACACAAACCACTGCACTTATAGGTTTCTTAGTAAAGTTGATTGAAGCTACGGACGCACTATATGATAATCTTGTTACTTGTACAACTTCTAGAAATGGTTCATTAAAATTAGTGTAGATGCATTCTTGCCTTTGCTCTTGTTCTGATTTCCTCAGATTTCCTTTCTCAAAATATACGAGCAACTACAAACGATATTTCTTGTAACAATTGGGTTGAAGTCTTGGAGTACCTTAAACAATATAACCAGTTTTAACGTTTCCTATCCTCCACACCCTTTATACTATGACAATAAAAATGGCTACTCAACATTTACTATAATCACATGCAGCTTTACTACGCTAGAGATCAATTTTGACCACATAACTTTTTACGCTAGGAGGCACCACAATACACAATTTGAGTGAAATACCTGTATGGATGGAGGAACAGACAGACATACGGACATAGTCATAAAGATTCCCTTACACTGTAGGGCCTACAGAATAATAGCCACGGAAAAAACTTAATATACCTAGTCATTGATTGTAAAGGTTACAATGTCTTTATCACTTTCACGCGATGAGTCATGGTGCACTTAATTTGAAGTCCATTTTATTAGTAATTAACTACCTAATATTATCTTTCAAGCAGGTGAAAAAATATTTGTCTCAAAAGTGTATAATTATTTTTGCACTCGTTCGTTCTAAATCGCGTTTTCCCAATAAAACACGAACGTCGGGAACGTCAATTTTACAATTGACTATCTACTTTCGCGCACTAGTGCCTAAAAATTCAACGAAATTATCTATTTAGTGCGGATCATAAACTAATAAGTAGTATGATGGAAGAGTAAAAAAGAAAATATAAATACACTTTACATCATTCCCTGTAGTACAGGGGCAAAAATAAGCTTAAACCAGAAGTTTTGAACAATAAATTGACATTTTAAATTTCTAGATTTCTACTTTATCGGCATAGAGGACTTGATTTTTTCAAAAGAATTATAATGTCGCAAAAATCTCGCGAAAAGGATTTGAATTATTTAACTAATCCGCGCAAAAAATAGAATACATGTTACGTGCGTGAACAGTATTTACTTGATTCGCGCGAAATGCGTCGCTCGTGCGCAACCTCGCGCCGCCAAACTTCGCGCTCATCTGCAAAGTAACTGTTCCCGCACTAATAATGTAAATAACTCTATTGCAAAGGCCCTGATAAATCATTTTTATCAAGGTGTGGTGTGATTGTGCAACAAGCAATAATAAAATTATTTTCTTATTTTTATTATGTTACGTAATAAAAAAGTGATATGATAGCAATGATAGCATTGTATTTGTAGATATTCCTTAATGTTTATCATCTTATTGACCTTTGACATACCTATATCCTAAAATATCCGATGTTGCAGCATAAACCGCACGTGAGCGATGCATCCATAAGTGCAACACATATTTTCTAATTAGAGTTTTTTTTGTTACCAGTGGCAACTTGCCCCTTTTTGAAAGGCAGCTTTTTGCACCATGCTAAATTTGTCTAGAAAGGTCGGGAGTAGTCTATAGACTGTATCTGTATGGACCAATTCAAACCTTTCTAGACAGACAACGTAACAAATTCAACATAGTTAAATTACACTAAACCAGGGATTCCCAAACTATTTTGGGCCAGAGGTCCCTTTTTCAAAATGAACTGATAGCCCAGACCCCCATAGCCAAATTATTTTAAAAATCCCATCTCTAGTTTTTTTTTCCTATTGATACAAAATACTTACCAATTTAAAAATTTTGCGGTTGGTTAAGTGAGTAAGCTTTTTCATCAAAATTTAACAAACACTTATATGTGAGAAATACAGCGCTAGTCAAAACGCACCTGAAAGACTTCAACTTGACAACGTGCGCGAAATCGTCAAAAGTGAAAAAAAGTATTTCGCGCACGGGACAAAGTTGAACTTAAACAGCAATTTAATTAACAATCGGTTCAGTTGTAGAAAAAATATTGTATGTAACGCTAGCGCGAAGTTATTTCGCGCATTTGACTGATATTTTAACTCGGCTTCGCCTCGTCAAAATACCTTCAGTCTCAATGCGCGAAATTGAACTTCGCGCTCTTGTTATATAAATAACTATTTTCTATTAGAAATGTTTTTATTCATACTGTCAATTTTCTAACTGCTCCTACCGGGTTTTTCTGTGTGAAAGAGCTAATATTTTCAGACATTTTCGTTTATAGATATTAATCTTTTCGGCACTATTGCATTACATCAACGGACAAACTCCTCCATCGACCGAAGAGGAAGTGACCAAATATCTAAAAACAGTTTACGAACAGGAAGCGTCGCGTTTAACAAACCTTTTTGTGGAAGCCGACTGGAACTTCGCAACGGATATTGCTAACGTCGACAAAGAGAAAGCTAAGGTATTTTTGTTTGTGATTTGTTTAAGATGTAAATTTTATTTTTAAGACCGCCGCAACCTTACAACTAGCCAAGTACACTAAGGAACAATGGGAAAAGGTGTTTAACAAAGTAAATGCTACGAATTATAAAGACCCATTAGTAAAACGGCAAATACAGCTTTTGAAAGTACTCGGCAATGCAGCTCTTAGTGAAGTTAAACTTAAAGAGGTAAGACCTTCAAGCGCATCTTCAAGTTTAACATTACTCTGTTAGCTTACTTCGGCAACTAACTCAATGACGAATGTTTATAGTACAGCAAAAATTTGCCCGTATAAAAAACCTAAGTGTAACATAGCCACCGAAGGTCTAAGCTTAGAACCCGGTAAGTAGTCATTCTCGATACTTATTCTATATCTAGTTTAAGGTATCGAAAGTATCATTTCTAACTCCAATGATTATGAGGAGTTACAATACGTTTGGAAGGCATGGAGAGATGCTACCGGAGCTAAAATGAAAAGCACATACAAACAATATGTCGATTTATCAAACGAGGCTGCCAAATTAAATGGTAATGAAAATGTGGGTCTTATAACTCCACTCCACTACGTTTTATATTGCAGGTTTCAACGACAAAGGGCAGATGTGGAAAAATGACTATGAATCACCAAAGTTTGAAGCAGATATGGATAAACTGTGGGCTCAAGTGAAACCCTTATACGATGAACTGCATACTTACGTGGCACGCAAACTGAAAAAAAAGTATGGAAATAAAATAGATATAACTGATGGTCTTATACCGGCCCATGTTCTCGGTGAGACATCAAGTTGTTAATGCTCGAATCAATTTATATTAATCAGGGAACATGTGGGGTCAATCGTGGATTAACATTGGAAAGTTGGTCAAACCTTTTCCAAATGTACCATCAATTGATGTTACGGCCGCCCTAAAAGAGAAAAATCGTACCGTATTAGAACTATTTAAAGAATCTGATACCTTTTACAAATCGTTAGGATTAGAGCCCAACGACATGTCGTACAATGAAACATTGGGAGCTGTAATAACTAAACCGAAAGATAGAGATATTTTGTGTCATGCTTCTGCATGGGACTTTTCCAATGGAAAGGATTTTAGGTAAAGCTACAAACAGTAGATATTAAATACTTCAACTTTAATTTAGGATAAAAATGTGCACTCAAGTAAATTATGAAGATTTCGTTACGGTACATCATGAGATGGGGCATATTCAGTATTTTCTGTTGTATAAAGGTCAGCCGATTGCTTTTCGCAACGGAGCAAATCCTGGTTTTCACGAGGCCGTTGGTGACACTATTGCTCTTTCCGTAACAACCCCAAAGCATTTGGAGAAAATTGGACTTGCAACAAATTATATATCATCTCTCGCCGCGGACTTAAATGTATTAATGGATATGGCTTTAGAGCGAATCGCATTTTTACCGTTTGGCCTTCTTATCGATAAATGGCGTTGGGACGTTTTCTCAGGAAAGGTCCCTGAGAACAAATGGAACGAGCAGTGGTGGAAATACAGGTGTGGAATTGTTTATACAGGCTCGCTGATAAGTCCGGAAACGGTCGATTATCGGGGAAAATATATAACTATGGAAAGAAAAACTATAAATAGGGTTCTTCAATGTCTACTATGCAATAATATTTTTTCTTATACATCAGGGTTGGTCATAAACTTGTGGCACACCAAAATTGCATTTTTGTTTAATAGCACATCATCTACATTAATCGATAGTTCGATATCCTTCTATCAATTTTAAGTATAATTTGTAAGAAGTATAAAATGAACATAAATTCAAATATTTCCAGTTTATCGAGTTATAATAAAATCTATTATTTTAACTTTCATTGAATGAAGAACAATAATTAGGTAATGACATCACGAATTTTTGTTGAAAACATTCTGTCGCTCTGAAAATTAGGTTTTCCTGCAGTTTTCCTAATTCGTAAGGTAAATACCAGAGTAGTATAGAACAACTTAAGACCTTCTGCAAAGGCACCTCCAAAAAGCATTATGCGGGTCACTCTGTAATTGGGCGCAAGCCTGTTGAGGGCCCAGAATAAGAAAGGGATAATAAATAAAAAAATAAAATAAAAAAAAGAACCGATTCTGACTTTGTAATTATTGTTTGGTATCGTTATTTATTGTTCTTCATTCAATGTAATGTACCTATAGAGTAGCACAACAAAAACGTAACAGACTCGTAAGGAAAACAAAACCATAAGCGTGTAGGAAATTAAGAGCCCTTTCCAATAATGTGTCACTCGATCAAGGGGTGGCAACCCCTCTTAAGAAAGAGTTGTCACCAGGAGTGTAACTTTTTAACTAAAAGGGAAGGTGGACACCCTGCCAACCAAAATCAACTATTTCCTTACCAATTATTCAGTCTGTTTCATTGTCGTTGTGGTAACCTGTATAAAAATCTTATGTCACTTCGTGTTACGGAAACCTTTGAATAATATATAATTATTTACTTTATAATCAAAGCCGAAAACGATTGAATTTAGGTACATTATGCTTCTCTCTCTTGTTTAAAATTTAGAGAAGAATTGATTTTAAAAAATCTAATTTTGGTGTATCACGCCACGCCTTTATGGCCAACCATGTAATAAGTAAAATTACTGGAAGAACCCGAAAACTATTGCATAAAACTTTTTTCGGTACCTTTTATATTTTCCAAACTTATCAGCGACTCTGTATATGCATATTTAGTAAGCTATTTAATTGCAGAGAACAAATTCAAAAAATAAAGCCACCCGTTTCCCGATCGAGTAACGATTTTGACCCAGGCGCAAAATTCCATGTTCCCGGGGATTCACAATACATAAAGTAAGAAAATTGGTATACGGGCCAGTATAATAATTATTTTATCTTGCAGTTACTTCGTAGCCCATATTTTGGAATTTCAATTGTATAGGTCCTTTTGTAAACTCTCCCGACAATATGATCCATCAGACTCCAAAAAGCCGCTGCACAACTGCGATTTCTATCAATCGAAGGAAGTCGGTCAAAAGTTAAGGTTGGTAGTTCGTGGAAGAATGAAGTAAAATTCATACCTGGTATCTGTTGTATAGAGCGGGATTATCGTTAGGATGGAGTAAGCATTGGAAGGAAGCACTGAAGGAAATGACCGGCGAAACCGATCTTGACGGAACAGCGATTCGCGAATACTTTCAACCTCTTTATGATTTCCTGAAGGTTCAAAATCAAATTTACACTCAAGATGGTTTGAAAACTTTTTTGGCCACGGAATATGAACGAGCGTCATCGAGTATGTCAAATAAGGTGACTATTGCTGAATGGAATTTAGCCACTGATCTTGGGAATCCTGACAAACAAAAAGCTCAAGTAAGTAAATTATATAACAACTTGTTCAGAACTTAAAATATTTACTGATATGTCTCACTTTCCATATTAATAGTTGCAAGCCAGTTTAGAATCTGCGGAGTTTGACAAAAAGTACTGGACTACAGTTTTCCAAAATTTAAATGTGAACGATTACAAAGACGAGGCACTGAAACGGCAATTGAAATCGTTAAAGATGATAGGAAGCGCCGCTCTAGACGAAAAAAAACTGACACAGGTGATCTCTTAATTCATATAAACGTAAGGAGAATTAACTTGAAATATTCTTCAGCTGATAAATACACAAAACAAAATGCAGAACATTTACAGTACTGCGAAAATTTGTCCCTTTGATAAACAAAAATGTGTGTTAGCAAAGGAAGGTCTTAGCTTAGAACCCCATATTGAAGACGTGATGGCTCGTTCCAGAGATTATGACGAACTCCAGTACGTTTGGAAAGAATGGAGAGACGCCACTGGTAAAAAAATGAAAGATAGTTACAAAACATACGTTACACTTTCAAACGAAGTAGCCGTCGCAAACGGTAAGTGATGAAATTGGCAACAAAGGCGTTTGTCCTTTGCAACAGAAGCGCGCAGCGCATCTGATTTAGAAGAAAAATAGACACATGCGATATAACTGCCACAACACCATTTGCAAGCTAAATTGTCCATTTTAATAAATCTCTTTTAATTTTATAATTATACTAGCACACCCCACGAACTTTGTAACGGCTTTGGGAAATCTTCTTTTCTAGGATCGGAGATACGGTCGGTTTCAGAGGCTGCACCACCTCACCTCGCTCAAATGTATCGCTTCCCGATGAAACATAAATTCGGTTTCGGCGACTGCTCCGCCTCACCTCGCCCAATAATTATTATAATTCACATACCTGGCTGCTGGATGGGACATAAGCTCGGTTTCGGCCCACCTCACTTCGCCCAATATTATTACTAGCAGTAGGAAATAACTATTACGACCCTATTCTCATATCTACCAAATATAACAAAAACAACTTGTAAATCAGGATATGTATGATGCTGTCTGATGATACAGATCAGTATTTTATTAGCAAATTAACGATCTCACGAGTACCTAATGTAACTCAAAATATACTAGAGCCTGCACATCTACACTATAGCAGAAAGCGTTTAGTGAAAATTTGAAGTTTCTAGCTATTTAATTGTAATCACCGAGATCTCAGCTAGACAGCCAGCGAGCCACACAGGAAGCTATAAGTGTTTTTTTCTCAAAAATGCGTTAAAACTTTTACAAAAATCGTTTAAACCGTGACACGAAATTTTTATATATTAGATTTCGCTCTAGAAGTTTGACATAATGGCCATCTTCTCTTCACGTCTTTTTCTTTTGTCTCTGATTATTACATTATGTCTTTATTATTATTTAATAAACTACACCTAAATAATTTATAACATCTAGGACTTCAAATGCGTAACATACACGTGTCTACTGCTGGCTTTTGTTATATTACGAAAGCTTTTTGGAGTCGAAACGATCTTAAAACTAACTGTGGCGTTACGATTGCAGGATTCAAGAATACCGGAGAAATGTGGCAATCCGCCTATGAATCTGACACATTTGAACAAGACTTGGACAAGTTATGGGAACAAGTAAAGCCCTTGTACAACGAGCTGCATAAGTATGTTGGAACTAAGTTAAAGGAAGTTTATGGAGACAAATTAGATATGAAAGACGGCTTGATACCCGCGCACGTATTCGGTACGTGATATCTGCGACTCGATCAAATTATACTTTTTGTTACAGGAAACATGTGGGCTCAATCTTGGACCAACTTGGCCCCGTTATTGAAACCATACCCGAATGCGAGCTCGGTGGACGTTACAGCCGCTCTTATTAAACAAGAATACTCAGTGAAAGAGATGTTCCAATTGTCCGATGACTTTTACCAACGTTTAGGACTAGAATCATGCGAAATGTCTTATGGTGATCTTGCCTTAATTGTTAAACCAGAAGGTCGAGAAGTTGTATGTCATGCGTCCGCGTGGGACTTTTCCGATGGGAAAGATTTCCGAATTAAAATGTGCACCAATATTAATTACGAGGATTTGATTACAATTCACCATGAAATGGGCCACATACAATATGACATTTTGTACAAAGATCAACCTATTACTTTTCGTGGGGCAGCAAATCCCGGTTTTCACGAAGCGGTCGGAGATACCATTGCGCTCTCAGTTGCGACACCGAAGCATTTGAAGAAGGTTGAGCTTTTAGACGAAAGCTACGTAATTTCAAAGGAGAGTGATTTGAACAGTTTAATGGACATGGCACTGGAAAGAGTAGCATTCTTACCATTTGGACTACTTATTGATAAATGGCGTTGGGATGTCTTCGCCGGAAAAGTAGACTATAAGAAGTGGAATGAGCAATGGTGGAACTATAGGTATCTCTTTTTCAACACTCTTTATTTAACACCTTCGTAGATAGAAATTGCAACATACACAAAGCACTAACGCAAATCAATTAATCTCATTGTTCAGCGCTTCCAAAACCGCTGAAGATATCCACAAATATTTGGGAAGTACTTAAATTCAGTTATCGGTGCTTGACAAAAGTCAGCCCTCAAATTTCAATTATTTTGTATAACAGTCCCTTTTCATTCATTCTGTTTTTAGCGTCATTGCATTAATATTTGGTTTTATTTCTCTCCAGAAAAATGTATCAAAAGGTAAAGGCTCCAGTTTCCAGAAGCGAAGATGACTTTGATGCTGGTGCAAAATACCACATTCCTAGCGGATCTCAGTATATAAAGTAAAAATGTAGTAGACAAAAAAGTAAGTTCCTAATTGTTTGTTTACAGTTATTTCGTTGCCCGCATTCTCCAATTTCAAATATACCGTTCTTTGTGCAAAGCGTCTGGACAGTACGATCCCAACAATCCATCGCTACCACTACATCAATGCGACTTTTATGAATCGGTAGAAGCTGGAAAAAAACTAAGGTACGTACCTAGCTATCAAACGAACGAGTATTACTTATACTTTAATCACTTCTCATTTCATAGAAAGGGATTAGCGCTAGGTGCAAGTAAGCATTGGAAAGTAGCGTTGAAAGAAATAACCGGAGAAGACTATTTGGACGCCACGGCGATGCTGGAATATTTTGATCCACTTTATAAGTATCTACAAATGGCTAATTCGAAGGATGAAGATCATCTGAAAGAGTACTTGTCTAAAGTGTACGAATTAGAAGCGTCGCAGAAAGCAAATAAACTAGCAAACGCACGATGGGATTTTGCTACCGATGTGAATAATAAAGAAAAAGAAAAAAAACAATTAGAAGCCACTTTAGAAAATGCTCAATTTAATAAAAAAAAATGGAGTGATTTGTTCAAAAATCTTTACGAAGGAGATTATAAAGATGAATCGCTTATTAGGCAAATTCGTTTTTTGAAGGTGTTGGGCAACTCAGCGTTGAATGAAGACAAACTTACTGAGGTACTTCTCTTTTGATTTTGACGCGTTTAGGGTAATTCTGCTTTTAGCTTTCAAACGCCGGCAGCTACATGAAAAATATATACAGTACAGCGAAGATATGCCCGTTCAATAATAAAGCGTGTTCCTTGGAAAAAGAAGGGTGGTCGTTAGAACCAGGTATACGTTAATTGAACAACAAACCAGTACCCTGATTTCTTTGCAGATATTGAATACAGATTGGCGCATTCTGAGAACTACGAAGAACTTGAGTACATTTGGTCAGAATGGAGAAAAGCAACGGGACCAAAAATGAAGAAGCGTTATCAAGATTATGTCAGGCTTTCCAATGAAGCGGCAGTTGCCAACGGTATGTAAAAACATCCAATTGTGATACTACTCAATAACCTTAAATAGGCTTTGCTGATAAAGGCGAATTATGGCGTAGTAGTTATGAATCACGGACATTTATAAAAGATATGGACCGAATTTGGGAGCAAGTAAAACCGTTGTACAACGAACTACATAGATACGTTTTGAAAAAATTGAAGAAAAAATATGGCGACGCTTTAAATATGGACAAAGGTTACATACCGGCTCACCTTTTAGGAAACATGTGGGCGCAGTCGTGGATCAATCTGAAGGACTTAGTCCGACCGTTTGAGAATGGAACGTTAATTGATGTGTCGGATGTTCTACAAAAGAATTATACAGTTAAAAAGATGTTTGAAACGTCCAATCAGTTCTATACATCTTTAGGTTTAGAATCGTGCGCAATGTCTTATGGACCAAAAGCAGTAATAGAGAAACCAAAAGATCGTGCAATCTTGTGCCACGCATCCGCTTGGGATTTTTCTGACAAAAAAGATTTCCGCATCAAAATGTGCACAGAACGTAACTACGAAGACTTTATAACCATACACCATGAAATGGGCCACATAGAATACGATATTCTATACAAAAATCAACCCATATCTTTCCGGGACGGTGCGAATCCAGGTTTTCATGAAGCGATCGGTGACACCATCGCATTATCGGTGGCAACTCCTAAACATTTGGAAAAAATCGGCTTACTTCACAATTACGATAACAGTTACGAGTCCTCCATAAATACGCTGATGAACATGGCATTAGAGCGGGTTGCGTTTTTGCCGTTTGGATTGTTAATTGATAAATGGCGATGGGATGTATTTGCCAAATTAATCTCACCCGAAAAATGGAATTCTCATTGGTGGCATTACAGGTAATACATATTTTACCTTAATAAAGCGGGTTGGTGAGCGTGGAATATTTTAGGGAAATGATTCAAAAAGTTACTCCTCCAGTAAGCAGGAATGATGCAACTGATTTTGATCCTGGAGCAAAATATCACATTCCCGGCGACTCTCAATACATCAAGTAAGTGGCGTACGAAAACGATTAGTCGTGAAGTAGCGTATATTTCAGCTACTTTTTCGCACATATTCTGCAATTCCAGTTATATAAAGCCCTTTGTATCAAAGCTAAGGAGTATAATGAATCGTCTCCCGGGACACTACATACATGTGACTATTATCAAAACAGGGACGCCGGTAAATTGCTACGAGAGGGGTTAACTTTAGGAAAAAGTAAACACTGGAAGGATGCGCTTGAAATTATGACGGGGTCCCGGGAGTTGGACGCAAGTGCGCTACTGGAATATTTCCAACCCTTGTTTGAATTTTTGAAAAAATCCAACGGACCTTTTCCCAACGACCAAGAGCTAAAGAATTTCCTTACTTTAGATTATGAACGTTCTGCATCAATGATCACAAACGAACAGACACACGCGGAATGGAATTTTGTTACAGATGTTAACAATCCCGACAAAGAACAAGCACAAGTAGCTGCGGCTTTAGAAGCGGCTCGGTTTAAAAAAATATACTGGGATACTTATTTCAAAAACTTAAAGACTGACAACTTCAAGGACGAATTACTAAAAAAACAAATTAAATCGTTAAAACTCTTGGGAAATGCTGCTTTGAATAGGGAAGACTTCAAAAAGGTACCTATTACATTATCTGACATCGACGCAAAAATTCGTAAATTTCTGTTTTCAGTACACAGAAACTGTTAATGAAATGACGAAGATCTACAGCACAGCCAGGATCTGTCCATACAAACAACAAAACTGTAACCTGCAAACTGAAGGTATACAATTAGATCCACATATGGTGAATATCATGGCGACTTCTACCGATTACGCTGAGTTATCATACGTTTGGGCGGAATGGAGACGCGCAACATCTGGCATCAAGAATAAATACGTTAAATATGTTGACTTATCCAATGCAGCAGCAGAAGCGAATGGTGAGCGCACTGTGTAAGCACTCCATTAAAAATTAACGCTTATATAATTTCTAGAATTCAGAGACAAAGGAGAAATGTGGAGAAGTTCTTACGATTCCCCTACGTTTATAAATGATATGGATAAGCTCTGGACTGACGTAAAGCCTCTATATGACCAACTACATACATACGTGGCTAAAAAGTTAAAAGAGAAGTATAAAGATGAATTTGACTTCTCAGATAATTTAATTCCAGCCCACTTATTGGGTAAGATTAACTGTAACCATTGCTGTTTCTACTGATTCATACTGTAGGTAACATGTGGGCTCAGACATGGACGAACATATTTCCTTTAGTGAAACCATATCCCAACGCCACTTCGCCAAACATAACAGCAGCGCTTTTGGAGCAAGGATTTACTGCCTTGCGCATGTTCGAAACCTCAGATGAGTTTTATAAGTCATTAGGTTTAGAATCGAATCATATGTCATATGATGTTAGTTCAGGGGCAATTATTGAAAAACCAACTGACAGAGACATCTTATGTCACGCCTCTGCTTGGGATTTCTCGAACGGCGCAGACTTCCGAATAAAAATGTGTACAAAGGTTAACCACGAAGATTTCATAACCATTCACCACGAAATGGGTCATATCCAGTACTTCATCTTATACAAAGATCAACCTATCACATTTAGAGATTCGGCGAACCCTGGTTTTCATGAAGCAGTTGGTGACACTATCGCGTTATCAGTCGCAACTCCTGAGCACTTGCACAAAATTGGGTTACTAAAGGATAACATAATGACGAACGAGTCTTCTATAAACACACTCATGGAAATGGCGCTTGAAAGGGTGGCATTTTTACCATTTGGCCTTCTCATTGACAAATGGCGCTGGGACGTGTTTAGTGGAATGGTACCAAGAGAGGAATGGAACTCGCGTTGGTGGAAATATCGAAATGAATTGCAAGGTGTAAAAGCTCCCGTTAAAAGAACCGCCAACGATTTCGATCCTGCTGCTAAGTATCACGTCGCAGGAGACTCTCAATATATTAAGTACGTGTAGACATTTTTAATTCACACACTGATTGCGCACTTTTACAGTTACTTTGTCGCTCGCATATTACAATTCCAAATGTATAAAGCTTTGTGTATAGAAGCTGGCCAGTATGCGCCCCAGGATAATAAACCCTTACATAAATGTGACTTTTACCAATCAGTTAAGGCTGGTCAGAAGTTACGGTAAGAGCTACTACGTGCTAATTTTTTTATTATATACATTTTTATAGTGCCGGTCTGTCGCTGGGATCTAGTAAACACTGGAGTGAGGCATTATACGCAATTACAGGAGAGAGGCAGCTCAATGCAAGCGCTTTATTGGAGTACTTCGAACCCTTAATGGTTTATTTAAAAGCACAGAACGTGGAACCGGAAGAGTCTAGTCAGTTAGTTCCTATTATCGTTGGTAGCGTTGTTGGTGCTGTTTTAGCTTTAGGATTAACGGTCTTTCTAGTACGAAAGTTTCGAAAGAAAAAAGATTAAATAGGCAATTGGTGAAATGTTTCTGTTTAGTTAGTAGGTACTAATATGCAATTGAACAATTTAAATTAACGATCGATTCTAATGCATTCATTGTACGTTTTTCAAAATTTTAGGAAAGAATGTTATAAGTTGTACCAGCAATTTACCTCGAGATATGCTCAGGGTCTAACACAAAGGCTATAAGAAATTCAATAGGTAACGCGATATCTGCTTGTATTTTATTTATGATCAATTACCAAAAATCTGCTACGCATGCCACAAATTAGATACTTCAACTGCTATTTTACTTTTGATTCCATGATATTTTACCTCTTTTGGTTTCTTGTGCTTCTACCAAAAATTTGATACGAGTAGTTTCTATTGGTAAAATTGTACATGTATATACATATAGGTAATAGACACCTAGGTATTATAATTTAAAATTCGTAGTTTTATATAAATATGTAAATCGTTTATAATTTGCCGATCAATAAAATACCTATTATTATGATAAAAGGATTTTGTGCTTCTTTATAATAGTCGCCCTAAGAAGAGAATAAATTGTAAATAATTTTGATGAACTATAAGAAACAATATAAGTAAATTGTAAAGCTAACTGCTATATTGTTACGAATTATACTATTTTTAGCGTACTTTCCAAAAAGCAAATGCAGGGGCGGACTGGCACGGTGTGGCGGGTGGCGATTGCCACCTAGCCTGTAGGTGTAGATGATAATGGCCCGTTGGAAATTTATAAGTATGTGCTGTATTTAGTTTCTTGCACTGTTAGTAAATTATTAACACGTTTCTCTAATTGGGGTTGATGTTAGGTTGTTAAAAAATTCTGTTTTAATTGAAGTGTTTTGCAATGAATTTATCATTTTTTGTCGTAGTATTTTGAAAGCGCTGAAATACAATGATAGGCGACGCACCTCGTGTGGATTGTATATTTTGTTACTTTTAATTATCAGCTGCAATTTAAAAAAAACTGTATGGTAATTGATTTTCGAGAAAGGAGTACTTTAAAATGTTTCTGTGGTGCACCTCAGAGCTACCCCCCCCCCTCGCCAGCTTCATTACTACACTAATACTAAGTACCCAGTCCGCCCCTGTGTATAACCTTCCTTTTTTACCAAAATTCAACTACACCAAAATTTCTCGGGAAAACACTTTTTCTTATTAATTTGGGTTGGGTGCGTAAAATCCAAATCAATTCGCACTTTTTCGATCAGACTTCTCAATCAAATGTTGTAACTTTTGAACTAGTAGCCCAATCTTGGAACTGTTTGAAATTATGGATTCTACAGGCCACATTCTATAAGACAGGCAGTGTATAACCTTCCTTTTTTTACCAAAAATTGACTGCAGCAAAATTTCTCGGGAAAACACTTTTTCTGATTAATTTTGGTGCGTAGAATCCAAAACAATTCGTACTTTTTCGATCAGACTTCTCAATCAAAAGTTATAGACTAGAAACCAATTTCGAAAGAAAATTCCAAGGGCTGTAACTTTTGAACTAGTAGCCCAATCTTGGAACTGTTTGAAATTATGGATTCTACAGGCCACATTCTATAAGACATTTTTTTTCCGGGTCGATCTTGAGACAATTTTTTTCTCGGGGCTCAAAAAAAGGCAGTGTATAACCTTCCTTTTTTACCAAAAATCGACTGCACCAAAATTTCTCGGGAAAACACTTTTTCTTATTAATTTGGGTGGTGCGTAGAATCCAAATCAATTCGTACTTTTTCGATCAGACTTCTCAATCAAAAATTATAGACTAGAAACCAATTTCGAAAGAAAATTCAAAGGGCTGTAACTTTTGAACTAGTAGCCCAATCTTGGAACTGTTTGAAACTATGGATTCTACAGGCCACATTCTATAAGAAAATTTTTTTTCCGGGTCGATCTGAGACAATTTTTTTTTCGGGGCTCAAAAAAAGGCAGTGTATAACCAGGGGCGCACTGGGGGGGGGGGGGGGGGTGGCGATTGCCACCTGGCCTGTAGATCATAATGCCCTGTTGGACATTTATAAGTATGTGCTGTATTTAATTTCTTGCGCTATTAATAAATTATTAACACGTTTCTCTAATTGGGGTTGATGTTAGGTTGTTAAAAAATTCTGTTTTAATTGAAGTGTTTTACAATGAATTTATCATTTTTTGTCGTAGCATGAAAGTGTTGAAATACAATGATAGGCGACGCACCTCGTGTGGATTGTATATTTTGTTACTTTTAACTATCAGCTGCAATTTTAAAAAAAACTGTATGGTAATTTATTTTCGAGAAAGGAGTACCTTAAAATGTTTTTGTGGTGCACCTCAGAGCTACCCCCCCCCCCTCGCCATCTTCATTACTACACTAATACTTTAATGGCCCTTAATAATTCAGTTAAAGGGAAAATTGCATTTTTCAACACCTTTGCGACCATACGACGGTCAACAACATTGCGGGTCACTCTGTAATTGGGCGCAAGGCTGTTGAGGGCCTAGAACAAGAGAGGGATAATAAATAAATAAATATTTAAAGAGACATAGATTTTAGGTAATTTTCTCCGCTTCATTTTACTATAGAATCACATTAGCTTAGTTTGCAAGTCATAAGCTGGAAACTGGATATAATTATGTTATGCGCATTGCGTCGACGCCGTGCTGTAGGGTCGTAAATTACGTGCGTGTTTTAAACGCTGTGTAAACAATATTTGGCGTTCTATTTGGAAAACTAAAAAAACTTTATAAGCATCTTAAAATATAATTATTAATACTTCTCTAACGAACTCAAAAAAATTTCGATTGTTGATGCTATTAATATATCAAAGTCATAAAAATACCGGCATTTTGGAAACAATTTTGTTTTATTTTTTTCCCAAATTGTTATTATTAACAATGATGGTTAGACAACTTATTCTATCCCATTTGTACCACCTCCATTCTACTAATTTTTTTCTTTGCAAATTAAAGAAATTATATAGGTAACACAACTTTCTACCGCAATTTTGACGGTCATCTTGATTTTTTAGGTACACATTTTTTTATAATATAGTAATAAATAGTAAAACGTGCGTACTATATAAAAATTATGATAATATCTTTGTTTACAACAAGAAAAAAATGTTATAGTGAGTTTTAATCGGCAATTTTGGCCCCATCTTGATTTGGGCCTTTAGCAGCTGGATTCCGAGGTAGTGATAGGCAAAAAGGATTCAGCGGGGTCCAATTACCCTAAATAAAAACACTTATCACCAAAATGTCTCAAGATTTGCAGTTAGAATAGCTATGACTTTTGTTGTTTTACGAATTGACAGAAAGGTTGAAATTTATTTTTAAATTTGCGGGTATACCAAAAACTTAATAAAACATGTAAAAACAGTTTAAACACTTTAAACTCCAGTCTATGCAATTCGAACAAAAGTTAATTTCATGATACACATATCAAAATTATTTATTTTGTAAATATAAAACCCAACAAATGCAATATTCGTGTTAGGTATCTAAAAGAAAACTCTTTTCCTCGATTCTTAACATGACCTGATATAGGTATTTAATTGGGAGGGAAATAACAAATTTTCAATTTAATGTAAAAAATTTGATACAAATTAACACCGAACGATCGTCGAGACGGTGTAACTTTTTGGCCCAATAGTCTACGTAGGTGAAAAACAATAGCGAACTTTCTTATACCCTTAAGCGAATATGTGATGTGCACTTAGACCATTACATGGGCTGCTAATTGTAACGAAAATATGGTCAAGTACATCGCCTGGGTATGTGAGTTTCAGGGTAAACGAGTCTGTCCGAAGTTGTCCGATGAGACACGATTTGAGACTGTCAACCTATAAATTAACAAACGTCAATTAATGAATCGCCTAGATATCCCAAAAAAGGCAAACTTATTCTTATTTGTTGACGTATAGCAAATAATGAAGAGTATTTAAAGCTTCCCGTACTACGCGGTTACTATAAATCTGCTCTTTACGCGATCCGAGTGGTGTTCATACGACTTTAGTGACTGACAAACAGACAGACAGACGGCGATCCAAAATTATAAACGATCTTACCGCATTTTTTGTTGACGAAATAGTATACTAAGATACAAGGTATAATCAAGTCTTTAAAGCACGCGCAACGAGTTTAAGGGCACGGCGCGAAGCGTAGTTTAACAGAGTGCTTTAAAGATCAATCTTACACGTGTATCTTATAGTATTTTTTATTATACCTGCAGTATAATTTAAAAATAGAAAATACAATGAAATCATTTTGACGTTATACTCGAATACATGTCTAATTAAGTGAGCTGGATGTTCGTAATTTTACGATTGCCATGGAAATGTCACTTGACGTTGCTTATAAAAATCATCGTCTTGGTGAATAAAACTATTTCCGTTGAAAAAGATAATACACCGTCCACCGCTTGTTGTAAAATCTAAACGAACGTTGGTAGGTGTAAAATCCAAATCCAGTAAAGCCTATTATAGTCCAGGGAATAGAGGGTTTTAACTTGCAAAATAAGAAGTAGTTTCAATTTCTTTTGCATGTCATAGACAGTCATCTGGTGGTTAAGAATCTAAGTTTTCGACCTCCCACCCTTGTGCTTCCCCCGTACCACCCCCAAAACCACTGAAATTTGGATGGTTTCTTAGTTTTTCCATCATATCTTTGTAATGGTTCACTTAAAAAAAAAATATTGTTATCAGAAATTGTAGACTATAACATTCTACACAACTTTATATACACTACTTTTTTTGTGAAATGTTTATTAAAAAAGATATAGAGCTTGAGAGTTGGTTATATTTTTAAGAATTCTGAAATTTCTATGTAGATGTTTTAACCAAATTTCATACTTTATCTCTATAATTAAGAGTTTTATGAGAAAAAATATCTTGAATTTATCGTGGTATAAATCCCTCTACCCTGCACCCTTACCAAAGGAGATGCATAATTAATAATGAAACTTGCAACCCTTGCTAGTGAGGATATTTGAATCACTGTGAGATTGTAGCGCTTTCTAATATACTTTTGAAATTAAAAAATTGTCTCACTTCAGTTCAGTAACCCCCCCCCCCCCCCCCATAATCAAAGTTGCAAATAATATTTTTACATCCGTAAACCCATAAATCAATAAATGAATACAGAATGCATAAATGTGGTTTGAATTGCGATGTGATTTAAGATTTTCTGTAATCTAGGAGAATGGTTGCAGAATAATTAAAAGATGGCAGTGCATGTACAGTATAATTGAGATTGATAAATGAGAAATTATTGTAATAAAGTATTTCCTTTGTATCATTAAATCATAATTAATATTTCAATTCATTTATGAGCGTTTATAGCATCAGATCTTTGTTTCAGTTTAAACAGAAATTAACAGTAGGTACAATCATTGAATGACGATGTCAGATTTTCATCGACGCACGGTACAAGTACAATGATAAGGTGGTATGGATTTTACTCGCTTTAATTTGAAGGTGCAAACCGCCATTAG